TTGCAGCAGCTAAAATTAATTATATTAAATTAAAATCAATTTATATTGTAGCAAAAAGTAATTGAATTAAAAACTTTAAAAATAATTCTTTAAAAGGTTTGCTTATGAATTGTCTAGTTATTTATGTACATTAAAAATGTCAGACTTTCAGATAGAACAAATGAAGGGGTCAATGCAAGAATTCTTGCACTTAAGTGCCTAAGTGGCATTTTCAATTAAATTTACATTGTGGCTTCATCTAAGAGTGTTTCATGTAAGGTTTCAGGTGGTATTTTCAAAGTGGCAGAAATATGTGCCCAAGTGCCTTAGTTTGCATTTACTTCAATGGGAGTTTGCCTGGTTTTCAACTTATGTGAAAACTCTTGGATGAAGCCACAATAATAATTTAATTGAAAATGTGACTTAGACACTTCTTGCATTGACCCCTTCAAATAAAATAACTATAAAAATACTGTAAAAGATTATCACCCTGTAGTTCAAAATGCTATATTTATGTAAAAAAAAAACATGGAAAGCACAAAACATTTGTAATATAATCAAGTTTTGAACTGTATGCTTACAAGTGTTTAATATGACCTCTTCCAGCTGCAAACATCTTGTAGATACTCGGCAGTTCCAATTCGTGTATTTAGCTTTTACAAATCTTGGGGCTCATAAACGTTATCTTTTATAAAGCCCCAGAGAAAGAAGTCGCACACTGTGATATCGGTTGAACGTGTTGACCATACATGAAGTGCCAAATTGTTGGGCCCTTTACGTCCGATCCACCGATGAGGGGGCTGTTCGTTCAATAACCTCCGCTCCACCAAATGCCAATGTAGTGGGGCCCTGGACCCAGGTCCAGTTTTCGCGTAGCTACATCAAATAATTTTAACAAAAACATACATTTTGACAAAGATTATAGGTATATTTAACATTTTGTATAACAGCAACTAGTGTCGAGAAAAAAAACGTTAAAAACTGTTTTGATTGAAAGTTTTGAATCAAAACGCTTTAAAACTATTTAAATTCTATCAAAACTTGCATTAGTTAAACAACCCATAAGCAAAGAGTCTTTACTCTTTGCCATAGGTTTCATTACATAAAAAGAATTTTATTAACTACATGTGTTTTCGGTAAACATAGAGAAAAAAACCGATAAGGTTTATCACACGTATTTTCTTATTTTAAACGCGGTAATGATGCTACAACTAACTCAAACTTGACTAAAAACACCTAATAAAATGTTAAAGCCGAAATTAACAAGTTTACTTACCTAAAACAAAGAAAATTTGGATTATAAAACTTAGTACACACCACTTCAACAACGCTGTCGGCCATTTGTAATTTCTCAAACCGAACATCAACGAACAAGTTGGAAAAGACCAATCACAACAAAGTAAGAATCACGTGGTTAATAACTGGGGTTTGTCAAAAACAACTTGGGTTTCAACGCATGCTAGATTTATTTTACTGTTGCCTGTTGTCAAATTCCCCTTATACCCCCCTGATTTAACCTTAAAATTGACATTTGACAGTTTTATGACAGCCCTGATAGAATAAAGTTTATTTTTTACAATAGAGGAGTAAAATGGTTGTTCTTAGCACTTTAAGGACTCTTTTAAGGCTTACTATGGGAAACAACGTTTAAAACGATTATTAATCTGTATAAACAGAGTACAAACCCAAAGCACGAAAATTGTAAACAACAAAAATGGCCACCGTTAAACTGTGCAGTGTTGCAGTGATTTTTTGTATTTTTAGTATGTGTTGCCAGAAGCAACTATAATATTGTACCAAAGTGAACACGAAAAATGTACCAATTTTAAATAAAAAGTACCATATAAATTTCAATCCCAACGCGCGAATATAGATATTCTTCTTCTTCTTCTTTGGATCTTGGCCTGCTAGCATAGATTAATAGTCTATGATTTGTTAAGCGCAAACATTCGGGGCGACTCACAGAACATAATGGGCGACTAATAGCCGGGTTTTGATTCAAAACTTTTGAACCATATAAATTATTTTAACTTACAGGTAGCTTTATTATCATCAGTCATCAGTCCAGTTTACAGGGTCCTTTTAAAATTTGATAAACTTCTTAATATTTGTTATATGTTCTTAATTCAATAAAACCTTTGTAAAAAATAGAGTAGGCAGAAAATGTACCAAAATTGTTCTCAATGTACTTTTGTACCACGAGGTTAAAAATGTACCAAAATGGTACAAATGTACCACCTCTGGCAACACTGAACAGACCTTGTTGTGTGGATTGTGGTCAATTCCAAATTATATGAAAAATGGACTATATCTCAAAAACTTCTACTTTTTTAACTTTTGACGACATTTTCGGATTCAGGGAAATTGACTGCTAAATGTTAAAAATACAAATTGCTGTTGACGAGAATTATTAGTGGCTGCTTTTTCGCTATGACATCTAGTCATTTTTGACTAATCCACTTTTAGAGAGTAAAGAATATTCAATTATATTAACTAACATTTTTTATTCAAAAGTACTCGTACTCTTTACTCGTGTTTTCACGATTACTACTCGTAACGACGAAGTTAAGGTTATTTTTGATTGAAGCGCATTTGTCAAATTTTAACGAAAAAAATTAATAACTCGAAAACTATTTATTCATGTACCTATAGGACTTGGTGTAGTTATTTTATGTAGAATTTAAACATGTACAAATATACCTCTTGCAGATTTTATGTAATGTCCCATTCATAAAATGTTTCCCTTTACACCTGGTTCAATAAATTATTATTATATGGGGTGTTCTATTTGAAATAACAAAGTTGTCACTTTTGGTCAAACTGGAAGTGGCATTTTGTTCAAAATATTTTAGAAAAATAGACTTAACTTGATTATAAATGCTTAAAAAAATTTAAAAGATATCTTTTGCCATTTCCCAAGAAACTTTTAATGGTCGCGAACGTGAAACACCCTGTATATATGTATTTTTGGGTTATTCGTTTTCAACAAACATTTTTTTTAACTCCTACAGCAAAATATTTATGTATGTATATCAAAAAAAAAATTCCCTTCAGGCCTTTGATTTTACTTTTATAGTTTTTCCATTGAAGTAGTATGGGAAATTTAAGATTTTTAATTCCTAAACTTAAAAATTAAATTTCTCAATTTTTTTTTTTACATTTTACCTGGTGACGTACAGTACTTTTAAAGAGCATATAATAATCTACAAATCACACACTAAATTTTCTGTTATTATAATTATCAAAATTAAAGTAATTATAAGTTATGGTAAGGGCTGAAACTTTCCTGATTTTGCTACGGGAGTGAAAAACTCAATAATTTTCATTCAAAATCATTGAGATAAAATGTTCTAACTCAATGTTCAAAACAAACCACCCTAATGTATTAATAAATAATATAATAAATTATTAGAACAACATTTTTAGTGCACATTGTATTATTTAGAAATGTAGTTTAATATAAAATTTGGTGGAGCCTTTTTATATTAAACTAAACTAAACAATACGATTTTTAAGTAGCTCAGGAATATGATAATACCTGAAACATTTAGACATATTTTCTGATAACGTCATTATTATAAACGGTGTGCCTGAACGAAGTTTAAGTCACATAAAAATGCCGTCACATAAAAATGCCGCCACAAACTGCAGTTTCTTGTTCAAGACCCTTTGGTGACTTAAAAATGATATTTACCAAAATCCTACCTGCTCCTATTTTCGAAACTTTTTGAAAATTCATGTTTTTTTTAAATTTTTGTTTATTTCAAAGTCTACCTTTGATAGAGTACACATTTGTACACCGATTTTTTTAAAATTAGAGTATATTATTGGGGAGACTTAGAGAATACTTTTTAATACTGTTCACATCATTTGATATATACAGGGTCAGCCAAAAATCGCTTATTTTTAATAAAGCAAAAGCGTAAATTTATGATTTTGGCATAACATGCAAAAAAGATTTATCCCCATTATTTTTTAGATATTTTTACATTTATAAGGTTACAAAATGGTATTTTTATTAACCTTTTATAAAAAAATAGATTTTTAATAAAAATAAATAAAATAACGCTTAGAGAATATTTAAAATGTTGTTTAGTTTAGGCTTTTTAGTAGTTTTCAATTTTGAACGAAAAACTGGTTGAAGTTTTTTGATCGGCACTCTTTGGAGATTTAAAAACGATATTTACCAAAATTCTAACTGCTTTTTTTAAATTTGTAAAAAAATCATTTATTTTTTAAATTTTTGTTTATCGCAAAGTCTACCTTTGCCAGAGTACACATTTGTACACCGATTTTTATTGATGGCAGTTTCTTGTTCGGGACCCTTTGGTATAATATTGGAGTATATTGTTAACGAAACTTGGAAAATACTGTTTTCATACTGAGCACATCATTAGATTTATACAGGGTTAGCCAAAAATCACTTTTTTATATAGTAAAAAGCATAATGCACAAAAAATATTTATTTTCAAAAAATTTTATTTATTTAATTTTATTAAAAATTAATTTTTCTTATAAAGTCTTAATAAGAATCCCATTTTGTAGCCTGATAGAAATAAAAATATCTAAAAAACATGGTTGGGTATATATCTTTTTTGCGTATTATGCCAAAATCATGAAGTTATCCTTTTGCTTTATTAAAAGAAGCGATTTTTGGCTAACCCTGTATATATTAAATGATGTTCACAGTATAAAAAAGTATTCTCAAAATCTCCTTATCAATATACTCCAATATTATTAAAATCGGTGTACAAATGTGTACTCTGTCAAAGGTACCCTTTAAGATAAATAAAAATTTAAAAAAAAATTATAAATTTTCAAAAAATGTCTAAAAAAGGAGCAGCTAGGATTTTGGTAAATATCATTTTTAAGTCACTGAAGGGCCCCGAACAAGAAACTGCAATCAGTTTTTGGCGGCATTTTTATGTGACTTAAACTTCGTTCAGGCACACCGTGTATAGCTTGACTTCAAAAACTTTTTCATTGTTTTTTTATTGGGTGTTAACCATGGTAATTTTTAGGTTTGAGCACATGTATAGAGTAAGAAGGGATGAGTTAAACAGAATTTATGCCAAACAGATGGAAGTCTGCACTAGTTTGGGAAAAGCACCAAAAGTATTCCCCAAATCTCCTCTACTTTCCCTAGAAGAAATGGAAAATTTACAGAAACATATTGACAATTTAGAGAGTGAAAAATATGAAAGGGAAGAAAAATTCTTGCAGTGTAAATACGACTTATTAGAACTGATTAAGGAATTGGATTTTAAACCAACTTCAGATTTTGAGAACCGGGTTTTGTTTGAAGATGATTCAAATTTTATGGTCACCGATTCCAACATGAAAGATTTGGAAAAATTTCACAACAAACTTGTTCATAGCAAGAACTGCATGTTGGAAGAAATAAATGAGAAGTGGGCCAAGTTGGACCGTCTATGGACTGTACTGGAAGTTAATGTGGCGGAAAGGAGCAACTTTTCGGATGCAAATCGGGGTCAGCCAAAAGAAGTACTTAAATCCCTCGATAAAGAAATAAAGCGTCTGGACCATATCAAAAAGGACAACATCAAAGTTTTCATTGAAAAATACCGCACCGAATTGCAGGCGCTCTGGGATGAGTGCCATTGCGATGTCAACACCAGGGATTTTGAGTATTTTAATGCTGATAGCTATACTGAAGACTATTTGGAGTTATTTGATATGGAAATACAGCGGTGGAAAAAATATCGCGAGGAAAATAAGTACGTTGAATAGGGTGTCATTTTTAAGCAACTTTTTTTTTCAAAAAAAAAACAGGCTAAAAACTTTCAGGAAGGTGAAAAAAGAAACCTCTACAAATTTGAGCTCTTAATATTAACAATAAGTGGTGCCTGTTCCTAACTTTCCATTTTCCATTTAAATAACATGGAATTTTTTTTTCTTTTTTCTTATTTTTGTAGCTTGACATTTTTAAGCAACTTTTTTTTTCAACTAAAAAACAGGCTAAAATCTTTCAGGAAGGTGAAAAAAGAAACCTCTAAAAATTTGAGCTCTAAATATTAACATTAAATGGTGCCTGTTCCTAACTTTACATTTTCCATTTAAATAACATGGAAATTTTTTTCTTCTTTTTTCTTTTTTTTGTAGCTTGACATTTTTAAGCAACTTTTTTTTTTCAACTAAAAAACAGGCTAAAAACTTTCAGGAAGGTGAAAAAAGAAACCTCTACAAATTTGAGCTCTTAATATTAACATTAAGTGGTGCGTGTTCCTAACTTTCCATTTTCCATTTAAATAACATGGAATTTTTTTTTCTTTTTTCTTATTTTTGTAGCTTGACATTTTTAAGCAACTTTTTTTTTTTAACTAAAAAACAGGCTAAAAACTTTCAGGAAGGTGAAAAAAGAAACCTCTACAAATTTGAGCTCTTAATATTAACATTAAGTGGTGCCTGTTCCTAACTTTCCATTTTCCATTTAAATAACATGGAAATTTTTTTTTCTTTTTTCTTATTTTTGTAGCTTGACATTTTTAAGCAACTTTTTTTTTTCAACTAAAAAACAGGCTAAAAACTTTCAGGAAGGTGAAAAAAGAAACCTCTACAAATTTGAGCTCTTAATATTAACATTAAGTGGTGCGTGTTCCTAACTTTCCATTTTCCATTTAAATAACATGGAATTTTTCTTTCTTTTTTCTTATTTTTGTAGCTTGACATTGGAGCATTGTAAAAACGAACTGAAAAATTATTTTGGTAGGAAATTGAACGCTCTATAAAAAAGTTTCAAGATGATTTTTTCATAGAGTTCTGAAGGTATTCAAACTTAAAGTTGCCTTTAACATTTCGAATCGCGGCACGTTAGCGTGCCTCTAGTCACTGTGTAATCCGAACGGTAATATACCGACTGAGCCAATATAATCTTTTATCAGAGTTATCGACTTTAAAATTATAAAAAAAGAAAGATTAAAAATTCAATACAATAAAAAATTCATTGTTTCATTTAATCTATTATAATTATTGAACAAATTTATTGAACACAAATAACTTTTTTTGATAGTATTATGTTCTTTCTATACGAAAATAATTATTTTTTCTTAAAATAATTTAAGACATAAAAAAGTATTAGTTTAATAAAATAAAAGTCATAATTTCATACATTTGCAAGTTTGAATACCTTCAGAACGGCTTACTCTATGAAAAAATAAATTAGTACTTTTTTGTAGAGCATTCAATTTCCTACCAAAATAATTTTTCAGTTCGTTTTTACAATGTTTAAATGTCAAGATACAAAAATAAGAAACAAGAAACAATTTTTTTCCATGTTATTTAAATGGAAAATGGAAAGTTAGGAACAGGCACAACTTAATGTTATTATTAAGAGCTCAAATTTTTAGAAGCTTCTTTTTTCACCTTTTTTTTAGTTGCTCAAAAATGACACCCTAATGTTGATTATTTCATTTTTGGGCCTAGACATTTGAGAACAATTTTACATCTAATTTTCAGGGCACTTCTAAAACTCTTGGACGAATACAATACGGTTTGGAAAAAGCTGGCCGAACTAGAGGAGGCGGCGGCGGGTCCAAACAGGTTTCACAACAGGGGTGGCAAACTGTTGTTAGAAGAGAAAGAAAGGAATAAGTTTAAAAGAAGGATACCCCAGATCCAGGAGAGTTTAATCAGTATGGCTGAAAAATATAGGGAAAAAACTGGCCATGAATTTATGACTTGGGGAAAAACTGTGGAGCAATTTATCGATACGCTTGTTCAGGAAATTGAGAAAGTAAGTTTATTTTTTAATAAAAATATAATTATAACTAATTTAACGATTTCTTTAGTTTTTTTTTAATAACAGTACCTATTTTTAAAAAATTAAATAAAAATAATTTGGGTCTTTTAAAGAATTTTTTTAACGTTTAACGTTTTGGTTTATTTAATTTTAGACTTATTTAAAATTAACAAATTACATTAAATATTTTTTAAAGATTGTTGTACAGTTTGCATATTTAAGAAATAATAGATAAATATTCATCTCGATATTCATTATAAAATATTAGTTTTAAAATGCTATATGGGTGATTCTACAAAATTTGGGCAACTCATTTTGTTTCTCTAGTTTTCGGAGAAAATTAAACAGTATTTTGTTATGAAAACATAGATAATATAATAAATATACTGTTCCAGACTGGGCCAGTCACTTTTTCAAACAGTTTCTGAAATAAATGTGTTTTTTCTAAATATCTAATATATCTAATCACACAATAAATAAAGATTTTACAGGGGTGAGTTGCAAACAAATGGGTCACACTGTATATATTATCATTAGGAACAGACTATTAATGTTAATATGATAAAACTATGGAAAAATATTAAAATTCACAAGTTGCCCCTAAAATGCCTCTTCAAATCCTGAGACTAAAATAATGCGATTTAAAGAATATGCTACCCATCACCAAAGATTATATTATTATTGTCTATGCAAAGATTAAATATATATATAAATATCTTTGTTCTATGGTTAATTTGCAATTTGGATTTTTCTGACAATTTTTGTCAATAAAAATCATTTTTGGTCAGTTTTTGTTCATTTGTCATTGTAGGGGTTTTAGTTAGATAGGCAACTTAGTATTAAAGTTTTGTTCCGTGACCACTGCGCCCTCCAGCGGGTGTAGTCAAATATATATATTCAAATTATTGTTTCAATTTTTTTACTGGATGGTAATGATCCTTTTTTACCTTCAATAGATAAATAATTCTAATATTTTCTAGGAAAGTTAAAGGAGGAATAAAAAAACATGGTAAAACTACATTTTTGTAATTATTTTATTTGTCAGAGTTCCAAAATATATAAAGACAAAAATTCAAAACACAACTTAAAATCAGTCTACATCATATGAACTTATCTAACTATTTCATTTCTAAAATTATTCTATACGGTAAAATAAATTTATCACTAAATAAAAGAACAATCAAAATTTTAAGACTTGGTGCTTAGAGAATCAACATATTTTTTGTTATTTGGGACATACCTTATCGTTTTTTGGAAATCAATGCATTTTTACTAGAGATGTGACATGAAAATGTTTTTTTGGAAGTAGAACTTTATTGCCAATTTAATACGAATATTGTATTCAACCCATTATACATTTTAAGATGTGTCTACTGCTCCGCAGCAGCAACTAAATAATATTTAAAAAAAAACACCGTCGCGGAGGTCGATTGGACCCTTTTATAAAATGTTGTTTAATAAAAATAATAAGTTAATTTTATTAATTAGATTAAAAAATCGCCGCGGCGGGCAAATATACAGGGTGTTTCATAATATATGCGCAGGACTTCAGGATGTGATAGCTCATCCAAAAATATGAAAAAAGTCGCTATTAAGTTACGCTCTAAAATGCACAATTTTCGAGATACAGGGTGTTGAAATTTTAGAAAAAAATTCGTGTTTTTCGAATATCTCCGGAACCGTTTATCGTACAAAAAACAGCTTTTGTAAGCATTTTCTACTCAAAATAAGCTATGTTTTGTGCCAGAAAAAAATTTTTTTTCCTCATAATTGGTGGAGATTTTGAAGGGGTAGCGGGTGTTTTTCTCCTCAACTTCTACGCCCCTGAAAAAAGTACGGTTTTGAGAGGCCCATTCAAACCGCCAATGTTTTCTACACAAAAAAGGTACTCTTGGTCATAAGCTCTAAAGTTGACCGTTTTCGAGAAAAATCAACTTTTATGTTTAAAAAAAAGTGTTAAATTAAAAAAAAAAATTTTTTTTAGTAATTAAACAAAATTTATTTTAACGTTAGAACAAGTAACAAAACCAAACCATAATTGCAAAATAAAAAATGATTCAAAAGTTGTCTGCTAAATTCTCCAAACCGTAAAGGTAACGCATTTCGCACATTACAGCATTTGTGTAAAAAATCATTTTTTATTTTTTTTTTAATTTTGCAATTATCGTTTGGTTTTGTTACTTTTTCTAACGTTAAAATAAATTTTGTTTAATTAGTAATACAAAATTTTTTTCAAAAAATTGACCATGTTTTTAAACATAAAAGTTGATTTTTCTCGAAAACGGTCAACTTTAGAGCTTATGACCAAGAGTACCTTTTTTGTGTAGAAAACATTGGCGGTTCGAATGGGCCTCTCAAAACCGTACTTTTTTCAGGGGCATTGAAGTTGAGGAGAAAAACACCCGCTACCCCTTCAAAATCTCCACCAAATATGAGTAAAAAAAAATTTTTTTCTGGCACAAAACATAGCTTATTATGAGTAGAAAATGCTTACAAAAGCTGTTTTTTGTACGATGAACGGTTCCAGAGATAATCGAAAAAAACGATTTTTTTTCTAAAATTTCAACACCCTGTATCTCGAAAATTGTGCATTTTAGAGGGTAAGTTAATAGCGACTTTTTTCATCTTTTTGGATGAGCTATCACATCCTGAAGTCCTGCGCATATATTATGAAACACCCTGTATAATAACCGTCGCAACAAACAGTATACGTAGACACATTCAAATGACATTTGGCTTAATCATCAATATTAATTATTAGTATTATTAAATGTGATTTCGGATAAAATTTAATATGCACCTCGGAATTAAAGTCATTTTTTATCACTCACGTGGTTATTTGCCTCGGCTTTCGCCTCGGAAAATAATTTCCACATTCGTGATTAAAAATACGACTTTACTGCCTTGATACATAAATAAATATTATGAAACATTTTTTAGTCCAAAATTTTTCGAAAAATCAAAAGTGCAAATTAACCATAGACAATAAAAATGATGTAGGTAAATTTGATTAAGTCGCATTATTTTTTTCTCAGGAATATGTGGTCATTTTGTACAGGCATTTCAGGGACATACATAATAATTATTATTATTATACATATTTCTAAAAAAAACGGAAAGTTGGACAACTTACATTACTTGATAATAGAGCTTCACGGAGGTTAGGATTTCGTATGTTTTTTTAAACATAGCTTTTTATATTTGAAATAAGTTATTGTATCTTTTGACACCTTAATATTTTTTAAAAATACAATTGTACCTACATAAAATATTTATAAAAAAAATCTACTTACTGAGATATTACACTTCACGGTGGATAAGTTTTTAAATAGCAAATTAATGAACTTAAACTTTTTAATTATTAAACAGCAACACTCTCAACTGCATATAAATTCTAACTGACCTTCAGGAATCACATACATCTATAATGTCGTAAACAGAGGTTTTTGCTTATTTAAAATGATAAAAGCGCTATCCGTTGCATAAAATTTAAAGCAAAAACAGATTCACGGAGGATAGAATCAATTTTTGTAACGCCTACATAAATGATTATAAAAATTATTTTTTTTAATTTTTAATAATATTTTATATTTGATTCGATTGCTTTGGAGGTGTTTAATTTACTTAGTGAACTGATATTTTTAGTATGCTTTTACTACCTACCTTAACAGTTACGGAGGATAGGTTTTAGACTTTTGATTGTAAAAAATAATTAATTGCGGTTAAAAATCTGGAACCTGAGCTGTAATATCTACTCAATTATGAAAGATCATATGAAAGATCAAAACACAATAAAAGTGTAGGTCAAACTCTTTTATTTTTATTAAATATCACGGGGTAACACCATCGGGGGACATTTCGTTAGATTCACGAAATGCTTTTTAATTTATGATTTTCAATACCTACTTAACAACTCATAATTATGATGTTTCTACACGTCTGTATTTTATTTTTTTATTATTAAAGGAAAAAAAGCAAAAATTGAGCGTGCGTAAACAACAGCGAGATCAACTGACTCCAGGCAGATCCAAGTCGACTCTATCTTTGGCCAAATCAAGCACTCAACTCTTCAACACCCCAAGCCAGATCGCGTTAACAAGAAAAACTCCGGAGCTGCCCAACAAGCGCAAACTAATCACGACGCCCAGAACGGACGTAAAGAAAAAGCCCAGAGTGGAGACGAAAGCGCCAACTAGCGAGTACAAAAGTAAGTTGCGTAGAAATTTGACTTTTGTTTTAAACTCTTCCAGGCCTCGCAAATAAAAATTTCCTTATTTGACAGTTTAGGGCAATCGAGAATATCCTAATAGCTGGATATTTTTCCGTAAAAAATAGGCGAATGCACTAAAATTTACGTATTTTATGTTATAATTTATTTATGACTATTTTTTTGTTTAATTAGGTTACTTACTTAAAAATTTATGGTTTCTAGTTTTTTTTCGTTTTCGGTTAATTTAAATGACAATGCATCACAAGATGCATTATTTTAGTCATGTTACAAAAAAAAATGTTTTTTTGTTGCGTCGTTACCGTCCATTATTACTATTATTATTTTGTAGAAACGAAGTACAATAAACAAAAATGAAAATTATATTTGATGATATATTTATATAAAAAAATTATATATTTTTACGATTTTGATGAAAGATGTGATTGGTAGCTTTATTATTTACATTGTCGTACTTACTAGGTGATATTATTATTAGTTTTAGATTATGTATTTTTTGGTAATAAAGCTTAGTTTTAAAACACATTTTTTATTTCTTCTCCTAAAAATAACCTAATTAAGCAAAAAAAGAAAGTCATTGGTCAAAGTAAAAGTTTTTAAATTATTTAGTTACAAAATTGTTTTTTTTTTTTGGTTATGCAGGACGTCCAAAAGTAGTTTGCAGCAAAGTCGTTACCAGCCGACGTTCAATTGATAAAAAAAATAAATCCCAAAAGAGACTGTCGAACAGTTTCCAAAAAGAAAATAATTCAATTGCTGGCGAAACATCTGGATATGATCAATTTGAGGTAAGTAAAATTTTTTTAGGTGTGCTGTTTTCTTTTTAATGCGCCATATTTTTTTTCTGGCGCAAAATTCTTAAAAATAACATATAAATGCTCATTAGGATGTCCGTTATTTCCCAAGTTGTTGTTTTTACTTGGGTATCATCCCAATAATTTTGTTTAGAGGGTTAAAAACAATTTTGAAAAAAAAATTTTTTTCCCGTATCATAACTCACTAATAAATGCAGCAATATATAAAAAAATTTTTTGTAGAAATTTTTAAGCTTTACAAAAAATGTCATGTATTTTTCGTAAAATCCACATTGCACACAAACTCACGAAGTTAGGCAACCCACTGCACAGACTAACGGCGGCCATTTTTATGTCGTTTACAATTCTTGTTCTTTGGGTTTGCGCTGTTTATACAGATTAAAAATCGTTTTAAACCAGGGTTCGCCTGATTTAAATCATTTGATTTAAATCACGGTTTCAATCAAGTGAATATTTTATTTTAATCATTTAAATGATTTAAATCAGTTTTAAAAAAAGTTTCTAAAATCTAAAAAAAACACTTAAAAGATCTTAAACTAAAGCACAATAATATCTTGACACTATTTAAATAAATTCATATGCATAGAAAAACTGCTTATTTTTTAAATAAAATAATAAAGGAATATACAAAAAAATATATGACGGTTGTGGACAGTGGTTTATTTGTTTATAAAGTAGTGCCAATATATATATAGTCAAGTTATTTTTAGTATTTTTTTAATAGTACACTTTATTAAAAAAGCTTATAATTTTGAATACCTAATTTGGGTCATGAAAATTGTTTTCCTCCTAGTCTTGAACATTTTAATAGGAAGGGAAGCCCATGTCCACAACAATTAAAATTAAAAAAATCGTAATAAAAACCAAAAGAATCATTTTTTGTTGTTTTTTTTCATGTTTTTAATAAAAATCGTTTCTTTTTAATTTTTTTTTAAACATAATTTTTTTAACCGTGTTTTAAACGTTAAGTTTCTTACAGAGGCACTTGTAAGCCTCAAATGAGGCCTTAGATTGCTGAGGACATCCATTTTACTCTTTTATAAAAATTAAAACCTATTCTATCAAGACTGTCATCAAACTGTCAAATATTAATTTTAAGGTTATTTTACCATTTGACATTTTCATGACGGCCCTGATAAAATAAGATTTATTTTTACAAAACAACAGTAAAATGGTTGTCCTTGGCAATTTAAGGCCTCTTTTAAAGCTTACAAGTGCCTCTGTAAGAAACACAATGTTTAATAGTATATTATGTATCAAGTTTGATAAACGCCATTTTATACACGATTTTAATTAAATTAATACTATACTTTTTCTACGACAAATAGTTATTATTATCTTAAAATGATTTAAATCAAAAATTATGAAACAATAGGGGAATCTGTGTGTCACCGTCAAATGTCAAATTTTTATATTATAAAGGTTATAAATCGAAATGTATTTCTTGAAAATTGACAGTTTTTCACAGTGAAAGTAAAGAAAATGTTTTATGAGCACTTTACAGTGCAGTCCGTGCCCGAATTTAAGTTATAGTTTACTGCCGGCGAAATTAAAAGGTCAGTACAATGTTCATATAAACTTTTCAAATATTGGCGTTGAGAAACTATTTAATACTTTTGTATTTTTGTATTGAGATAATAAAATAATTTTCACATTTAGTATTATTTTACAAGAAAGGCACTTTATTTTAACGATTGTATGACATTTGACAACTGTCAACTAACTTAAAACTAACTTCAGCACGTGACTAAACTCCTGTTGCCAACTTCAGCCCGTGACTAAAGCGCCATAAAGCCACAACTTGTCAATGTGTATTTAAAAGGTCACTTAGTGTCATGGAAACATGTAAGATAAAGGGCGTTTTAAAGGTGGGAGTAGAAAAAACTATTTTTGTATTTGTATAAAAACAGTACAAACATTAAAATGACATTTAGGTAGGCAGGGTTAAACGACATTGAAAAAAAACAACTTGAGAGAATAACGAACACCTTAATGTTCATAAAAGTGTTTTTTGAAATTTGCAATTTTCTATAAAAAGCAATCTAATGCGCCATGGAGAATGCCGTGCTCTGATTGGCTAATGACTTAAAAAAAACAACTTCCATAGAAAGTAAAGCCGCAAATTTCAAGAAACACTCCCCTCCCCAGGTTAAGGAGTCTTTTTGAACATTATTTCTTGAAAATTTATTTTTAAATAAATAATAATGTTTTAACAGTAAAAAAATTTTAGTTTCGGTGAAAATGTAGCAAAAAAAATACTCTTGCTTATTTAAAAGTTTTAAAATAAAATAATCCTCCACCAGTTTACCTGTAGCTTGTACAGAAGGTACCCAAATTTTGAATTTTGAAACAAATAACCATTTTAGGCCAATAACATTGTAATATTTAATACTGGTTGGAATTTTATTTTTTTTTAATCAAAAGAGCATAAATTGAATAGTATGTATTCTGGTTTTCGGATTGATCTGAACAACCGGTATAAAAGTATTAAGTCCATATACTATTTTACTGGCCCATTTTTTAAATTATTTTAAAGAAGAATACCCTTAAGCTTAGCATTTATACACTGCGCGTCAAAATTTACGAATAACAAGTAAAAATAATCCAACTCTAAAACGCCTTTACCAATCTATAAAATTTTGAATAAAAATACTTTAACTTATATCTCAGTTTATGTGTTCAAGGGTTTTTCGAAAAAATATCCTTAGAGCCCTTTTATTTCATAATAAAAAACGTTCGAAAAAAAACTTTTATAGGGAATTTTTTTTAAGTAATTAAAGAATATGCTGTGAAAGACCGTATTTTTGTTAGTATACCCTGGAAATGTTGTACAAATCAAACGAACAGTCGTCAAAAATGACCACTTTTCAGCAAAATAATCAAAAAGGGGTCATTTTTACCGACTTATCTGTATCTCTGTTACTGTTAGTTTGATTTGTACAAAATTTTCAGGGTATACTAACAAAAATATGGTCTTTGAGAGCATATTTTTTTTTATTTACTTAAAAAAATTCCCTAAAAGTTATTTTTTGAACGTTTTTTTATTAACTAAACGGGCTTTAAAAATATTTTCTCGAAAAACCCTCAAACACGTAAACTGAGATATAAGTTAAAGTATTTTTATCCAAAATTTTATAAAGATTTGTAAAGGCGTTTTGGAGTTGGAATTTTTCTACCTATTATGCGTTAATTTTGGCGCACATTACAGTTAAAAAAATTCCTAACTGGCTGGGTTTTGGATATGGCCGAGTCCAAAATCCAGCCAGGAATTTTTTCGACGTCAAAATATTTCTTCTATAGTACACTATAGCTAAGTGTATATAGACTATAACAAAGTTTTTTGCTTTGCTCTAGAATTATGTTAAATGATAAATATTTAACACAATTCTAAATTTTATTTGTTGCAGAGGCGCCCTCTGGCGTACAGTTCTACCGTTTTCTCGCCGATAGTCGAGGGTCAGTAAGATTAATTTAACAAAATAAGCTTTTTACCAGCATGCGCTTTACATTTTTTTTCGAAACATCTTTTACAGCTTGATTTTCTTTGCATGACCGCTCATTTTTATGTTCGTTTTTTTCTATGCTTGCTAATTTATTTAATACTTCATAACATCCAAATGATAGAAATATAAATTACAAACCTAAATGTTCCCACTTAAATATGCCGTTTATACCTAAACTATAATATTAAATCATGATTTAAAGTTATAAACTTTTAGAAAATACATGTTTGCTGTATACAGTATCTACAGGGTGCACCAAGTAGGTATCCTTTTATGGGTATTTTTTTTTGGTTAAATTAGAGAAAAGTTTTGTAATTATAAACAAGCCTATTAACATGAAATTTATAAGTTAAAAAAAGCCAGCAATTCTCAAAATATTAAAAAAAAAACTAAATCCCAAAAATCGTTATAAATTCATTATTCCTGAAAATTTTTACATGTAAACATACACATGAATCTATATTTTCATCAAATTTATTTGCTACTATGATTTGGGTTACCATCACCATCTTTTATTTTTATAATAGCCACCATAACTTATGTAGTTTGATACATTGTTGGATTCCTCGATTTTTTTTCTATTTAACCAAAGATGGTGGTGGTATCTCGAAATCCAGTTGGCAAAAAAACTCACAAATTGGATGATAAGGTAGATAAATGTGTATGTTTACTAGACTGGGTCAAAAAAATCGACAATTTTTTTTTGTAAAGTATATTGAAAATATTGTTTGGGGTGACAAAAAAATTATGGTGAAAGTTGATTTTTTTTTCCTGAGCGAGTTTTTGTCTCAGAACTCCCAAACCATTGAGTTTAACAAAATTGACTTAAGAAAATTTTTTGAAGAAAATTAAATGCTCTACAAAAATGGTTTGATTGGAATTTCCCGTCAGATGAACCGTTTTCTTACGATAGTTTTACAATTTGATCTTTTAACTTTGGAATTTTGTAATTCATGTAAAAATCAGTACCAGGAAAAAAAACGATAAATATTCTTATGGGAAATCAAATGCTCTACAAAAAAAGTCTTTTATCATTTTTGGCTAAATTTACTCCATCAAAAGAATAATAAGAATATTAATCGGTTTTTTATGGGTACTGATTTTTACATGAATTACAAAATTCCAATTTAAAAGATCAAAATCTAAAACTATACCAATTTTTAAGGCATGATTTTAAGGGAACGGTTTCTCTGACGGAAAATTTCACTTTAACCTTTTTTGTAGAGCATTTAATTTTATTAAAAAAGATATTTTAGTCAAAAATTAAAATTGCGATGATAGACCTCTTAATATTAATATTATGGACTCAAACTTTCACAATAATTTTTTTTGTCACCCAAACCATATTTTCGATATACTTTTCAAAAAAAAATCGTTGATTTTTTTGGCCCAGTCTAATGTTTACATGTAAAACTTACTTTTTTTTAAATTCCCAGGAATAACAAAGTTAAAACGATTTTTGGTTTTGACAGGTTTTTAGTTTTTTTCAAATTATTTGAGAACAGCAGAATTTTTTTCAAATTTTTAAATGCTTGTAATTAACCTTTGTCTAATTTAACCAACCTTGTAGCTCTTCAAATAGGATACTGTGCACCCTGTATATATGACGTGACATTGACGTTTACAAAATGAATAATTTTAAATATTGAATTTTGTATTTGGAATTTAATTGTTTAAAGTAATAAATAGTGCTACTTCCCTCTTGAAACATTTTAATGTTTTTCTAATTTATTTACACCCTGTACATCTGATCTCAAATTTTTATATTGTAAATTAATTTTGTAAACAAGCATAACTTTTTATAAGGAATTACTTTTTACCATTGAGTTACTCAATGTTTTTACCCTAAAATGAATAATACAGATTTTTTTCTATAATATATTTTTAAGCTTATACTTACCTTGGCATTCAAAGTTTACATCTACAAAGCGTAAAAAAACTACATCTTGATCAAGTTTTACAAATGGTAAAATAGGAAAATCGTTAACAATGTCTATTAGATTTGTAATTTGTTTATAAACTTAAACAGGGTACCCACTCACCTGGAAAACAGGGAAAACCTGGAAATGTCAGGGAAATTAAATATTAGTAAAAAAGTCAGGGAAAAGTTAGTGAATTTGCTGAATTTTACGAAAAGTCAGGGAATTTAACTAATTTTTACGAAAAGTCAGGGAATTTAACTAATTTTTCTTGATTTTTCCGAAAATTGTTTCTATTTTTATTATCATTTGCGCAAATACTTATAAAATGTATGACCTTATAAACTATGTTTGTTTCCTTTCAAATTTTTTATGAATGTTCTGTTTAATTTTTTTATTATATTTTAAGAAATGTTAAAAAAAAATTGTAAAAAGAAAAATAAAATGAATTTTTACTTTACATGTACTATGCTCCTCACCTCAAATTCCCACCACGTGACCACGTACGGAACGCAGTTTTGAAAATTTGGCATTTAAGGCTTTTCAGGTTATGTATCCGTCAAAGTATAGTCAACGAAAGAAATAATATTATGTTTAGGCGTTAAAAATGTATAAATCTCTTAGAACATTAGAATAACAATGGATGGTTTAAGAATTTAAGAATATAAATACTGCATTTAATGAAATTCCAAAGTGTATGGTGCCAAATAAGTAATATTTTTGTGCATTTGGTCCAAATATCTGGTTTTCTTTATGAAATAATTTTAACTAAACAGCATTTATTTAAAAAAATCTAGCTTCTCTATTATGGAATAAGAATATCTGTATTAAAGGTAGGTTAATATATTATAACAAAAATATCATCTAATTTTGTAATTTTAAGGTTAGAAAAATTTATTTTGACCAAAATAAAAAGTATTTTGGATTATTTAAAAGACTGTATAATATGGTATTTAAAAATGTGGTCGTTTTTCTCATCCAGCTTAAAGTGTACCTACATAAAGTTTTGTCAATACAAATAGTTAAAAAGCTTTGACTGAATTTGATCTACATCAAAAAATCATTATAACTTTAAAAATTTTAATAAATCACATGTCATGGGAGTATTAAATATTTTCACATTGCAAGTTTCTCTAAAAATTGTTTGTTTTCTTATAATCTACATAACTTAAAGTAGGTATGCCGAGATGTATGCACAAGTTTTGTCATTAGAAGTATAAGAGCTTCATTTTAATTTGAACCATATTCAAGAATTATTTAGTATACCTATATTTATTTATGACCAAATTAACGCACTCTTCCAAATAATCCACTTATTTATTTTGGTCAAAATAGATTTTTCTAACCTTAAAATACAAAATTAGATGAATTTTTTTGTTCTAATACATTAACCCACCTTTGATATATCAAATACAGATATTCTTATTTCATAATAGAGAAGTTAGATTTTTTTTTAATAAATTCTGTTTAGTTAAAATATTTTATGGAGAAATGTAGACCCAATGCACAAAAATATCACTTATATTGCACTGTACACTTTGGAATTTCATTAAATGCAGTATTTATATTCGTAAATTCTTAAACCAACCATGTTATTGTGATACTATAAAGATTTATTAACTTTTAACGCTTAAACATAAGCGGTATCACTATAAATATGATTTCTTTCATTGACTATACTTTGACAGATACATAACCTGAAAAGCCTTAAATGCCAAATTTTCAAAATACTGCGTTCTGTACTTGGTCACGTGGTGGGACTTTAAGGTGTGGAGCATAGTACCTATAATTATTGCTGGAAATTGATGAAAATTGGTCTGGAAAACCTGGAAAAGTCAGGGAATTTTGTTTCATTTTCTTGGTGGGAACCCTGTTAAAACAAAGCTTCCAAAAATAAATTGAAACGGATTTAATTTAATGTAGTTATATTATAAAAACAAAACATTTTGAATATGGGAACTTGCATGCTTTGTAAAAAAACATGCATCATCCATAAAACACATATCACAAGTTAAAAAAACAAACGAGTATAAACTTGAAACATTTCTTTCAGATGGAAATGACGAGAAGGTCGAATAGTAGAAGCACCCTTCACTATGAACAACAGCAACCTTTCACACCGGTTTCACGTGTGACCAGAAAAAACCCATTCCCGCCCACCAATGTGCCTGCAATAAGGATACAGCCCGATACACCCTCAATGGGAACCCCCCTTCGCAATAGGGTTCTTAGTGCAAAAGTACTTACTCCCAGAATGCCAAAAACTCCGAGAGCCGCCACGGCATTTTCCACCGCCAAAAATAACAATAACATGCAAGTTGATTTTTAAGTTTTATTTATTTTATTTTTTTAACTCCCAGAGCCGTCACGGCATTTTCCAGCGCGAAAAATAACAAGTAGATTTTTAAAAATCTACTTGTTATTTTTGGCGGTGGAAAATGCCGTGACGGCAATTTTGTCGCGTCCTTAATAATAAAAGCTACCGTAATTAAATTTAATACTATTGCAATAGTTACTTACTATAGCAACATGCATGAGATTGTAATAATTAAGCTTAATCTTATTAAATTACGGTAGTTTTTACTCGCAATTTTGTATTATTACGGATATAATGTTGTTTAATGTTCGTTTGTTTTTAACCAGTATTTTATTATTATAACTAGCAGCTTTTAATCTTTAACCAATGTGTAGTTTGTTGTGTACATATTTATATACATATATTTTATCATAATAAATTATATTACTTTAAATAACACGCGTTTTATTTTAAAAAAGTTTTTATTTCTCAAAATTTGTGTAAATTTACATTGGAAAGGTTAAGACTAGTGCTCTAAAATTTACAGTTATTGACCAGGTAGTGCTTTTATATGATTAAAATAAATTATTATTGTGTAAGGTTTACAACACCCTGTATATATTTTATATTTAAATATGTTGTTTTAATTAAACTGTACCAATAAAGTAGAATTTTCAAATTTAAAACTGCTTGTGATTTTGCTTAAATTCCACGCCAAATCGGATGGTTTCAAAAAATTATTTAATTTCTCCAATTTTTTTATATTTTTAGTACCTACTCCTTGAAAGACCTTTCTCAGTAAATTTTGAGATTTTTTTGATCACAGGTTCAAAAGATATCAAATTTTCAAAAAAACTGCTTTTTTTTGTTTTTCGCTCATAACTTCTTAAAAAATGATCCAAATCAAAATGTTCATTCTATATAAAATTTTCGATTTTTCGAAAAAAAATATATTGAAAATATTTGAAGCGTTTTAAGTCAAGATTTTTGAGTTTTAAACTTTAAATCCTGTTTTTAAAAATGTGTCTTCTTCGATTTTCGCGAAAAACTTTTATTTTTAACTCTATTCAACAACTATTCAGCCTGGTCCGGTAGTGGGCCTTCCATAAATACTATTTTTTTCGATTTTTCAAAATTAAAAAAAAAGTTTCGAAAAAAAATAGTAATTATGGAAGGCCCACTACCGGACCAGGCTGAATAGTTGAATAGATAGAAGTTGAAAATAAATTTTTTTCGCGAAAATCGAAGAGGACACATTTAAACATGATTTAAACTTTAAAACTCAAAAATCTTGACTTAAAACGCTTTAAATATTTTCAATGTATTTTTTTTCAAAAAGTACATTTAAAAACGAAAATTTTATATAGAATGAACATTTTGATTTGGACCATTTTTTAAGAAGTTATGAGCGAAAAACAAAAAAAAGCAGTTATTTTGAAAATTTGATATCTTTTGAACCCGTGATCAAAAAAATCTCAAAATTTACTGAGAAAGCTCTTTTAAGGAGTACTAAAAAAATATATAAAAATTGGATATTAGAATTGGGATGAATTTCAGTGTAAAATTTATATTAAAAATGCTCCATGATTTTGCAAAATTTCTATTTTAATAATTCGTAGTTGGTTCTACAAAAAAATTAAGTTACTAAAAAATAAATTAGCCTTGATAACAATTTTACCAACATTTTTATCCATGGTCTTGTCATGGTCTTGTAATTTAGAAGAATTTCAATAGGAAACAGACTAGAAACCTCAAAGAGCCCACGTCACATAACATAACGAATTGTCGTTAAAACTAAACATGTTTTCAATGTGTATTTTAAATAAAATAAAAATAAATTTTCCCGAGCGTTTTAAGAAAAAAAAACAAACACACTTCGCAAATATAAAGGGTGTTTAAAAAACATGAGCCAATGCTTGGCTCCAAATATATGAAAATAATTCATATAACAGGTCCAAAAATGTTTAGTTTTGTTTAAACATTAAAAAACGGTTTTTTTAAATATCTTTTGCCCGATTTTGTTGAAATTTGGCAAAGTTATTTATACTGATAAGAAGCTAATATTGCTTTTTTTATATCTTTTGGCAACATTATTTATAGGTTTTGTCAATTTTCTCCAAAACTGAGGAGGCAGTTTTTTGGAAAAGATGCAAAATATGCGTTTTGAATTTGAGTATTTCCATTGTAAAGGGTGCGGCACTGACACTGCGTTTTTTAGTGATAATAAAGTGTTTGTTCGGATATATCAAATTAGATGTTTAACTCAAACAAAATGTCAATAAAAACTTGTATAGCAAACCTTTTATAACGTCGCGCCCGTTCATGAATCGCGTAACGGGCGCGACATTAGAAAAACGGCAAATGCGACCAAGTTGGTTTCCAAAATTTTGGATGAAAGCATATAGTAATATTTTTTTGTGTAAAACTATATTAACCTCAAAAAAGCACAAATATTGCAGACTTTATTTTCTAAAATTTTTGAAAAATGAAGCGGATGCTACATTTGAACTTTTTATCGAGTATTGAAACTCTACCGTGTTTATTAGACTGGGCCAAAAAAATCGACTATTTTTTTTGTAAAGTATATCGAAAATATTGTGGTGGGTGACAAAAAAAAATTATGGTAAAAGTTTGAGTCCATAATATTAATATATTAAGAGGTCTATCATCGCAATTTTAGATTTTTTTTCCTGAGCGAGTTTTTGTCTCAGAACTCCCAAACCACTGAGTTTAACAAATTTGACTTAAGAATATTGAATGCTCTACAAAAAAGGTTTGATTGGAATTTCCCGTCAGATGAACCGTTTTCTTACAATCATGCCTTAAAAATTTATATAGTTTTACAATTTGATCTTTTAACTTTGTAATTCATGTAAAAATCAGTACCCGGAAAAAACCGATAAATATTCTTATGGGAAATCAAGTGCTCTACAAAAAAAAGTCTTTTATCATTTTTGGCTACATTGCCTTTTATAAAAAAAACACAATAATAATAAACAAAAAGAAAAAAATTTAAAAAATATTCCTCTCTAAAAATTAAAGTCCTGTCAAAATCGATTCAGCAGTTTCGGAGATTAGTCCGGACAAACATTTTAACACTTTATATGTATAGATAAAAAGTTATAACATCTAATATGATCAAGTTAAGGGTGAAAATGGTTTTTTGGATTTTCCAGCTAAACCTTTCACCTGACGTCATAAATGATTAAAACAAACTTGTAGCTCTTAAAATTCTCTTATGTGAAAAGTCTTTTGACTATCCGTATGCGTAACTTGTCTAATAAAACAGCAAAATCACAAAGGCCTTTTCAAAATTTCAAAATTGTAACTTTGTGGTCCAAACTAAAACGTCCTGCATTTAAAATTTTTAAATTTAATTATACCTATATTTTATAATCTTAAATTAATATTTGGTATTGGTGACGCCTCAATTCTTCAATACTGATAGTGGGCAGTGAATGATGCGAGGTTTTCGTAACCTAAAGACACTTACGGTGAAAACTATTGCATAACCAATTCGTGCATTTTTTTCTTCATGTACATTTCCAACTGCGAATAATCCAGCAGAGTATTTCTGACGAACTCGTGCAAAATGTCGGGCCACGCAGGTTCCAACTGCCTCAACTTCAAAGCGGCACCGTTCATGTCGTCGAGAAGAAAAGAAATGTGCTGCTTCGCCTTTTGCCGCAGCTGATGGTCTTCCTGGCTCGGAGCGCCCTTCTTCCACTGCAACGCCTCCTTGCTGACCACGCTCCTCAAGGCCGGATCCGCGGTCAGCAGCCATTTCTTTGCGTTGTCCTCGCTCAAACCGCGATTCACGTCGATCCGCAAACGCTCCAACAGCGGCTGCAGAAGAACATCGGGCAGCGACCAGAGCACCAGGTCGCTCAAACCGCGATACTCCTCGTTGGCGGACGCGATCTCCTCGTCCGTCACTTCCTCCCCGTTGACGGTCTTCAACCCCCAATGCGCGAGCCTATAAATGGCGTAACTCCGCCACTTCTTCTCGCAGATGGGATTCCCCTCGGGATGTATCGTCAAATTGTAACGGGTGCGACATTTGAACTTTTTATCGAGTTATGAAACTATACCGTATTTATTCTTAAAGTTAGCTTCTTAGCATTACAATGTACGAATATTTTAAGTTTATAAATTACGTCGCAATTAAACTATTGAGTTTAGATATAGTTTTTGTTTTGTAAATATAGTTTTTGTTTCATTAAATATCACATTTGATTTTTTGTCAAGGTGGGGTAAGGTTTCGCGGAAATACCCATTTTCATTCAATAATATGGTTTTAATTTTTTCTATCGAAAACGGGGTAAAATACGAAAACAACTTAAGAGACAAAAAGTTGCACTTTTAAGGCTTAATCATAAAAAATATAAAAATTGCAAAAAATTCGGTGGCGTAAATTTTTTTGTTAATAACATTTCGTTAAGGTGTCTCCCGAGATGCCACTGGACTTGACAATTTTAAACTAGTTAAATCCAAATTAGCTTCTTATAAGTATAAATAACGTTGCCAATTTTACCAAAATCGGGCAAACGATATTTAAGATATATTAAAAAATCGTTTTTTAGATCTTAAAAACTAAGCATTTCCGTATCTACGTTTATTTGAACTTTTATCCTTATTTTTGGATGACAAATTTTCGGCCGAGCATTGGCGTACGTTATTTGAAACACCCTGTTTATGTCAGGATTAATATATGTATACAAATTTGGCAACCCTGTTTAATAGTGCAAGATGACTTACTGAAGGTATTCTGAAGATTTTGAAAGTGCAAAACACGTTTTATATACATTGCCTTTTATAAAAAAACAGAATAATAATAAGCAAAAACAAAAAAATAAAAAATATATTCCTCTAAAAATTAAAGTCCCGTCAAAATCGATTCAGCAGTTTCGGAGATTAGCGCGGACAAACATTTTAACACTTTATATGTATAGATAAAAAGTTATAACATCTAATATGGACAAGTTAAGGGTGAAAATGGTTTTTTGGATTTTTCAGCTAAACCTTTCACCTGAGGTCATAAATGATTAAAAAAACTTGTAGCTCTTAAAATTCTCTTATGTGAAAAGTCTTTTGACTATCCGTATCTGTAACTTGTCTAATAAAACAGCAAAATCACAAAGGCCTTTTCAAAATTTCAAAATTGTAACTTTGTGGTCCAAACTAAGACAACCTGCATTTAAAAATTTTAAATTTAATTATACCTATATTTTATAATCTTAAATTAATATTTGGTATTGGTGACGCCTCAATTCTTCAATACTGATAGTGGGCAGTGAACGATGCGAGGTTTTTGTAACCTAAAGACACTTACGGTGAAAACTATTGTATAACCAATTCGTGCATTTTTTTCTTCATGTACATTTCCAACTGCGAATAATCCAGCAGAGTGTTTCTGACGAACTCGTGCAAAATGTCGGGCCACGCAGGTTCCAACTGCTTCAACTTCAAAGCGGCACCGTTCATGTCGTCGAGAAGAAAAGAAATGTGCTGCTTCGCCTTTTGCCGCAGCTGATGGTCTTCCTGGCTCGGAGCGCCCTTCTTCCACTGCAACGCCTCCTTGCTGACCACGCTTCTCAAGGCCGGATCCGCCGTCAGCAGCCATTTCTTCGCGTTGTCCTCGGTCAAGCCGCGATTCACGTCGATCCGCAGACGCTCCAACAGCGGCTGCAGAAGAACATCGGGCAGCGACCAGAGCACCAAGTCGCTCAAACCGCGAAACTCCTCGTTGGCGGACGCGATCTCCTCGTCCGTCACTTCCTCCCCGTTGACGGTCTTCAACCCCCAATGCGCGAGCCTGTAAACGGCGTAACTCCGCCACTCCTTCTCGCAGATGGGGTTCCCCTCGGGGTGTATCGTCAACGACCCCACGCCCTGCACCTCGGCCAGCGCGTTCAGCTGCCCCAAGCACGCGATGTTGGTCTCCTTGAAGCTCAGACTGTCCACGTTCGGGAACTTCGCCTTCAGCTTGAACAGCACGCCGGCCACGCTCGCGAAGTTCGCGTAGTTGAAGTTAGCGGTCGTGACGTCGTGCGCTTTGCCCGCGTGCCACGACTTCTCGACGAATCGCAGCGCGCCCTGCCCGTAGACGTTCAGATGTCTGCCGCAGATTTCTATTAAGTAGTCGCTGCCCTGCTCTCGGTCTTTAGGCGCGGGCGGCGACTGCTTCTTGACTTTCGCGGTGGCCGCTCTGACGTTGCATCTGCCGACTGAGCTCTTCGATACGAACGCGCTTTTTACGTTTCTCGTGCGCGTTTTGCTCGAGGCGGTGTTGTCGGACGAGCTGCTCGATTTCGTTTTGGCCGACGCGTTGCTGTTGCTCGTTTTACTCGATAGATTGCTCGATGTTTCTGTGGAGTTTTTCGAGGGCGTTTCCACTTTTTCGACCGGTTTAGGAGCTCTAAAAGAATAAACATTTCATTAAATGTTTTTCTTGGGTGTTTTATTATTTGTTATGATTTTAATATTTTAGATTTCTTTTTTTAAGATGTTCTAAAGTTTTTAGTTAATTCGACTTTTTAATTAAAATAAATTTCCAAGTTTTTTAATTTTTTAAGATTTTTGGTTTCAATAATTTATGAAAATTAAAGGTTTTCAAATATTCTTTTCCAATTTTTTTGTGATTTTAATATTTTAGATCTATTTTCTGATGATTTTAGTCGGCTAAGTATCAAACAATTTTAGCCAATCAGCATTAAACTCTTGCAAATGCGCATAAAGTTATGTAATCAACGTTTTAAATGCATTTTTTTACTGTATAAAATGGAAATTTTAACACTACTTAATTAGTATCTCAATTATAAAACAATTTTGTATATCAGGGGCGTGCGCAGGATTTTCTCATGGGGGTACCAATAAATTGTTAAAAATACAGCGTGGCCCATTTGTTTGCGACTCACCTGTAAAATCTTTATTTATTGTGCAATTTTAACCAGATTTGAATTAAAGTGTATTTCTTGATAAACTGTATTTTTGGAGAAAGAACTCCATATTTTTACAAAAAACAAGACCTACTATGCCCGTTTTTGAAAGTAAATTTTTAAGGGCTCATATTAGCGATTTTTTTATTAAATCTATGCATGGCACTGGATTCACCACCCCGTAAAACGACCCTATACTAAATTTAATTAAAAAAATTCAGTAGGAATGATTTTGTAGGCAAATTAAAAATGAACAATAATAACTATTTGGTTAAAATCGCATAATAAATAAAGTTTTTACAGGGGCGAGTCGCAAACAAATGGGTCACACTGTATATACATTTAAAATAATAACACTTATACAAAAAAATTGCAACAGAGTTGGGATATTCTTTTTTGTGTTTAGGACATCCAAAAACTTCAAAGTGTTCATCTCTTAGAAGTGGTCATTTCTTTTATAATCCTTAAAGTTACAAGCAAAAATTTAATTTTTTACAATTTTGCAATTTTTATTGTAAAGGCGAAAATAAACGTAAATATTTAAAAAAAAATCGAATCTAAATATGCCCTTGTGGAAATTTTTCTCTGAAAAAGTTTTAAGTAAAAATAAGAGTTTTTAAAGTCTTACTTTCTCTTAAAAACTCTGAATAATACTTATGTAGTCGGAAAAAGTCAGAATAAGACAGAGTCAGACTAATAGCAAGATTTGGGAGTCTTCTAGAAGAGTTAATAAGACTTTATAAGACTTTTAGCAGAGAAATGGTAGGAACCTAACTATAGCGATTAAAATAAATATCCGGAATTATTCAGAGAGGTTGTATTTGATTATTATAAAATAAAACACAAGGAAAAGTATTTATTAACATTTTGCCGGGGTGGTAATAAGCCAAGTTTATTGCATAATTACCTATATAATAACATATGTGAGGTGTAATAATTATAAGAATTATAATTTTTTACATACGCAAATATTCATCTAACCATTGTTCCAAACACTTTTTAGACACAATATCGATTTTCTCAGCTGACCAATTAGAGCACAGCTGATCTGTCATGTGATGGCATCTTCCCGAGTTTTCAAGATAGCTCTAGAGCTCTCCTGTCACTACTTACCAAGTGTTGCCGTTTGCGGGTATTTTACTCGGAAATCGGGTATTTTCGTCATGTTTGCGGGTAGAATTTTGAAGCGGATAAAATCTGATATTTTGCAAATTTCGATCAAAATACTAACTGAAGATATTTTCAGTAAATAATATTGTATGTTTACTAAAAATGCATAATTATTTTATTTTATATAAGATAACCTGTTACATTTTTATTTAAATATATAAAATTTTTAAATTAATTTAATTATTTTTTTTTTAAACAGGGCGAATGCGCTAGTAAATTTAAAATATAACTAGTTTTTTAGTACCTATTTTGTAATTTTTGGTCGGGAACTTTTATGACATTCATCCGGCAACACTGTAAACACATGAACCAATGAAAGCAACCATATTTGTTTTATGAGTTTTATGATCTGTGTATGTTCGACTGTCGGCCATATCATGCCTATGAGTTGTGACGAATTTTTATAGTTATTATACCTTATATACATATTTACTTAATCAACAAGGGATCTGTATGTACACAAACCAAACGTATCTCCCAACTGTTTTATTCTGTTCAATTAAAATAAAGTTTGTTTACCTATATTGTAAACATTGCTTCCGTGTTTTTATAAGCCTTATAACACAAAAACAGTGTTTATAAATCCTTTTCATTGTGCTTTTTTTGCAATAACCAAATACAACATCTCTGAATAATTCCAAATATTTATTTTAATCGCTATAGGTACCTACTATTTCTTTGCTAAAAGTCTTATTAAGTTTTAAAAAGTCTTATTAACTCTTCCAGAAGACTCCCAAAGTCTGACTTACTAAGACTTATTCAGACTTTTTCCGACTTAATAAGTATTATTCAGACTTTTTAAGAGAAAGTAAGACTTTAAAGTTTTTGATATATCAAAAAACTAAGTAACCCAGCACTTCCTGCACAATCCTGATTACGATTGAAAAGAGTAGAAAATTGTAGGGGGGAAACATGTAAAATGTCACTTTTGAAAAAAGTTTGTCTCCGGGTACAGATTTTTGAAAACGCGAGTTTTACAAATGTTGCAAAAGGCAACTTGCCATAACTGTGCCAGGCAAACAAAACTTACCCCTATGTAAAAAAGTTCAACAAAATGTTAAACAAATAACATAATTTTAATTAAACTCACCGTTCAGGATTTTCTGCCAATTTTTCCTCTCCCTTGCCTGTTCCAAAAGTCGCTTCCTCAACAGGTTGAGGCTCTACACTAGCACTACTACTACTAGAACCATCGCTAGAACTGGAACACCCCCCCTCCTCCTCATTGTCGCTGCTGGCCAATGAGCTGGCAGAACTGTCCACGTTCGGACCAATGCTGGACAGGCTGCTGCATTTCCTCAGGCCCACTTCGCATTTCTCGTCCAGTTTGCCGATGATGGGCACCAAAATGGGCGGCAACTTGAAAAGCTCGTTGTTCGAGTTCGAGGACGAGGTGTTTTGCGAGTTTTCCGTGTCCTGCGACGCAGTTCTGGCGAAGTTCAGCTTTTTGTCGGGAAGCGCCGGCACTTTGGTGAAGTGCTTTGGACGGGCGCCACTTTTGGCGGTCAGTTTTGATAGGGAGGTTAGGATGAATTCAGAGTCTGGTTTAAGGTTTCTAACGGTTTTATCGATGGCAGAAAAGGAGTTGTTCGTGAGGCATTTCGTTTGCGAGCGCAGCAGTTCCCAGTTTGTTCTTGCGTTCGATATGACCTGTACAAAATAAGCATGATTTTATAATTTTTAAACAAAAGTCATGAAATGGTCCCTATAGGGAAAAAATCTATACTATAGTAGCAATTCCGGAAAAGTCTTGGCCCAGCATGGGTCAAGATACTTTGGACAGATTTTTGCTCAAGAATTGTACAAGATTGTTCCAGATTCTTGGCCAAGATTATTGGGCAAGACTTGAGCCAGACTGTGGCCAGAATTTGACAAGAATTTGACCAGAAATCTGAGGCCATCTATTGCTAAACTTTGGGACTATCCTATAGAGTAGATGTTCTCATTCTACAGTAGTATCATTCACAATAATGTATACTAGTCGAGAAGTGAGTTCTCTGTAGGAAATGAGTATAGTTTTTTTGTTTATGTGAAAATACGAATAAGAGCTTATTGGTTTCGTCTTCTAGCTGATAAAAAAATTGATTTTTTGAAAAATAAAAATTGTTACTTCTAAAAATCAAAAATTAAAAAAAAAGTGTGTGTCAGCTCTGACGCATAACTAGAGTTTACTCTTTATGAACATGAAAGATTACAAAATACAAGTTTATTTTTACGGGCACCTGGTTTTTTTTTAACATAGAAAATTAAAAACTCTCTTTCAAAATTTGTTTCGTTTTTAATTCTATTGTTTACCATATTTATGGATAAAAACCGAATTTACTGGAAAGAAATCGTGGAAAATTTATGTTTTTAGTAACATTCTTAACTTTTGAAGTTCAACAAAATTTTGTATTGACGTGTAATCGTGTAAAAATTCTTGGCCAAGAATCTGGTCAAATTCTTCACAGACTTGTCCAAGTCTGCCACCAGTCTGGATAAATAATTTTGATCAAGAGTCTTGGTCAAGAATTGTCCAATTCTTTACAAAGTGCTTCTCCAAGTATCTTGACAAAGAATCTTGTCCAATTCCATTGCTACTAGGGGTGGTTTATTACGTTAATAATACGGGGTGTCATCCTTTAAGGAGGATGATAGTACATGCCAAAATAAGAACGTTTTTCCTCTATCATTTTTGCATTAGTGCATTTTTTTTAATAAAAAAATCATTAAAATTTGTATAAAAAAAATTATAATTATCTGCCTATTTTGAACTTATACAAGACAGGTTAAAAATTGTTTGGTAAAAACGATAAAAATAAACGGACTAATTAGCTTGTACTTTAGCGGTATTGCGTAGGGCCAAATAAAAATAAATCAAATTAAAATTGTAAAGAAATGAGGTTAAATTTTTTTTACTGTTGTCAGATGTCAGTTAAAATATCAAATAAAATTAAGAATTCCTTGCGGTAGTTGAATAAAATATTGTGTACAACTATTGGTCTAAACAGGAGATTCCACTCGCGTGTTAACTCCACAATCGAGGAATCTCCCCTTTCTCCCACTAGTCGTACAATATGCTATTGCTATTCACACAAATTTTAACAAATCTCCAAAAACGTAAAAAAAGTTAAAACTCACTTTTTTATGATGTCACACTATAGTACGTTTAGGCACACCCTGACACAATTTTAGATTTTAGAATGAAAAAATTCTATGAAAATGAAAATTTCAACTATTTCTATTATAATACTGATTTGATGAAACTAATAAACTTCCGTTAACAATAATTAATGCGAATTTCATTTACCTATAGGTAAATATATTTACAACATCGCGTGATTTCTTTTTGACAGTCAATTTGTATACTTTATATTTATTGTACACTTTTATAATTTAAAGCATTTAAATGGTATTGATTTTTATTACTTTAGGGGGGTTTTATATTTTAATAAATTTTCCTTTGATTTTAACTTGTTTTAGGTTAATATTTATGATATTTTATATATATACACTACTCAAAAAAGTCTAGGGATATTATGATTAAGTGAAATTAAAAACTTCTTTATTAATTTTTTTATTTTATTTTGTAATTGTTTTCAATTAAAAAGTCCTAACAATATAAAATAAATCAAAATTTAGGTGGTAACAATTTTTATTCTTCGCAAATAAAAATTACAAACTTGATTAATAAAATTTATTATAAATGAATTAACAAAATCAATACGAAAAAAATAAAAGCTTGTGTTCTTAGTACCGAGTGTGACCTCCTCTACTGTTTGCAACTGCTCTACATCTACGAGGCATACTTAGGATTAAATTATCTAGCTCATTTTGAGGTAATCTGGTCCATACGTCTTGAAGGCAATTAAAGAGCTGCTCTTGGTTCTCAAAGTAATCATTAACCCTTAGAACGCCTCTCTGTAGCATATCCCAGACATGCTCAATCGGGTTAAGGTCTGGCGACTGAGCAGGCCACGGTAAAACAGGGATTTGGTTAGTTCGAAGGAAATTTCTAACAACGTTTGCGGTATGTGGGCGTGCATTATCATGCATTAAACAAAATTCGGGCTCTGCATTTTGTGCGAATGGAATAACGACAGGACGGAGTATCAAATCCATATATGCGACTGAATTTAATGTTCCTTCTAATCGAACGAGATCTGTTCTTCCGCCTAATGTTATTCCGCCCCAAACCATAATTGTTCCACCTTGAAATGTATGAACCTCTTGAACATTACGAAGACGGTTTTCGGCTCCTGGTTGTCTCCAGACTCGTATTCTTCTTGAATCCGGGTAAATTCCAAATCTAGACTCATCTGTAAATAAGATATGACTCCACTGTTCATCTGTCCATGCAAGATGTTCTCTAGCCCAGATATCCCGTGCTCTGCGATTGCCCCTGGTTAGTGGTGGAACTCTCAAAGGTCGTCTACTCCAAAGATTAATCTCATGTAGGCGATTTCTTATGGTTTGACCGGAAATGGTTAGATTGTGGGTCTGCTGTAAATTTCGTACCAGTTGTGTAGCGGTCAAATTTGAGTTTCTTCTTGCTTGTAGTTGTACAAACCGGTCTTGCGCTGGGGTAGTTATTCTTCCACGGCCTGGGTGTCTTTCACTTACACTCCCTGTCTCACAATATCTACTCCAAAGGCGACTAACAACACTTTGAGAGGTGCCTATAGTATCTGCTACTAGCACTTGGTTTTGGCCGGCTTCGAGCATTCCAACAGCGCGTAACCGCTGTTCTTCGGTCAAATGAACTCTTTGCATAGTGAATATACCAAGCACACTTTAAATACTGTCTTTAAAATGAAAAACGTAAAATTATTTCCTTATGCAAAAAGTAGTGTTTTGCAAAACATCGACATGTTTTTTGTTTGGTTAATAAAAAAAATTATTAATGTTGTAAAAGTACACAGTAACAAACAATGAATTTATAATTTAATAAAATGTATTTATACTGTGCGTCTTTTTTTAACTTATATATAATTATTTAGAATATCCCTAGACTCTTTTGAGTAGTGTATATATATATATATATATATATATTATTTAGAATTTTGCAGGTTTTGGAATATCTTTTTTCTACTCCTATAGCATATTATTGACATTATTTGAGTTTTTTTTCGGAAATGAGTACATTAGATGCACAACTCTGTATTTGCAGGATAAGTGATTTCAAGAAAAACATGAAAAACCGCTCATAAGATCATTTTTGAAAAAAAAATGCAAAAATTGTATAGACGTGCTTTTGCATCATTTTTATTCAATCGAGTAAAAAAAAATCCTTTCAAATTAGGTATTTTACTAAATAATTGTAATCAAAAGTGTTAAAAACATAGTTTTGCATCTTCCTCGTTCAAAGACCAAGTTTTGCAAGTGAGAAATGCAAATACCAAAAAATAACAATTAATCAGGTGATTGTTATAACAATTAATCAGGTGATGGTTATGTCGTCACGTAATGCGTATACTAGCGACGTGATTGGTCAACAGTAAATACCGAGTTTTGCATCCGACAAGAAGAAACAAATACCCAGTTTTGCATCTGCGTCAAGTTTTTAAATGTATTTTATTCTACAAATACTAACTTATACATCTGGTTTACTTAGGTATGCTGTAGGCAGTGCAGTAATGTACAAAAATAGGATAAAATATATTTTTAAAAAATTTGCAAAAACCGAGTTTTGCATTTAATGTACTCAAATAATGGTAACCAATATACTCGTCCGGCCTAACAAGGTCAATAATGAACTCATTATTCACGATGTTAGGCATCAGGGATTGGCTGATTTCAATCTTATTTGAACCAATCGGGTTTTAAATCTGGAAAAAGTAAGATTAACAGATGTCAGATTTGTTTATACCGGGTGTATCTGAGAATCGGCGCACCCCTGTAACTTTTTTATTTATAAAGATAGACACATGAAATTTAGCATTGTTAATTAGGATATAAAATTCCACTTATAAGATTACAAATTGAATTTTTTGAACTTCCGGTTTTGCCGGAAATGATATCAACTTTCGATTTTTAAATGGAACGCTCTATATATTTTTACATATTTAGAATCATGAGAAAATTCTGAGTCGGACAGCATCCTCAAATTGACCTTTCGACGTTTCGTCATCAGAAAATGCATCATCATAAAGATCAATCTAGAGTGCTTTGAACTATTTGAGAAAAACGAATTTTGACAAGTTTAGACTGCTGGGAATGGCTGAGTAACAACTTTCTAAGGCAAGTTCCATTTTTCAGGCATTGTGTAAATTCATTAGAAGAAAATAAGATAGTTCAAAGCACTCTAGATTGATCTTTATGATGATACATTTTCTGATGACGAAATGTAAAAAGGTCAATTTGAGGATGCTCGCTGAATTTTCTTAGGATTCCAAATATGTAAAAATATATAGGGCATTCCATTTAAAATTCGAAAGTTGGTATCATTTCCGGCGAAACCGGAAGTTTAAAAAATTCATTTTGTACTCTTATAAGTGGCATTTTATATCCTAATTAACAATGCTAAATTTCATGTACCTATCTTTATAAATAAAAAAGTTACAGGGGTGCGCCTATTCTCAGATACACCCGGTATATACGAGGGGCGACTATAATGATCCTTAAAATCTGGGAAAAGTGAGGTTATAATAAATTTTGTTATCAATGAAAATTACTTAATTGGAGTAGAAATAATGCGCATTATTTACTCGAATGAATTACGTCTTTTAACTCACGGCTCGGGACGCAAACCTCATCCTTGTGAATAATAGCCTGCATTATCTCTTGAATAAAAATATACTATTATTGAACAAAATTACATAGTTACCAAAAATTAGCTATAAAATTTATTTATAAACAAAAAATATTACAAAATTATAGAGGGTGTCTTAGAAGTCCGTACCTACATACGTATGATCTACAGATACCCAGGAATGCCAGAAAATCCTACCTTTTTTTATTTCATTTAAATGGCAACAATGCTGAATAATAATTTTTAAAGTGGTAGTTTAATTCTTAACCCACAAATTTACCATACCCACAAATTAACCTTAAAATTGAAATTTGACAGTTTGTTGACAGTCTTGATAGAATAAGGTTTATTTTTTACAAAAGTTAATCTGTAAGAAACGTTTAAAGCTTAATTTTTATGTATCCGTTTGTCGGTTAGTCCGTTCATCCGGGAGCGCTCTTATTGGTCCAATTATAATTCGAAAATTATGACATTTTATCGGTCCGTCAAGTTTTAACTTAAGTTAAAACTTGACGAATTCGTACGTCTGACAGATAAAGTTAATAGTATATTACACTAAAAGGGCAGAAAGTGTGAGATTCCTTCGGACTTCGCCTCGGACATCATGGCGCGCAGTTCAGGGCTCTCACACTTTCTGCCCGTGTAGTGTATACTATTTTTCTTGCTACCCGGCCGAAAATACGGGAAAAAATTAAATGTGTATATCGAAACATATTGATGCCTGCGGCACGAGCGATATTATAGTATAGCTTGACCATATATCGATATATTTGTATATTTTTTATTTTGTAGAAGGATAAAAAATTACATTTTCTTACTACCTCGGCCGAAAATACGTATAGCTTGACCAATGCATCAAACGTAAACTTTCTGCCGTGGAATCGGGGACGAAACAACGTATTTTCTGCCGAGGTAGTAAGAAAAATAATTTTAACTTTATATGGTATATTAAATATACTTTATTTAGTAAATATTATTTACCTACCTTTAAATTTAGACAGCTAACTGTTAAAGTTACAATTGTTGGTAACTAACAATTAAGCATTAGGTAAATCTAGTAAAGTGAATTCTAAGATGAATTCACTATACATACTGACACTTAATTTCCATTTGTCGCCAAATCAATCCGTTAAACGTCATTAAAAAACGTATGCATGAAAATTAGAACATTTCTTATCGGACGATTTTATTGAAAAACGGACAAACGGATAACGGACAAACGTATAGGTACATGAAAATTAAGCTTTAATCTGTAAGAAACGTTTAAAACGATTAGTAATCTGTATAAACAGCAGTAGAATTGTAAACAACATAAAATGGCCGCCGTTAGAGTCTGTGCAGTGGGTTGCCTAACTTGTGGGGATTGTGAATAAGGCTAAAAATATTAATTAATCTTTCAAATAATAGATCAACCTGTTGTGTATTTTCATATTTTGTTTACTTAAATTACTAATAATTAATAATAAAAAAAACTGTAAAAATGAACAATCCTTACCTCTTCTCTGCGTACATTGAGACAAACATCACTGGTTAAGTCCATAAAAGCTGTATTGGTTAATTCCTTGTTCCTCCTCCAGGCCATCGCGGCCTTGCGCACTTGATCCGTAATCTGCATCGTGTTAACTTTAACCAGCAGAGGCAAATACGAAACCAGAAACGACAAACACTCGCCATTCAAAAACACCGGATTGTTATCTATCGATATTTCCTTCAAATTCGTCGACCGCGCCAGACTGCTAAAGTCTTCCACGCTGTAAAATACATAACGATGAGATGATGTGCAAATTATCGATTTTTCATTACCTTTGTAAATCATTATTGCTTAGAAATAACTTGGATAAATTCGTGGTTTCGCCGAAACCGAGAAGTTTCTTGCATTTGTTTCTCCTTAAATTTAATTCTTGCAACGAAGTCAAGTCTTTGAAATCGGCTGTGCCTACAGTTTTTATTTGATTGCCTGCTAAATTTAACACCTTTAATTCGGTCAGTGAGCTTAGTCCACTTATTTGTACAATTTGATTTCCATGCAAGTCCAGAACTTCCAACTTTTTCAGGCCTTCTAAGCCCTCAATTTTTTTTATCCTAAGTAAAATATACATGTTAAAAATGTTTAGCATTGTCAATTTAGATTTTTTTCTTAAAGGAATATTGATACCTAGTAAATGTGTTTATTTATATATTTTATATTTTGGCTATATTCACTCCATCAAAAGTTATTCATATATTAATATAATTATATCACGAGAACTATGAATTTAATCGGTTAAACTAGGCTCAGTAGTTTTTTGTTTGGTTTTTCTTGATAAATGTTGAATGCAAAATAATTTAATAAAATCACGAGACCGCGTAGCGGTCGAGGGGTTTTATTTTTAAATATTTTGCATGAAACTATTTTCCAAAAAGAAAAATCAAATAAAAAACTTACTGAGCATAGTATGACAGATTAAATTTATAGGTTGAGTGATATATGTCTAGATTATTTCTCGAATTAAAGGAAACTATTTGACAATTCATAAAATATGACGTATGTGTCAAAATTTATAAATATTTTTTTAAAGAAAATTCCATTAATTTAAGGTATGTAATAAGTAATACCTAATTGATATTTCGTAAACTAGATAACTTATTTTTTATTGTTTTTTAAAAAATGTTTGTTAAAACTTGTAAATAACACCATAAAATCGTAAACAAAAATCCAATATGGAGGCTAAAATTTAATCGCTGTTAAATAGTTCTAGTGATTTAATCGCTTATTTAAACGAAATTATATTATAATGAGGGAAATAATTAAGGTTAAAAGTTGAAGTCAAAACGAAATTCTTGTTTTTTTCCGCTGCAGATTTGTTTTTGGGTCAGTTAAAAACTTGAATTCTTTTATCGATGATAATCTTTATGTTATTAATAAAATTACTGAAAATTCAAAAAAAATTATATATTTTTTCGCATTTAGAAGCTATTTTCTTTAGAAAGTATAATTTTCACTGTTATTTAATTGTTTAAACAATAACAATCATATTTTTTATTGAAAATTGTTAATTAGTTAAATAATACACGTTTATAAAGAAAAAAAATCAAATTATCATCCTTAAAAAACAAATCTACATAGGAAAAAACAAGAATTTCGTTTTAACTTCAACTTTAACCTTGAAAAACTTTTGATTGATTGAATTTAGTCAAAAATGTTAAGAAACTCTTTTTGTAGAGCATTTGATTTTCCATTAGAATATTTATCGGTTTTTTCCAGGTACTAATTTTTACATGAATTACAAAAATTCCAAAATTAAAAGATCAAATTGTAAAACTATACCAATTTTTAAGGAATGATTTTAGGGAAGCGGTTCATCTGACGGAAAATTTCATTTGGACCTTTTATGTAAAGCAATCAATTTTCTTAAAAAAATATATCTGAGTCAATTTTGTTCAACTCAATGGTTTGGGAGTTCTGAGACAAAAACTCGCTCAGGAAAAAGAAAATTTAAATTGCTATGATAGACCTCTTAAGATTTATATTATGGCATCAAACTTTCATAAAAATTTTGTCAACCCAAAAAATATTTTCGATAGGTACAGTTGTATTCAATAAAAAAGCGTACAAGAATTAGAATGAGAGAAAACTGTCAAAATAATATTATTGCTTAAAACCGGCTTATCACTGACATAAGTCATTAAAATAATTACTATAGGTTATAAAGAGCATTGACGTCTTAGGTTAATTAAATAATATTACAAAAATTATTAATTTTTAATATACGATCGTACTGTGGTATAATAGAAATAAAAAATCTATATTAAAAATTAATAATTTTTGTAATATTATTTAATTAACCTAAGACGTCAATGCTCTTTATAACCTATAGTAATTATTCGAATTGACCATTCTTCTTCGATTTTTGATACTATTTGAGCCTTTTTAACTGACGAGGCATTTTTATTTTCTACTGTCAGTTATAGTGACTTAAGTCAGTGGAAAGCCGGTTTTACGCAATAATGTTGACAGTTTTCTCTCATTCTAATTCTTGTACGCTTTTTTAATGAATACAACTGTACTATCGCTAACAAAAAAAACTCATACAGCTTAAAAATCTAGTGTTCCTGATTTTCTATCATTTCGTTGGAGTAATTATGGCTTTTAACACGATACGTCACATTTGAAAGGTCTAAAATTAAATACAAAGTTAGGTTGAAGTTTGAAAAAAAATATAATATTTCGTCATCCCTCTGTTTTTGTCAATTACTGCCCGCAAACGGCAAAGCATGGAAGTCGCCGTCTTGCTTTATCTCGTTCCAAATGGCTTCAATGGCTTGCCAAAGTTCTTCTGCATTGTTTGGTTAAAAATGTTGTTAAAAAAGTCATAATGGATGTGACAAAGCTCGATGTCAGCTTGACATTGACGGAAAAGTTTTATTCACACAGCCACAATATAGCTGTATGAGTTTTTTTTGTTAGCGATAGTACCTATACTTTACAAAAAAAAATTGTGGATTTTTTTGGCCCAGTCTAATATAGCATATGCTCCACACAAGACTAAATAAATAAAACAGTAACTCTGGACCACAAGGTCTTAATTTATAACACAAAAAATACAATTATTGTATTATTTTAGAAAATTAGAGATAAACTGACAGATACATAACCTCAATTATTACAATGTCAAAGTGGGACTTTTTGATGTGGGGCTGCCTCACTGAGGCAATAATTAAGTACCTATATAAAATTAATTAAATATTAATAATGAGTAATGGTAAATAATATAATAATATTAATATAAATATATCATATTATAATATTAATATTAAGATTTTATAATTATTACTATTATTATTTTTATTTTATATAGACTGAGATGATGAGGATCAACTACAAATTTCTTGATAAATTCACAAAATAACAATTATATTAACACTAAAGATATATAAATATTTTGTAAAATTTTTAAATTGGTAAATAAAAACCTGTTTTTTCCCATTAACAAAACTCTCAAGTTTTCCAAACCATCCAAACCAGAAATTTGTTCCAATTGATTATCGTAAACATCCAAAAACACCAAAAACGGAAACGTCTGATCTCGCAAACCATCCAAATTATTAACTAAATTGTGCTGCAACGACAATAATCTTAACCTATGTTCCCCTGAAAAATAAAATACAGAACATTTGACAAAAAAATAAAAATAAAATTAAGTCTAAACTTACCATCTATGACAGGAAAATTAATCAGTCCACGTCTATCTAAACTAATTTTATCGCAATTCTTTTCTTTTTCTGCCTGGGAGCGTGAAACATGTACAGTTCCTTCTGTATAAGTTTGCAAGTTGACTGGATCGCACAGATTGAACGAATCATTGCCTTTTGCAAGACTTGATGCATTTAAAGTGCTGTGAGACCTTATAAAACTCCTCTTAACTCTATTTGGTAGTGCTGGCTGGATTTTCAACAGATTCTTCTCTTCATGATGCTCAGGTGCTTTGATAGTTTGTTGTAATCGAAGAGGTTTCTTTTTTTCCTAATATGTTTACAAATATGTAAATATTGATGTTTATTTATTGAATATACTTACAATAGTAGCTGCGCTACTACTTGTTGGCATTTATATTACTAAAACCATTTTATTTTTTGTTAAAATATAAATAAACTGACATTTGTGACACAATTTTGAAGTTTGTTGATTGTGGTTATGTAATTTTAACCTCACTTTATTAACCTCTCCACAGAATCACATCTTAGAAAAATGACAACAAATACTATCCTTAATTTGATAAATACAAGAACACAGTTGTTAAGGACAGTACAATTTACCGTTCAAAAGTGTAATTATGCGAAAAAAGAATCGGCTGGTAAGTTTCTATAATTTATCATATTTTTTAGGTTAATTCTTCTATTTTAGGAGTTAGTATGCTTGGAGGTGCACTTAAAAAGAAAAAACTAGGTAAAGTAGGTCCAGTAGCTGAAAAACGTGTGCTGCCAGTTGAAACAGACCCCAACCGATTGGTCAAATATGCATGTGGGACAAATATATACAAAACTGGTGAAGATGTCGAGTTAAAACCTGATAGTGAATATCCAGAATGGTTGTGGAATATTAGGACAGGTGATCCGGCACCGCTAGAAGAATTGGACCCAAATTCTAAAGAATACTGGAGAAGAATAAGAAAAATGGCTATGAGGAGAAATAATAAATTAGCGCAGTTAAAATCTTTTTAGATTTTACCTTATTGAATACAGTTGTTTATTAATAGATAATATTAAGTTTAAAATTGTTTATTTATGAGTAAAACTTTAATTATACATTTTTAATAGGTACATCTTAACATATTTATAGATAACTATTTACCAAGCTGAAACTCATTTATAAATGACCTATAGGTAAGTATGTAGGTACTTATTTAACAGAGCAATAAATTTACCCATATATTTACCATGGGCAAACTTTCGCAAAATATATTCATTTAACATTGTTAAATATAAAAAATTGAATACATTTAATGGTGAGGTAAAAAGTTATAAGAAAACTTATCATGTAAGACAATAACCTTGCTGGTTGTGGTAAAACAAAAACTGCATAAACCAAGGTGTAAATTATTCTTGAAATTGTGTAGATTTTGAATAACTTCCGGGTAAACTCTTCAGCTGGTTCTGTAAGGGTATATAAAAAGGCCACAAAAAAGAAAAGTGGAATGTTTTGCAAGTCATTTAAATGAGCCCTGAAAATTTTAGTTAAACAAATAAAACATTTTGTGGGTATTTTTTCTTACCTTTTAAGTCTTTCTATGTCTTCTTCAATTCTTGTATCTACTTGTAAAGGAACTGCATCTTCTATATTTTCAAAAGACTAGAAATTTGAATATGTTGAATAATAAAAGTAATATTTTAAAACTCACCAAATTTCTAATTCTTTCAAATGTGGTGTAAACAGACATAAACAGCATTTTTAAAACCAAAATAAGACAATTTTCCAAATAAATTTTTAAAAGATTTTCGTTTAAAACAGAAGAATTCATATTAATTAATTAATAACTATTTATAGATTACTCTTCTCTTAAGAATAGTTCTTATCACTGTGGTACTTCTTAACAATTGCCCAAGTGAATAATGATATGCATATTATTATTGTGTTTATGGGACAATTTATATATAAAATAGATAATAAAATCATGATTGCAATAGACGCGTTTAAGTAAAGTAAAAAAATAAATGTTTAAACATTAAATTTAATTTAAACACGATCGAAATTCACGATGTAGGCAATTAAATAAATAGGCATATATGTATGTAGGTATGTATATTAAATACCTACATGCAAGTCCCCGCAGATTTTAACACCGATGATGTTTATAAACATGGATGTTTAAGAAATTCTTTGAGCGCATGCGTCTATAGACGAAATAATTGAAAGGGAATAGGCTCATATGTTACGAAACATATGTAGTTCATGAACATGCATGTTTAGCGAAAGGGAATAGGCCTCTAAGTATGGTTTCTTTATGTTTTTCCTGCTTGTTTATTTTAATAATAAAATTTTTCGGTAAAACCCATTTTTCTTAAAAAAAAGGAAATTAAAAAAAATGTGTTTTAAAATTTTACTCAAAAAGTAGGAGTATTTTTTTCTGAGAAATCAAAAATTTCCTTTTTTATGGTGGAAAAGGGACTTAAAAAAAATGATTTCCTAGAAAAATTTTGAGAGGTATTTTGTATTCTCAGAAAAAATTACTTCTATAATTATTATAGTAGGCACTAACTAAATTTATTACCACCAAAAATGTTTTTACGTATCACAGATTATAACAGAGACAATGTATCTGGATTATAGGTAATAGCACAATCCACACAACAAGGTCTGTTCTATCTCGTACTAAAAATACAAAAAAACACTGCAGAGTTTAACGGCGGCCATTTTTGTTGTTTACAATGTTTGTGCTTTGTTTATACAGATTAATAATCGTTTAAATTTAAACGTTGTGTTTCTCATAGAAAGCCTTAAAAGAGTCCTTAAAGTGCTAAGAACAACCATTTTACTCCTCTACCTCATAGATGACCTAGGTATTGTACACAGAACATAAGGTATTGTAAAAAATAAACTTTATTCTATCAGGGCTGTCATAAAACTGTCAAATGTCAATTTTAAGGTTAAATTATAACCCACAAATTAATCTTTAAATTGTCATTTGACAGCCCTGATAGAATAAGGTATATTTATTATAAAAGATCTTGAGGAGTAAAATGGTTGTCCTTAGCACTTAAAGGCCTTATTTAAGGCTTACAAGTGCCTCTGTAAGAAACACAACGTTTAAAACAATTATTAAACAGCACAAACCCAAAGCACAAGAATTATTGTAAACAACAAAATGGCCGCCGTTAAACTCTGTGCAGTGTTGCAGTGATTTTTAGTCTTTTTAGCATAAGATAGAACAGACCTTTTCTCACAAGTGAAATACGCTTTTTCTACGACTTTTATTTTTTTCAAATACAAAACAAAATAACCGAAAAACGTACGTGTTTGACAGCTGTTAAAATTCCGATGCTGTCATTTTTTTCCACCTTACATTTTGAAAGAAGTATTTTTTCTACGACCCCTATATCAAAGTCACATTTCGTAATGGCATCGTTGCTTAGAAAATGAATTTTTCATTGGCAAGGCAAAACTCAAATGTTAAGTGATATTTCTGAGTAAAAAGAAATTAGGTATTTATTTTGGTTTGGATTTTTAAAATAATAAAAGGGTCGTAGAAAAAACCTTTCTTTAAGCTCGTTTTAATGTTCACTTGGCCTAACGACCTCGTGAGCAACTTAAACACTCGCATGAAAAAGTCGCTTTTCAACACTTGTAAAACAAATAACTATTGTGTAATTCTGGGACGTTAGTTGGAGACTTGTAAAGTAAATGTTTTAAAATTAATTATAAATTTATAATTTATAAATTAATTATAATTTTTTTAAGGACAGGATACATTATAGATTGAATAAGAAAATGTATATTTTAAACATGTAGATACTTTTAACAATTTTCTACCTTACAGCAATTTGTATACAATTAGCAACAACATAATTAAATAATTAAAACATAGAAATACAATACTTAATAATTCTTATTAATATATTGGAATAAAAACACCTTATTTTACAATAATCTCCTTAACCATTGTCTCCAACCGTGCACAACAAAATAATTGACTAGACTTAGGACTGAGTTAGTCTAGGTTTATCCACAAACTCGATACCATACTTGAGTATATTTAGGCCTGAAGCTCCCACCATGGACCCCCAAAACAGCAAGTACAACAGAGACTCGGTGGAATATTCTGCAGGCAGTACAGCCGAAGCAACAAACATTGCCACAGCTACTAGTAATACAGAGGGGAATGTCATGTAACGCCAACCCCTGTCGATTCTAAGAGGCGAAATAACTTCAGCATTTCCATGAAACAAATCGATGGCATCTTGGCGCACGCCATCAGATAAGTTGTTTTTGTAATAACGCGTCATCGAGTTTATTCCATCTTGTATCAAACCAAACTTTGTGCGTTTACCGGTACGGGTAAAATCGGTTTTCAGGGCTCCAGTGCCCGAATATTGAGTGCTTATAACGTCTGCATTATCTGCCCACACATTTTTGAATAAATGCTCGAAAGTGTACTGCTCTTCCAGCCGTTGATTTGTCTGGATTACATTTAATTTTTTCAGGACTATTTCCAGGTTTCTATGTGCCAGCATGCTTTGGACAACATTGGTTCTGTCCAGGCAATCTATACAGTTAGTTCTAAAAATGCCCTCCTGAAGTAAGGACAACGAACCATCTCTTAACAATAGAAAATATCCCATCTCATCCTGGTCCAAAGCCAACCTATCAATTAAAATGGACAATCTATCCCACCGCATCTTCCTGCACTCGGCGTGAAAATCAAACGGTTCATATTTAACTGAAGGGTAAGCCAAAGTGTGTATGGTGTCTTTGAAAGCCTTCTCCAATCTACCCTCAGAACCCTTTTGGTCAACCAAATCAACCATAACCTGTTTACCGTACAAAACCGCCAAAGCTTCCAAGTGCTTCTGACAGGCGGCATTGTGTTCTTGGGGATCGATTTCCAACAAAGTTGGGGGTGGTTTGTAACGTAAATCGGGATTCTGATGCCAAAACAGCGGTATAGAACCCCTAACCTGCACAAAACTAGCTTTATCGCCCTGATAATCCACCAATTGCTCTGTCTCGACAAAGTTGGCCACATTACCGTCCTTATCGATTCCCCTTCTGTGCAATCTAGTGCCAGCCCTTTGAACACTCCTCCTGGAAATCAAAATCCACGACAAATTCGCGCCGTTCAGAACGCACTGGTTAATGGAAATGAAACCGTGCACTATGGGAAGGCAGAATTTTTTAGCACCAGCTAGACCTTTGAACTCTCTGAGCAAAAAGCCATTCCAAACAAACCTTTGGTCAGCCCTTTCAAGTAGAGATTGCTGCCAGAAATCCGGACCAAAATCATGCAATCTTTGCAAGGTGTGGGTTAAATCGTAGGTGTAACTGAAGTAATGGTTTGGGGTTGCTAGAATTTGCTCCACCATGCTTATGTAAGCTTGATTATCGGCAGCTTGTTCTGTGTTTAAATGAAGCATGCTTCTGCTGTATGGAATCAATTTTATCTGAACTAAACGCCATACTGCGTGTCCTGCTATATTACCCACTAACTCTCTTTGGGTGGCTATGATGAGGTAACGGCCAGCAACCAACTTTATTACTCCGAGTAATCCGCAGAAATCCTGGCTGCACGAATTCGGCGGTATTTGCCCGCAGTTTTTGGCCACAGACACCTCATCAGACGCCCTATCAATCACTATTAACTCATCGCTGGCTTTTGGTTGTAAATAAAACTTTTCTGTCGTAAAAAACCTAAAATAAATCAATCAAAACACCATTCGCAAAAACATCAACAAACTTACAGCGTCAAATCGTTGTATACATCTGAATTGGACATGTTTCACCCGATAATTTACAAACAAAATAATATTTTTCCGAACCGATTACAAATCAAATGGAGGTTAAGGTGATGACAGCTGTCAGTGTCAAAGTCCAAGCTACCAACCTAATGAGTGACGTAATCGCCCAGCGGCGGGTTTTAATTTTTAAAACGGTTAATGTTTCAGGAATTCGAAATATGCGACCTTTTATTTGACTTCCAATCCTAATGAAGTTAAAGATGATCGTTGATTTTTTACAGAAAGCAAATGTGGATTCATAAGTAGTACTAAATTTAAGAAGTACCTATGGTAGTGAATATTTTAATTTCTTATACTTTTATAAAGATTTCTTCCCATTTTTTCACACTATTTTCTGGACACCCTGTTTAGTAAATAAGCAGAAAGACGAGTCGTTAGCCCTTTAAAATTATACGGATATATCCGTATAATTTATAATTATAAATTATTGGATAAACATTAATGTTTATTTAATATTACAATTGTTAACTATTATATAATTAGTTTTTATGTAAGTACATAAATAATATTATTCTTATTATTTTATATACAGGGTGTCCCAGAATATGTGGGCTACTCCCGGATTCAAATAGAACACAAAAATAATGTGACAAGTTCCTATAATTTTTTTTTCTACAGCCCCCTCTTGTGTTGTAATTATAATAAAAAATTAATTTTTCCCCAAAAAAATGTGCAAAGTCATGCTTTATAGTATAAAATTATAGTATTTCAAATATTACTTACAAAGTATTTTAACAAAAAAATGAATTTTACATTGACGCAAATTGTCTCCGTGGTTCGGTAAATCCCCGACAAAAAATTTTGTATTTTTTTATTTTAATCATCGATTTATCAAAAATATATTACATACTTTTTTTATATATCATATTATATTAATATTTTTTGAAGTTTCCTGTTTTGATTCGATAATTTTTATTAGTTTTTTTTCTCTTTTGTTCATATTTTGATTTTATTTTTAGTTTTTTTAAACCATACATGTAATCTTCTATACAATTTAGTACTTTTTAGTAAATTTTTTAAATCCAAAACAAGCCCTGTGGTATTCAAAATTTTGTATTCTAAATATGAGTATCATGTAAAACAATAAAATAGTGTTCTTTACTAAAATTAATTTATTAGGGTATAAGATTTACAAAAATAAATAATACAAAGTAAGGCACTCATTCATAATACAAAAGTATAAAAAATATATATCAAATATGTAAAATTGGTGTAAATCCTTATAAAAATCAGTTGGTTACATAAATAAATAACACCAGTGGCATAGCTAGCAAGGGTGGCACCGATGGCAAATATCAATGGTATTAACAAGAATTTTTTTTAATCAATAAAAATTTGAAAATGAATGAAAATCAAATTGAAATATTATATTATTGTTTTATTATACATTCCAGGCCAAATTGTGAACTAGAATTTAAAATAAATTTGTTTCTAAAACGAAAAATATCCAAAAAAATATTTAAAACATTTAATGGCGCAAATCCCAACTTTGGGTGAATCTTACAAAATGTCCCCTGATGGTGTTACCCCGTGATATTTCATAAAACTAAATGAGTTTCACCTACACTTTTATTGTGTTTTGATCTTTCAAAATTAAATAGATATTACACCTCAGGTTCCAGATTTTTAACCGCAACTAATTATTTTTTACTATGATTTAAAACTCTAAAACCTATCCTCCGTGACTGTTACTCTTTCTAGGTTAACCTATATGTTTTCAAATATCTGAGGTAGTAAAAGCATACTAAAAATATCAGTTCACTAAGTAAATTAAACACATACAAAGCAATCAAATCAAAAATAAAATATTATTAAAAATTTAAAGAGATAATTTTTATAACCATTTATGTAGGTGTTACCAAAATTGATTCTATCCTCCGTGAATCTGTGTTGCATTAAATTTTATGCAACGGATGGCGCTTTAATAATTTTAAATAAGCAAAAACCTCTGTTTACGACATTATAGATGCATGTGATTCCTGAAGGTCAGTTAGAATTTATATGCAGATGAGAGTGTTGCTGTTTTATAATTCAAAAGTTTAAGTTCATTAATTTGCTATGTAAAAACCTATCCACCGTGAAGTGTAATATCTCAGTAAGTAGATTTTTTATTTATGGACAATTGTATTTTTTTAAAATATTAAGGTGTCAAAAGATACAATAACTTATTTCAAATATACAAAGGGATGTTTAAAAAACATACGAAATCCTAACCTCCGTGAAGCTATCTTCCTTGACTAACAGTTAAACAACCAAAAATAAAAAATAATCATTTTCACTTGGGGGCCATATCAATATACAGGGTGTTTCATAATACAGGGTGTATGGGAAAAGGAGGTCAATCCGTTAACCATATATTCCTTGAGTTAAAACAATAAGACTTTCATAATACCATTTTTCAATTTAGGCCTTCATGTTCGATATACAGGGCGACAAAGTTTGAAATTAAAAACTGATTTTTTTTTAATAATTCAAGTAATTGATAAGATACTAAGTTTAAATTCGGTACACTACTTCAACATAAATAGTTACATTTTTTGAGACCAACAAAACAAAAAACAATTGTCAAATAATCAAAATAGGGGCGTCCAGTACTCACTGACTCCCCCTATTTTTTAGTACGTGCGCCAATGACTTCCAAACGGAATTTTTTCAGGTAATCATTTATTGTTGAAAATGTTTTGTCTGTTATAAAATTTTGATAAAATGATTTGTTTTAGAGATAATTTGTAAAGTATGGGTCAGTCCATATCAAATTTTCAAAATTTAATTTTTTTTTTTGAAAAAATGTAGGTCATAAAAAAGTTCTCTAATAGGCCTTTAAAATAAGCCATCACTCACCTTTCTACTTTTAATAGTTTACGAGATATCGCTATTTTTGTAAGTACTTGCAAGACCCAAATTTATCGGAATTTTTTGATTTTCAAAAATCAATAAAACAAAAACCACCTATCGAAAAAAATTCATATTTGGGATTTTTGATTTTTTTAGTGAGGTAAACAAATTTACCAAAAATGATCAAAATCGGAGATGGTGGGGGAAGAACCTTTGGTTGATTTGATATGGACTGACCCATACTTTACAAATTATCTCTAAAACAAATAATTTTATCAAAATTTTATAAGAGACAAATTTTTTTTAACAATAAATGATTACCTGAAAAAATACCGTTTGGAAGTCATTGGCGCACGTACTAAAAAATAGGGGGAATCAGTGAGTACTGGGCCCCCCTATTTTGATTATTTAACAATTGTTTTTTGTTTTGTTGGTCTCAAAAAATTTAAATATATATGTTGAAGTAGTGTACCGAATTTAAACTTAATATATTATCAATTACTCGAATTATTAAAAAAAATCAGTTTTAAATTTCAAACTTTGTCGCCCTGTATATCGAACATGAAGCTCTAAATTGAAAAATGGTATTATGGAAGTCTTATTGTTTTAACTCAAGGAATATATGGTTAACGGATTGACCTCCTTTTCCCGGACACCCTGTATATACGCAGGACTTCAGGATGTGATAGCTCATCCAAAAAGATGAAAAAAGTCGCTATTAATTTACCCTCTAAAATGCACAATTTTCGAGATACAGGGTGTTGAAATTTTAGAAAAAAAATCGTTTTTTTCGAATATCTAAGGAACCGTTTATCGTATAAAAAACATAAGCTCTAAAGTTGACCGTTTTCGAGAAAAATCGACTTTTATGTTTAAAAGCATGGTCAATTTAAAAAAAAAAAATTTTTTACCAATTAAACAAAATTTATTTTAACGTTAGAACAAGTAACAAAACCAAACGAATTAAAAAAAAATGATTTTTTACACAATGCGTAAATGTGCGAAATGCGTTACCTTTACGGTTTGGAGAATTTCGCAAAGACAACTTTTAAATCATTTTTTATTTTTTTTTTTAATTTTGCAATTATCGTTTGGTTTTGTTACTTGTTCTAACGTTAAAATAAATTTTGTATAATTGGTAAAAAAAAATTTTTTTTCAAAAAATTGACCATGTTTTTAAACATAAAAGTTGATTTTTCTCGAAAACGGTCAACTTTAGAGCTTATGACCAGGAGTAAACCGTACTTTTTTCAGGGGCGTAGAAGTTGAGGAGAAAAACACCCGCTACCCCTTCAAAATATTATGAGTAGAAAATGCTTACAAAAGCTGTTTTTTGTACGATAAACGGTTCCGGAGATATTCGAAAAAAACGATTTTTTTTCTAAAATTTCAACACCCTGTATCTCGAAAATTGTGCATTTTAGAGGGTAAGTTAATAGCGACTTTTTTCATCTTTTTGGATGAGCTATCACATCCTGAAGTCCTGCGCATATATTATGAAACACCCTGTATTCACCCATATAGGAATTTGAGGCATAAAACATAAAAATAAAGAATAACAAACTTGAAAGGTGTTTTCTGAAAAACTGAAAAATTATATTAAATATCACGGAATATTTTTCTGAAAAGTACGTTTAAAAACGAAAGATTTGAAAAAAAAAGTCTTAATTGCTCGTTTTTTTTAAGTTATTAGCATTTGTACCGCCATCTAGCGGTAATTTCATTGCATGTAATTTTCCGGTCGTCGCGCCCAAACAAGCGGCACCCCCTAGCTACGCCACTGAACAATACACTGGACGGAATTGGCACAAATCACAACTTGGTTTCGTGTCTAAAGGGCCTCCGCACTTGCCTCAGAATCACTGGAGGAGCGTTGCAATCGGATTCGTCGTCAGCAGAGTCAACATCTCCGTCACTGCTGTTGGTCGAGGCGACAGTCTGTATGTGCCTCCCGGTCCTGGGCCGCCTGTAATTAGGGTTGGGAAAATTTCACTTTTTGCTTGTACTTGAAATTTCACTTGAAATTTTCATGACATTTATGGAATTTATTAAAATTTCCTAAATTTCTGAAATTTCATGAAATTTATGAAATTTATTGAAACTTTCAATAAATTTCAATCACTTTAAGTGTAATACAGGGTGTTATGCAATTAATGTTATATATTAAAATGGGTTGTTCCTTTGGGTTCAAAAGAAGCACCTGAAACTTTTTTTTTCTAAATTCTAAAGTCTAAAAATATATAACCTTTATCCTACCAAAAAGTACGCCACTGATCGATTAGGAACTTTAGGTTAATCTGGTGGATTTATTATGTTATGGTTGGTAACAACAGTGATTCCAAAATCTCTCAAAAAAGTTCTTCTTCTTCTTAAATTTTATGGCCTTTAGCTTCTTAGGAAACTATTTGGCCAGCTCACTATGTTTTGTGTTTTGGTAAAACTTGAAGGCCCCCAATTAAATCAAAAAAGTTGACAAACATTGTTTAAATTTAGCTTAATTACAAAAATGACAAAATTAACAATGCGAATTGTCAATTTGGCGTTTTTATTAATTGTTGGTCATGTCATTTTTGTACTGAAGGTAAATTCAAACAAAATCCGACAACTTTTATGACAGAATCTAGTGCATTGCTTTTAAATTTTAGGTTATGTTTTCAAATTGTAAATATCTTAACTAAGGGAAGTGCTTTTGGATTTATTTACACAAATTAAATGTTTAAAGTTTAACCTGTGAACTGGTCCCAATTTCATCTGAGAAAAAAACTGATGAAAAAATTAATTTTGTGGTTATGGATTTCAAATTTCAAAGGTACTAAATTTTCTAATCATTGCTTAAGCTAATAGCTGGATGAGTAAATAAATACAGAAGGGTATTAGAGCTTTAAGGGCATAAAACTTTTGTATTTATTGAGTTTTTATTTATTTTTTGCAAGAACAATTTTTAGTAACAATTTTTTACATCTGGCAACGCATAGCTACTTTGTTGGTTGGTATCTATGTACTCACAAAATACAGGTGTGCAGAGATTAACAAGTGTGTAACCAGTGGCGTATCACAAAAAATATGAAAAACTTCTAATGCATATTTTTTTTTTATCTTTGGAAAAATGTTTTTTTAAATATTTTTCCTTTATTTCTTATGTCAAAAGGTATTCAGTATTTTAATATATAACATTAATTACATAACACCCTGTATATTAATATTGAAATAAGCCCACTCAGGGACCATGGCAAATTGCCTCTCTTACCTCCTACCCCTCTGTGGGCCCCTGCACCAATAATATAAATAGCAAATACCTATGTTTTCCACAAATTTCTTGAGATTTCCTTTTAAAATATTTTTTAAATTACTAAAACTAAAAGAGATATAGCACTTTTTGGTAAGCTAATGAGATTGTGCCACTTTCATTGTTTTATATTTATATACACTCACGTGCAAAATAATCGGCCCACACAAATTTTCGATGAATTTCAATCGCAAATAACTTTTTTATTTGATGTCGGATTTAAACGAATATTAAAGAATATTGTAGATAAATTAATGGACAATCGCTCACATTTTAAAAAAATACTAAAAAATAGACGTACGTTTATAATATACAGGTTTAAACAAAAAGATGTTTTTTTACCATAAGTTTAAGACACTCTGTAGAGTGGCAAAACCGTAAATTGTTCTAAATTAAGTTTTATTTATCAAGTCACATCTATTCTTAACAGTTTTGTTTTTGGTTCACCTCGATATATTTATTTTTGTGGAAAATATGGATTTTTTTAAAAAACATTGCAATTTCCAATATTTTTCCTGTATGAAGAACTAAGGTTGCTATGGTCCATCCATAGCCTATGGAGAATGACAGTGACAGTTTTGTTGAATCTTCCCATACTTGGACATGTCATATACAGCTTTCAAAAGCTATCAAATTGTTTTTTGTAAATTAATGTGTTAATTTTGAGGTGTCTTCTTACTTTTAAAAATGACTTCGACTGATATTGCCCTTTGTACTTTACTTCTTATGACGTTTAAAACACTTGCCACGTAAAACTGTGACCGTCCATCCTGGATTAAATTAATAGCTCTGGCAACATCAGTCGGAGATATATCCATTTTATAAAGTAAGAAGACACCTCAAAATTTAAACATTAATTTGCAAAAAACAATTTGATAGCTTTTAAAAGCCGTGTATGACATGTCCAAGTATGGGATGATTCAACAAAACTGTCACTGTCATTCTCCATAGGCTATGGATTAGGGTGATTCAAAAAAAGCCTTTTTTTAAAAATGAACCCGCACTGGCCTAAATTATAAAGATTACATTAAAACTAAAATATTGATACCAAAAAATCCAAATTCGATGAATATTTAGAGGTCGCTCAAATCAATTTTCGTATTTTTGCACATTCGAGCCGCGAAATTTTTACTGCACAAAATAGTAAATAACTTCGTTAGTTTTTAATCGATATTATTAAAAATTTAAGGGTTACCTAGTTTTTTAATACCCTCTGAGACAATGTATTGAAATTTACAGAAAAATATTTTTTTTTCATGAAAAAAAATAATTTATTAATAAAAACGTATCATCTTATAAAATAAGCAACAATTGGAATCGCACTATGATGGTACCGTAAAAAAACTAAGAAAATAACACTTAAATTATTTAGTATACAGAAAACCTGCCGAAAGAAATATTTTATTTGATTTATATAAAATATAACCTAAAAATAATTAAGTAATTTAGATTTTTTCCATTTTCAAACGATTTTATAAATATTTTATATCCGTTTTATTAATTATGACGTATTTTTATAATATTTCTTTATTTTTGATACCATATTTAATTAATTACACTAGGTAGTTATTAAATTAGGTCCTTTTTACAACTAAAATAAAATAACGTTAACTACAAAATTATTCACTCCATTAAGCAAAAATTTAAATTTTATTAAAATTATTCACATACAACAATTCTCAAATTTTGATACCAAAATTATTTGATTCTGTCTAGAAGTTGCTAAATTGACATACCACAATAATAATTATTATTCTTAAATTTTGATAGTAGGACCTACTACCAGGTAGTTGATAAATTATATAAATATAAATATATATATATATATACATTAGGGTGCTTCAAAAAAATTTTCGCTCTTACCCTCTCAAATGTTTTTATTTAATATAAAGAAAATCCTCACCAAATATGAGCGTTCCAGCTCAACTCTAAGAGGTCGATGTTTTTATTTTAGTTTCCCATTGAATTAACATGGGAAAAAATAATTTTATATTTGGAATTTTATACCTCTGTATCAAAGTAACTTATGGCAATGATTATTGCAGTTTCTTATATAAAATTTAACGCTCTACAAAAAGGGTCTCTTTATTTTTCGATAAATTGATTTCTTCTAGAGTTATTCGAGGTCAAAGTTTGATTAACATCAAATTTTCTGTTTTTTTTTTTTAATTTTTTGGTAAAATTAGCAGACTTGAGGTGGAAGTTTGATTAACATGGGGCACCCCATTTTGCCCCCCCCCCCCCGCTGCCTTGTTTTGCCCCCTTTCACCTCCCGTCTGCTAATTATACCATAAAATTAAAAAAAAAAAACAGAAAATTTATTTGTTAATCAAACTTTGACCTCGAATAACTCTAGAAGAAATCAATTTATCGAAAAATAATAAGAGACCTTTTTTGTAGAGCGTTAAATTTTATATAAGAAACTGCAATGATCATTGCCATAAGTTACTTTGATACAGAGGTATAAAATTCCAAACATAAATTAATTTTTTCCCATGTTAATTCAATGGGAAACTAAAATAAAAACAGCGACCTCTTAGAGTTGAGCTGGAACGCTCATATTTGGTGAGGATTTTCTTTATATTAAATAAAAACATTTGAGAGGGTAAGAGCGAAAATTTTTTTGAAGCACCCTAATGTACAGTTGTATTCAATAAAAAAGCGTACAAGAATTAGAATGAGAGAAAACTGTCAAAATAATATTATTGCTTAAAACCGGCTTATCACTGACATAAGTCATTAAAATAATTATTATAGGTTATAAAGAGCATTGACGTCGTAGGTTAATTAAATAATATTACAAAAACTATTAGGTACCTTTTAATAATGAAAAAAACAAACATTAAAAAAAATTTAATATTTTGTCATGCATCCCTGTTTTTCTATTACTTGAGCCAATCTATTTGGGATGAACTGAATTAAATTTAATACAATATTTGGATTAATATCTTCCCAGCAGTATAGTATAGTTGTATAGTTTCCCATAAATCCTCAGATATCTCAAAAAAGCAGCATCCTGTTCAGGGGTGGACATTTTGGGACGACCTGAACCAACTTTTTGGTTTAGTAAATCTTTCTGTTCCCAGCGTTGCTTAATTTTTAATATAGATTTTTTATTTCTATTATACCACAGTACGAATTGACCATTCTTCTTCGATTCTTGATACTATTTGAGACTTTTTAACTGACGAGGCATTTTTATTTTCTACTGTCAGTTATAGTGACTTAAGTCAGTGGAAAGCCGGTTTTACGCAATAATGTTGACAGTTTTCTCTCATTCTAATTCTTGTACGCTTTTTTAATGAATACAACTGTATATATATATATATATATATTTATATTTATATACTTTATCAACTACCTGGTAGTAGGTCCTACTATCAAAATTTAAGAATAATAATTATTATTGTGGTATGTCAATTTAGCAACTTCTAGACAGAATCAAATAATTTTGGTATCAAAATAAAATATTTCTTTCGGCAGGTTTTCTGTATACTAAATAATTTAAGTGTTATTTTCTTAGTTTTTTTACGGTACCATCATAGTGCGATTCCAATTGTTGCTTATTTTATAAGATGATACGTTTTTATTAACAAATTATTTTTTTTCATGAAAAAAAATATTTTTCTGTAAAGTTCAATACATTGTCTCAGAGGGTATTAAAAAACTAGGTAACCCTTAAATTTTTAATAATATCGATTAAAAACTAAAGGAGTTATTTACTAATTTGTGCAGTAAAAATTTCGCGGCTCGAATGTGCAAAAATACGAAAATTGATTTGAGCGACCTCTAAATATTCATCGAATTTGGATTTTTTGGTATCAATATTTTAGTTTTAATGTAATCTTTATAATTTAGGCCAGTGCGGGTTCATTTTTAAAAAAAGGCTTTTTTTGAATCACCCTACTATGGATGGACCATAGCAACCTTAGTTCTTCATACAGAAAAATATTGGAAGTTGCAATGTTTTTAAAAAAAATCCATATTTTTCACAAAAATAAATATATCGAGGTGAACCGAAAACAAAACTGTTAAGAATAGATGTGACTTGATAAATAAAACTTAATTTAGAACAATATACGGTTTTGCCACTCTACAGAGTGTCTTAAACTTATGGTAAAAAAACATCTTTTTGTTTAAACCTGTATATTATAAACGTACGTCTACTTTTTAGTATTTTTTTAAAATGTGAGCGATTGTCCATTAATTTATCTACAATATTCTTTAATATTCGTTTAAATCCGACATCAAATAAAAAAGTTATTTGCGATTGAAATTCATCGAAAATTTGTGTGGGCCGATTATTTTGCACGTGAGTGTATATTTATTATTTTTAAATATTTTACTGAAATTTTACGAAAATTGAAGAAACTTCATCAAAATTGTATGAGCCAAAGGCATTTTTTATCCGTTTTCCGATGCAATTATAGCAAAAGTAAAAGTTTAAATTAATCATGACTTTTAAAAAAAATTTAAAGTCTGATTTAATTTACAAATTAAATTGGTAACTGAATTAAATTATTTAAATTAATTTATGCATTTAAGTAACAATAATTACTTATAGTGTATTCAAAACCAAGCCGAACTAAACAAAAACGCCCAGACGCTTGATAACTCGTTCTTATTGGTCGATTCGGAATCTGTTGTAAATTATTATTAAAGGTCCCAGGGGAGGCCGCATGTGAAATTTATGCGAAATTTTCAGTAAATTGCGAAACTTTCAATGAAATTTCTGAAAGTTTCACAGGCAATGTTAAAATTTTCGAATTGAAAATTTCATTTGAAATTTTTAAAAATTTCACTTTTCCAACTAAATGAAATATTTCAAGTTTGAAACTTTCTAAGTTGAAATTTTCATTTGAAAATAGACCAGTGCAGAAGCCTTTAAAAATGGTAAAAAGAGAAAAAAAATAACAGTAGGATGAAACCCATTGGAAAAGGAGGGGAATATAATAAAAATTAAAGGAAAAATAAATTACGGGCGATCTGACTTCGGGAAGTGGGAGGCGGGGGGTTTAAGGGTAAAAAATGGTTTATCTCGATTTCCGGCAAAACTACAAGTCCTATGGAAAAAAGTTAAATGTCAAAGTTGTAGGTAATAAAAAGATCTACAACTTTTGTATTTACAATTTTTTCACATAACCTCAAAATTTATGTGAAAAATTTAAAAAACCAAGTTTTTGGTTTTTTATTCTTTTTCAAAAAAAAAAATTTTTCCACGAAATTTGGTGAAAACTTACCTTTTTATGTCCCAAATACACTGTAATTTATTTGATTTGAAATATTTATTATTTCGCCTTATTTTGACTTAATATCAAAAAAGCACCCTAATTTTCAATCGAAAATTCTGGCGTCAAAATATCAGCTTTTTTCAAAAAGTCGGTGTGCTTTTTGTTCGATGAACTCTCTACTTTCTGATGGTGTAAAAAAAAAATACATTACTATGGTAAATGTTCTCAGAAAATACAAAAAATATTATAATGAATAACGTAATCAGAATGAAGTATGATTTACATGTATGTATTTTTATATTTTATGAGATTTTCTGACATAAATGTTATTAGAATTTAATAAATAAACTTTTTAATTAAAAAAAATTGCAACAATCACATTTTTTTGATGAAATTGTACATAATGATTAAAATAAATTTTCGAATTCGAGTTTTTTTCGTTATCATTATAATATTTTTTGCATTTTCTGAGAACATTTACCATAGTAATGTATATTTTTTTTACACCATCAGAAAGTAGAGATTTCAACAAACAAAAAGCACACCGACTTTTTGAAAAAAGCTGATATTTTGACGCGAGAATTTTCGATTGAAAATTAGGGTGCTTTTTTGATATTAAGGCGAAATAATAAATATTTCAAATCAAATAAATTACAGTGTATTTGGTAAAAAGGTAAGTTTTCACCAAATTTCGTGGAAATTTTTTTTTTTTTGAAAAAGATAAAAATAAAAAACCAAAAACTTGGTTTTTTGAATTTTTCACATAAATTTTGAGGTTATGTAAAAAAATTGTAATTACAAAAGTTGTAGATCCTTTTATTACCTACAACTTTGCCATTTAACTTTTTTCCATAGGACTTGTAGTTTTGCCGGAAATCGAGATAAACCATTTTTTACCCTTAAACCCCCCCCCCCTCCCACTTCCCGAAGTCAGATCGCCCGTAATTTATTTTTCCTTTCATTTTTATTATATTCTTCTCCTTTTCCAATGGGTTTCATCCTACTGTTATTTTTTTTGGTTTCAAAAATTATCGACCCTGGTCTACAACCCTACCTGTAATATTTGAACTCCCTGGGAAGCGTGTACGAGCGCGGCAGCGACACCTGGCTCTCGAGATCGGAGTTGGCGTGCGAGCCGGGCAAGTCGACCGGCTCCGGCTCGGGCACGACGTAGTCGCAGTACAGGTACCGCGGCGCCAGCAGCAGCTCCGGCGTGCGGCTCCCGGGCGCGCGGGGCGGCGGCCGCCTGTTCAGGTTCACGCCGTAGCTGGCCAGGTTGTTCAGCGACGCCAGGCTGAGCAGCTGCGGTTCGACGTGCCGCTTGGTGCGCGGTATGGGCTGCCTGTCGTCGAAGTCGGCGCCTTCCGGGCCCACCAGCTTGCCCTGCTTGATTTCCTCCTCGATTATCTTCAGTTCCGCCAGTTGCTTTTGCTTTTTCTCTTGCAGTTTTTGGTGGATGTTCACGCGCGATCCGACGCTGCTGCCCTCGTTTTCGCTCGACGACGGCAGAGGTCTTCTCCAGAACGGCACAGCAACGGGCCCTAGAAAAAAAAGGAAATGGCTTGCTCAAAAGATGTAAGATTACATTTTTTTAGTTATACAGGGAATAGGGTAAAGGCACCAGTTATTGCCACTGTACCAGTAGTTGCCATTTATTATTTAGAAATTCAAAAACAAAACTATATGCAATATCTGTGCATATGGCGCACTGCCTATGTGTAGAGAAGTGTATCTAGCGTATTATGTATTTAGAACAACTGTCACCAGGTGGCGCATTTTTCGACAGGAAAAACATATTCAGGCAACTTGTTGAATCAGCTGTTTATAAAAGATTTCTTGTGACTTTGGTTAAGAAAGTATAAGATTAGTTTTTCATGATATTGGCATATGTTGTTAATCAATTTGAGTTTTGTTTGTGCAATAGGCATATATGCTAAGTAGTTTAAATGAAACGCATATAAATTGTTCGTTAAATTAAAAGAATATTTTGATTTAGAGTAGTGGCAATTACTGGAGCATTTTTTTCTTTTAACCCAATATTTGCCATTTGTGGTAATTAGCTACTGGAGAATTTTGGATTATCGTATTACCTTTATTAAAGCTCTAAACTAACCTATAATATTTAGTTTATACTTGACATTAATAAGAACATTATATTCAAAGAGAATCCAGTAATTTCCACCTCTTTTTGAATGTGTCAATTACTGGTTCACTTTAGTGGCAATTGATCAACATGGAACCAAAAAACAAGCCCTTTTTTCGCTATTCCCAAGAAAGTAAAGAATCTGCATTGGCTGCTTGCCAAGGTGGTATGCCATTTTCCATTTTTTTGTTTTATTTAATAAAATAAATTAGTGGCAATTACTGGCCAGGTACACTGGCAACTACTGGTTTTTTTAAAAATGGTCATGGCAATTACTAGTCCTCTATACCTCAATAAAAAAAAAATATATTGTACTTATAGTTATGTCTTTAATTTTTAATGTTTGGTAATATAGTGACTTTCTATAAGTATCTATTAACCACCATGGCTTTTTATTAGGACGAAATCTAAATTTCTTCTGGTACTTTTTTAGCTTTTTTGTGTAAACACTAGCTTATAATGGCAATTACTGGTGTCATTACCCTACGCTAAAGAAGTATCGGGTTTTCGCACAGACCACCAAAACAAATGGACGGATTTGTTTACGTTTAAAAAGCGAGGAAAGCATACTTTCACATTCTAAACACCGTCGAAAGAAACAAGGCTTCCAACGTTGTCAGAAGTATAGATTACACGCCTTTTTGGACGTTCATCATAACATAATGAACATTAAAAATTACCAGTAATTCGTTTGAATAATAAAAAAATTGTAGAAATCCTTAAGGATTTGTTCATCATTTTCTTTAGATATTTTTCTCTATTTAAAGAAAATAATCATTTAATAATTATTAAAATTAAATATTAACAACGTTGATAAATTAGTCATATTGACTATAGATAACAAAGCCTTTATTTTTGATATTGACAGCATAGAAAAAGGTTGACAGCTTGTTGTTTTGTGTTTTATAATCTGTGGTTTTCGTTTGTGTATTTCTATCGTGTTTTATTGAGTTTATATACATTATTTTTTACTAAAAATGGTGCGACAGTGTACTGTTTGTAAAAAAACAAACCAAAGAAATCCAAATCTATCCTTTCATAGGTAAGTAAGCAAAGTTTACATATCATACGTCACTGGAAGAAAACATAAAATTCCAATTTAACGCTTAGACTGTGACCGTTTGTTGAGGTCACTGGAAGAAAACATAAAATTCTATCTCCAATTTGACGCTTAGACTGTGACCGTTTGTTGACCGCAAACAAAGCATTGTTATTGAATGGCAATGCGCAGTCCATTTGTTTTGGTGGTCTGTAGGTTTTCGCAACGCGCGCGCCATCTGGTGGACTTCAAAAGCATTGCGTGAATTTAAGAATTGTCAACAATACATTTAAAGCATATGAACTGTAGGTACATCATTTTTAAATAAATAGGTAGTTTTTTCACAAAAGAGAGGAAGGCAGAAGTCTTACTCGACAAATTTTGTTCAATTGCACAGCTAAATCGCGCACGTTATTTGTGTTTTACGTTGCAAGGAAAAAACTAAAAAACTGGTTTAGTACTCGATTTCGATTGATTATTCTTTATATCATTGATTAAGAAACTCAACGCTTAAATGCTTATATAGTTACGTTAGTGTGTGTATTTTATCTAAGGGATCATGGTGAATTATTGTTTTTAATTGTAAATAAAATTCAAGAACTAAATCGTTGCATTTTCATGTTTTGCCAAAGGATCCAATTCGGTAAGTAGGTATATATATATATATTTGTTGGTGCAGAATTAACTAATGATAACTTCGCTGGTTTGGTGCAAGACTATCCTAAGTCCATTTTCAAAGAATTGGAGAAAAACACTATTGAACATTTCTATTTATTGTAACTAAATTGTTTTTTGCATAATTTGTATTTATTTATTTATTTTTGGATGTAAAACCTTCCTATTTTTTAAAAGAATGATGCAAAAAGCAATTTAGTTATAATAAATATAAATGTTTAAAAGTGTTTTTCTCCAATTATTTGAAAATGGACATAGGATAGTCTTGCACCAAACCAGCGACTTTACATAATATAATTTATATTTAAGTTTGGACATTTTTAAGAAATTAGTAAAAAATAATTTTTGCACAAACATAACCTTAAAATCCACCATTTTTATATTTGAGTTCTCTAAAAAACGCCGACAACTGCATTTAATATAATGGTATTTTACCGTTGAGTTCTCTAAAAAACGCCGACAACTGCATTTAATATAATGGTATTTTACCACACTTTAAAGAATTCTTAATCAACGCTTTAAATAATGCTAAATGCTGTTTAAATTTAGACGACTTATTTGTTTGACGATTATTACTGAATTGAAATGTTTACACTTTTCACGTTAATCATTACTAAAATGTGTATTTGTTGTAACTAATAGATATAATTTATATTTACAAGGACTGTATGAAATTTATTTTTTCATTCGGATTAACACTGTTTATTGGAAAACCGACAAAAACTCAACCCAGGATTTTCTCTCGTAATACACCCAACACAACAAATCGTACGTTTTTTTTTCGATATTTTTTTAAACATTTTTCGGCTTTATTCTCAAAAACACTCGTTTGTAACACACGCGTTTGACAGCTGATTATCAAAAGTTCTACTTTTGTTACGATGATAACAGCCCACGGTGCGGTAGTTTGACGATTTAAATTAACTCATTTCTCTTTCTATACATAGATTCTATGTGACGTAAGAATGATTTCGACCAAAAATTAAAAAAATCTATCGAGCACTTTTTCCTATTAAGCAAAAATCTCGTGTTGGACCCTTACCTGGCATGTGACTATTTTCTAAATATTTACTCATATTAAATTCATTTTTTAAATTTTATTTTGTTCAGTATACGTTAAAACCTCGGTTAAAACTAACTGCAAAATATTATTTATAACAAAAAATTTAAATTTAATAATAAAAAAAACATATATACAACTACTTCGGAAGTAGTACTTTCTTGAAAATAAAGAAAAAGGTATAATTGTACAAAGTTTTATTAAATGCATATTTTATTCAATAGCCTAATAAAATATTTATTGAACATTATTTATGAGTAGTTTATTAATTTCTCTGATAAAAGAAACCCGTAGGTATGTAGAGAAGTTCAATCCTAGACATGTTTTTAGACGTGTGTTAAAATGATAAAAATACAAGGCGGCTGCTCCATTCCAAAACACAGTATCCAACATTTTTTCAGAACATGTTTTTTTATATTTTTGCATATACTATTAAAACGCACCTTCTAGCTCGCACCGCATGCCGAGTGGTGGCGCTACTATCGATACTTCTTTAGCGTATTTATTTTGATAATTTTTAAAAAGTAAAACATACTTAAGCACGACACGATCTGTTAATTAAAGATATCAGGTGCACACGGTGTGCCTGAACGAAGTTTAAGTCACATAAAAATGACGCCAAAAACTGATTGCAGTTTCTTGTTCGGGACCCTTTGGTGAATTAAAAATTAAATTTACCAAAATCCTACCTGATCCTCTTTTCGAAATTTTTTGAAAATTTATAATTTTTTTTTTAATATTTGTTTATTTCAAAGTCTACCTTTGACAGAGTACACATTAAATTTTGTACACCGATTTTTATAAAATTAGAGTATATTATTGAGGAGACTTAAAGAATACTTTTTAATACTGTTCACATAATTTGATATATACAGGGTGTGCCAAAAATCGCTTATTTTTAATAAAGCAAAAGCGTAAATTCATGATTTTGGCATAACACGCAAAACAGATGTATCCCTATTTTTTTTTAGATATTTCTACGTTTATTAGGTTACAAAATGGCATTCTTATTAACCTTTTATTAAAAAAATAGATTTTTAATAAAATTAAATAATATAACGCTTAGAGAATATTTAAAATGTTGTTTAATTTAGGCTTTTTAGAAGTTTTCAATTTTGAACGAAAAACTAGTTTTTTGATCGGCACTCTTTGGAGATTTAAAAACGATATTTACCAAAATTCTAACTGCTTTTCTTTAAATTTGTTAAAAAATCATTTTTTTTTTAATTATTTGTTTATCGCAAAGTCTACCTTTGCCAGAGTACACATTTGTACACCGATTTTTATTGATTGCAGTTTCTTGTTCGGGACCCTTTGGTAACTTTAAAATGATATTTACCAAAATCCTAGCTGATCCTCTTTTCGAAATTTTTTGAAAATTCTTAATTTTTTTTTAAATTTTTGTTTATCTTACCTTTGACAGAGTAGACATTTGTTCACCGATTTTTATAATATTGGAGTATATTGTTAACGAGACTTGGAGAATACTGTTTATACTGTGCACATCATTTAATATATACAGGGTTAGCCAAAAATCACGTTTTTATATAGTAAAAAGCATAAAGCACAAAACAGATTTATCTCAAAAAAAAATTATTTTATTTAATTTTATTCAAAATCAATTTTTCTTATAAAGTCTTGATAAGAATCCCATTTTGTAGCCTGATAAACATAAAAATATCTAAAAAAACATGGGTGGGTATATATCTTTTTTGCGTGTTATGCCAAAATCATGAATTTACGCTTTTGCTTTATTAAAAGAATCGATTTTTGGCTAACCCTGTATATATTAAATGATGTGCACAGTTTAAACAGTATTCTCCAAATCTCCTTAACAATATACTCCAATATTATTAAAGTCGGTGTACAAATGTGTACTCTGTCAAAGGTAGACATTAAGATAAACAAAAATTAAAAAAAAAATCATAAATTTTCAAAAAATTTCTAGGATTTTGGTAAATATCATTTTTAAGTCACCAAAGGGTCCCGAACAAGAAACTGCAATCAGTTTTTGGCGTCATTTTTATGTGACCTAAACATCGTTCAGGCACACCGTGTGCACTTAATCAATATTTTTGTAAAAAAAATTATTTATGTTGCTGAATAAAAAAATTGAATTTGAATGAGCCTTTGAATACAAAAAGTTTTTTATTCAAAGATTTGGGCATCAAAGAGAATTGACGCTACATTTTAGCTTCAGTCTGTGTCTGGGTTGGAAAAAACCCAGATTTTTTTAAATAAAACTCAACCCATTGGGCTTTTTTGGATTTTATAAGTGGGTTTTATTATGTTTTTCAATTCTTGATGTTAGTAAAAAACAAGATTTAAAAAGAAATACTGTCAATAAGTGTTTAATCTTAAAATTAAACAATTATTATTTAGTTGACCTACTTCGGTCATCTAAGCGAACAAACCGCGTCAGCAATAACATAACAAAATACAACCTTCTAACATTAAGATGTTTGTAAAATAAGTATGTAAAATAAAATATCCCATTTGTATATAAGGAAACAATTTTATAATTAAAGTCAGTATTAACAAGACTATTGTGTTTTACTCAACTAACCACTAGTTTCCAAGCCTTAACTGGAGCGTGAGGCTGCGCTCCGCTAGTGGGACATTATTACAAAGATTCGGGATCCTAATTAAGATCCGAATCTTTTCATGGTCCTTCGAACCGGATGAACCAGTGACCTATGGCATGCACAAGTGGACAGAGGGTCCTTTAGAATAGGAGTGCAAATAAAAAGAGCCGATTTGGACAGTGGGATAGAGCAGATTCAACAAGTCATCAAAAACATGTCGCAGTTCTGTACCAAATTAGCATTCCTCACAAATGAAGTAAAATGTTCTTCTCTGGCACAGCATTTAGAAGAGAAAGAAGGACAGCTACAATGGTTAAAAAAAGGACTACATAAAACACCACCAAACAACGAACAACAAAAAAGAGGACTTCTAGGAGATATGCTAACATCAGTCTTTGGAGTCAACGACGAGGTTTACCGCGACATAGACGCCCTGGATAAAAACCAACACGAACTAATACGATCATCAAATCGTCAAACAAAAATAATGCTTCAAGCCCTGTCACGATTTAATGATACTGAAACAAGAATATACAAACAACTGGACAGATTCAAGGAAAAAATGGATCAAAATATGAATACACTAAACGAGATGAGTATGTGGTACAATACAATAAATATAAATAAACTCGAAATACATCTACTAGCAGCATACCAACTCGCATTAAATTACCTAGATGAAGAAATCGAAAGGTATAAAAACCTGCTAGATCTTCAGTTTAACAACGCCAATTTTTATGCCTTCCTTACACCAGCAAGGACAGAGGAGTTGATTAAAACAGCCTCGAAAAATTTACCCACAAATATACACATCATTAGCCAGACGATCATCAAAACAGAAGTCCAACACAGCAGCGAAGACATTCACGTATTTGGATACTTTACGATGGCAGAAGTTGATGAATATATGATGATCAAAGCAACTCCCACACCCCTAAAAGTAGAAAACGATAGATATTGGCTTCTCGACGTACGAAACAGCATCCTGGCCGTTGACTACAACAATCAACTGTACTTCGAGATTAGCGATGACGACTTAAAAAGGGCTGTCAAAAGCGGAAAAAACCGGTACATCTGCTCTCCCGTCATAATCCACAGCATCGAAAACAGTCCGAATTGTGTAATCGATGAAATATATCAAAGAAGCGACAACACGACATGTGAGATTAAAGAACAAAAATTTCACACAGCAATTTGGAAGCAGATGTACGCCATAAACAGTTGGCTATTCATCACTCCCGGAATCACCAAAGTAGCAGTCACATGTAACGGAATAAGAAAAGACATAGCCCTGAATAGAACAGGAATTCTTACTGTATCCCAAAGCTGCACAGTTAATACCCGCAGGAACGTGCTAACACCGAAGCGGACAGTAGAAATCCCAGTGTTGTCCAGCTTTACCCGTCCGGTGGTGGCAAACTTGACGTTATTAACGTCAAAACGTCATATTAAACTCCACCACGATTCCGAACAAGAACTGGTACTCAAGCCGTCAGACAACCTTGTAAACATCGAAGAATTGATGAAAGAAGAACGAGAGATCCAGGATAGCCTTAATGAAAATACTTGGCATAATGTCCACCATCATTCCGCCATAACAAGCGTGATAACTAGCGCTATAGTGGTCATCCTAATCATAAGTGCTTGGTTTGGAATAAAACAAATACAGATTTGGAGAACTCCAAAGAAACCAACCAACCCAGAAGAAATAGTGACCCTTGAACCACTGTATCCCAAAATCCAGGAGACTCGCGCAACCACTTCATCAGCCCACCCTAATCCTTTGCTGGCCCGGCAGGATGTTTAATCTTAAAATTAAACAATTATTATTTAGTTGACCTACTTCGGTCATCTAAGCGAACAAACCGCGTCAGCAATAACATAACAAAATACAACCTTCTAACATTAAGATGTTTGTAAAATAAGTATGTAAAATAAAATATCCCATTTGTATATAAGGAAACAATTTTATAATTAAAGTCAGTATTAACAAGACTATTGTGTTTTACTTAACTACCCACTAGTTTCCAAGCCTTAACTGGAGCGTGAGGCTGCGCTCCGCTAGTGGGACATTATTACAAAGATTCGGGATCCTAATTAAGATCCGAATCTTTTCAATAAGAAAAATTCAAATATATTCACTACCTTCTCCTTTACAACTTATTTTCGTCGTTCGTCCACTATAAAATTCATAAGTGTATAGATCGGCAGGGGAACCCCGGAACTTTAAAATTACGTTTTGTTTGGTCAATGGTTTGATCGTTTCTCAGTTTTAGAGTGTTTTGCTTTTGATTAAAGACTAGTTTTTTACATACATAAAAATGTAACGTTTTATCCGAGGTTTTATCTTTATAAAAAATAAAAAATATACAAAAATATCGAAGAGTTAAAGCTTAAGGAAAAAACCCACTTTTTAAAAACCCTGCGGGGCAACCAACCCTGGTCTGTGTACTGGTAAATTTGTTCAATATTTTAATAAATAAACTTTATTTACCTAATCCAGGCGGAGGAACAAAACTGGTGGGCTTCTTCTTTTTTCTATACAAAGCCGCGGCCGACGGACTGCTGAACCTGCAGTTGAAAACCCCAGGCGGAGCGGACGGTTTCTTCAGCAACCGCCTGACGTGGAAAAACTTGTAGTACATCAACATAAACAAAATCCCCAGCAGGAACAAACAAACGGTCAGCACGGGCACCAGTTCCCAATGCGGAGGCCTGTCGGGCCAGACCGCCGCCGTCCAGGCGCCGACGAGAAGGCAGTTCTCCAGCAGCATGACCACGTAGAAAATCGTCATGGTGCGGCCGTGAGGCTTCTCTTGCAGGTTCACGTAGGCGAGCACGTAGATGGCAGCCATCAGCGCGCACACGCCCAACTTCCGGCCGCGCTGCCCGTGAAACGGGCTCTTCGGCGATAGAAGCCAGAGGAACATGCAGGCCCAGTGCAGGGCCAGCACGAGGAAGATGTAGGAGTGGTAACTGGCGGCGTACGCCGACAGAGCCAACGCTCGGGCGGTCACGGTGCCCGCCCGCCATAATAATTGAGAAACGACGCCCAACCACGTCAAAATCAGCCTGTCCACGCTTTGAACGTGCTTGCTGAACGACGCCAGCGCCCAGCACACGGAAAACAAGGACAACGCGGCCGACACGGTGAGCAAGTCGTTGGGCGGGCCGGCGGCGCTGGGTAGCAGGAACAGCTGCAGGAGGAGCATGGGCGCGGCCTGCAGGAACCCGTGCACCAAGCGCAGGATGCACAGATCCCTGACCTCCCTTTTGACGCTGGATATTCGAACAGGTACGAGTAGGCGCGCGTATCTCCACAGCACGCCCAGCTGCAAGGCGTGCAGGGCGCACACTAGCGTCCTCGGCCAGCCTTGCGGCTTGCGCTTCAGGTACCAGTGCAGGGAGAGCAGCTGCGTGAGCAGGGTGGTGAGGACGATCGCGGCGAGGCACTGCGCGAATATCACGTTGAGGCCGCGCGCGTACAGGGCGTAGACGACGAGCACGTCGAACACGAGGTCGCAGAAGTACGCGGCCAGGGAGACTACGTTGAACAGGAGATCGCATAGCGGCAAGAATTCTGCCATTTCTTCGGTTGGATCATTACATGCTGGAAAACAAGTTTTAAACAATTAATAATAATAATCGTCTTTATTTTTTAGTAAAATATTACAATAATATAGATTATTAAATACTTTACATAAAATGGCACACAATGGCGAAGCTTAGCCCAAGGCTACTCTTACACTTAACCACGTGTGATATTATAATTGGTGTTTAATAAGACTAGAAAATAAAATAAATAAGAAATAGCAACAACAAAAGTATATACATATATGTATATACAGTGTGTCCGTAAAGTCCCGGAACATGTGATTATTTTGAAAACGGTATTTTTTTTTTTAAATCGCTGAAACACGTCAACTTTGTTATTTTTCTAGCAATATTTTAGCCTATGTAGTTGTTCCAAAATCTGCCGCGTGGCTGCGCCCCAATCGAAGTAAGGTTTTTTTAAATTACAACCCTTTATTTTTGTTGCATTTTTGGATAGCTACCGTTGTCCTGAGTACATTGATATGCTACATGTGAAGGGTTACATAAGAAAATTTTTGAGAGAATGAGGGTTTTTGCCGATGATTGAGATTTTGGTTTTGACGAACTTATTCGCTGTTACTGGGCACCACCACACTATTCATTGCTAGTAAGGGATTATTTAAATCAGGTCTTTACCAATGGCTGGATAGGTCGAAGTGGTCAAATTGAGTGGCCAGCGCGATCGCCCGATTTGAACCCTTTAGACTTCTTTTTATAGAAAAACCGCGTCTATGTAAACAGGCCTTAAAATTTGAACGACCTAAGACACCGCATTCAAGCCGAGATCCAGATGATCACTCCAGCGGTACTGGCAAACGTACAACCCTCGTTTGTAGACAGGCTGACCCACTGCCAAATGGTTTACGGTGGACACTTTGAGAAACTGCTCTGATTGGCTTTCCAAAAAACATTAAGCAACGCATAGATTGTGTTTAAGTTTGACAAAATACCAAAATCTCATTCGGCGGCAAAAACATGCTTTTCTCAAAAATTTTCTTATGTAACCCTCCAGATGTGGCACATCAATGTAATCAGGACAATGGTAGCTATCCAAAAATGCAACAAAAATAAAGGGTTGCAATTTAAAAAAAACTGACTTTGATTGTGGCGCCGCCACGCGGCAGAATTTGGAACAACTACATATGCCAAAATATTGCTAGAAAAATAACAAAGTTGACGTGTTTCAGCGTTTTTAAAAAAAATTTACTGTTTTTAAAATAATCTCATGTTCCGGGACTTTACGGACACACTGTATATATAAAATAAAGTAATAAAAACAATATGAAAACTAAACAAGTTAGTTAAAAAATAAAAAAAATATTCCTGTGTCTATATACTGTATAACATATAATTGAGTAATTGCATCAAAAATGAAAATCCCTAAAAACCTTTTTAATGTAATCTAGAGGTAAAAACACATTGCGAAAATATTTTTTTATATTCCAAAAGTTCAACCCGGCCCCAAAATATCAAATTGAAAAAAAGGTACTTTTCAAACGTTCCCGAACTCCCGCCATATTGCATGACGTCATAAACCTACACCAGTAACATGGAAAACGCGAAAACAAAAATTGGTTGTAAATATTGTTTTGTGCCTTGTTGTACAAATACAACCTGGAAAACTCCTGGGAAAGTTGTCCCTTCAATTATCAAAAGCAAAGTTTATGACACTGAGAGCCGTTACGGCTCAGCCGTATTTTCTTGAGTTTATTATTATTTAACATACCTATTCCAACCATATACCTAGTAAACGACGTTATATATACTTACATTAAAATGATTCTCGCAGCAATAGAATGTTGATTGCGGTGATGATGTTTTGATATCGCGCCGAGCTATTTTAATCCACTTTATCCTTATTTTCCCAGGAGTTTTCCAGGTTGTATTTGTACGTCATGCAATATGGAGGGAGTTCAGGAAATGTTTGAAAAGTACCTTTTTTTCAATTTGATATTTTGGGGCCGGGTTGAACTTTTGGAATATAAAAAAATATTTTCGCAATGTGTTTTTACCTCTAGATTACATTAAAAAGGTTTTTAGGGATTTTCATTTTTGATGCAATTACTCTATTACTCTCTAAAACAACAAAATTGTTTACAAAATAATATTATAAACTTAAATGAAAAAAGAAGCTCATACTTTTTTTAAATTTATTTAGAGACATAGATTTATAATTATTATCAATTGAGTTGTAGTAAGTTACTGAGTTAAAAGTGAAGGACCGGGTGAATAAAGCTGTTGAGTGCTTAGGTAAAGATAATAGGCGAGCATGTCGTCAGTAGCGTGCCGTATAGGGGGCCAGGGGGGGCGATCGCCCCCCCCCGCCCCTCTGCCCAGAGCGCCTTTTCCAACGATCTTTCCAAGTAATTATTTACTATACAAATTATAGGCAGGCTATTTATTTTTTTCTTCCATCAGTAGCACCACTGTCGCTGGTCCACCTGCCGTCTGTTATTAAAAATCAGTGCTACCCTGTTGTAAAAAATCAGACATTAATAGATAGCAGATGTATCTAATAGATGGCAATACTGCTGACTTTTTTAATTTCAAATAATTTAGTTTCGTCATACTCAGCTCTATGCAATCTATTAAAAATTTTTCACACCATACCAAATAATAGCGCAGGAGCGGAAAGAACTTTTAGCAGACTAAACAAAATTATTAACTATCAAAGATGCACCATGACACAGGAAAGGACAAACAACTTGGCCTTACTATGTATTGAATCTGAAAAAGCACAAATGATAGATTACGATAAGGTTTTAGATTCTATTAAAGGTGTAAAAACACGAAGGTTGTTGTTATAATTTAATTTTAATAAATATTGTTAATATAAACTAATATGTATTTTATTAAACACGTCACTAATAATAATTATTGTCAGTTCGTTTACTATTATACCTGATTTTAAGTCCCTATTTTTTATTAAATAAAAAAATTGCCGCCCTTAAGATAGCTCGCCCCTCCCGCCCTTAGACCCACGGCACGCTACTGCATGTCGTGTGTGGCGATCGTGTCTTAAGTATAGAGGTGTAGAGGTAGGAAGAATCCTGTGTGTGTCCTAATTCATAATTATAATTACACAGGGTGTCACCTAATTAATTGTCATCCTTTGTGGGATGATAGTACCTACACGCCAAAACAAGAAAGTTTTTCCACTATCATTTTTCCATTAGAGCTACTGTTTTTTAATAAAAAAAAATTTGTTTGACAAAACGGGGAGCCACTGACCTATCCTATACAGTATGTCCACGGATAGAGCGGCCATTTCAAGCGCACGGACGGGATAAATCACAAAACTGTTTTTATAAAAAAAATTATAGATCATTTATTATATGGTGTTGATCTTTCATAATTAAGTAGATATTACAGCTCAGGTTCCAGATTTTTAACCGTAATTAATTATTTTTTACAATGTTTTAAAACTCTAAAACCTATCTTCCGTGACTGTTACTCTTTCTAGGTTAACCTATATGTTTTCAAATATCTGAGGTAGTAAAAGCATACTAAAAATATCAGTTCACTAAGTAAATTAAACACATCCAAAGCAATCGAAGCAAATATAAAATATTATTAAAAATTAAAAGAAATAATTTTTATAACCATTTATGTAAGTGTTACAAAAATTGATTCTATCCTCCGTGAATCTGTTTTTTCTTTAAATTTTATGCAACGGATGGCGCTTTAATCATTTTAAATAATCAAAAACCTCTGTTTACGACATTACTGATGCATGTGATTCCTGAAGGTCAGTTAGAATTTATATGCAGATGAGAGTGTTGCTGTTTTATAATTCAAAAGTTCAAGTACATTTTTTATAATTATTTTATGTATGTACAATTGTATTTTAAAAAAAATTAAGGTGTCAAAAGATACAATAACCTATTTCAAATATACAAAGGGATGTTTAAAAAAACATACGAAATCCTAACCTCCGTGAAGCTATCTTCCGTGAAGCTCCAATATTCATAATGTATGATTTCTTAAAATTCTTGTATTAGTGCAGAACCACTTATGTTATTTTATTACTAGACCTGGTGGCTTCCCAAAAAACCCATTCCATAGACTAACAGTAAAACAACCAAAAATAAAACATAATCATTTTCACTTGGGGGACATCTCAATATATTCACCCATATATTATTTTTTCATCAAAATTGTCAAATATATATTTTTTTTTATTAGGCTATACATTAAATTTTAAAAAACGCAAAAAATATTTTATATAGGTAGAGATAATTTTAATAATTGATAGGTGTGGACAGGTGTGGACGGGACAAAATAAATCTTTTTTGAGTCCCGTCCACACCTTTCAATTATTAAAATTATCTTTACTTTTATAAACTATTTTTTGCGTATTTTTAAAAAAAATATATTTAATTTATAGCACGAATTACAAAATTGTTTTTATACAAAAAAATGTAGATAATTTTTTATATAATATTTTAGCATCAAACTTGTCAAAAATATTCTTCTTTTATTAGGCTATACTACCTATAGCCTAATAAAAGAAGAATATTTCGCGCACTTGAAATGGCCGAGAGGGCCCAAAGCGACAAATGGAGTACAATTCTCATTTTTCGACCAAAAGTCACTCTTTATAAACAGTTTTGCTTGTTTTAAAAAGTCTATTGCCATACTTTAAATTTAAAATTGTTATACAGTGGTGTCAAAAAACATGAAATACTATTAGGAGTAAACTACCTTTATTTTTAGTCTTGGCAAAGTGACAAATAAAAAAAAATTTAAATCGTATAGGTACAAAGACTAATACCTAATTATTGTAAAATTTCAACTCGGTATTCTAAACTTTATTTTTTTTAGTTTTAAAATTTAATTTCTAAATTACACTCCTACACCTAGGAGTATACTTTTGTATCCCTTTCCTATGCATGACAAAAAATGTCACAGTGACAGTCTTAGATATTAATTTTAAAATTTCATTTTAATTCAAGATAAAACATAAAACATATTTTAAAGTTAGGCAACTAGCATTGTATCATTGTTCAGTTTTGTAATTAATGTAAATTCACACAAAATGTCCGTTTTTTACAGAAGTTGCGAACCCCATGCATACATAGGTGAAATGAGGAATAAAAGTATAAATTGAAAATAAAATTTTAAAATTTGGAACTACAGAGTTAAAATTTTACAATTAGTCTTTGGATAGGATTTGAAATCTTTTTTTTTATTTATCACTTTCCTCCAAAACGAAAAATAAATGTAGTTTAATATTGATAGTATTTCATGTTTTCTTGTTTTTTGACCCCCTGTATAATATTTTTAAATTTAAAGTATGGCAATAGACTTTTTAAAACAATCATAACTTTTTATAAAGAATGACTTTTGGTCGAAAAATGAAAATTTTAGTTCATGGGCCCTCTATCTGTGGAAATACTTTGTATATCATTGTTTTTACCTCTAAAAACAATGATATTATTCATCCAAGCAAAAATTAAACAGGTGGGCGACATTTATGTTCTGCCAAGCAAACTTTTAAACTTATTTAAAATCGTTTAGTAGGTAATTTGTTATCATTGAATACTGAAAGTTCGGTTATTATGATTTTGTGGTACCTAAAATAGCTGAGTATGCAAAACTAAAAACAATTATCAACAAAGTGATAATGAAAAAGCAAATTTTTATTGAATGTAGATCATTGCCCACTGTGCAATCAGATTTTGCGTCAGTTGTCGTAGGTCAGGAACAACCAGTGCAGGCCCAAAATTTGTACTGCAAAAATTATACGAGAAAAACTTTCTTATTTTGGCGTGTACTATCACCCCCTTGAAGGATGACAACCTGTATAATTGAGGAAAATGACTAAATATTATGGCGCGCCGTTTCACTTTTTTATTGGATAAGACATATTAAGTTAAATATTAATACTTTAAAAAATAAATTTCAATTAAAATTATACATGTCAAAGAAGTTCTTTTTTAAATATGTTTATATAAGGTATTGAATTATTTATTAAAAGTAATTTTTCTGTGTGCAATATTTTTTGACACATAAAATTAATGCACTGAATTCTGTAAAATAATTCAACTAACAAAATAATACACTGCCAGGTCAAAATTAACGCATAATAAGTAAAAAAATTCTAACTCTTAAACGCCTTTACCAATCTTTATGAAATTTTGTATAAAAATACTTTAACTTATATCTCCGTTTAAGTGTCGAAAAACCCTCGAACACGTAAACTGAGATATAAGTTGAAGAATTTTTATACAAAATTTCATAAAGATTGGTAAAGGCGTTTTAGAGTTAGAATTTTTTTTTACTTATTATGCGTTAACTTTGACGGGCAGTGTGTGTAGGTAAGTAAATTTAATGAAAAAATAGCGAATTATTATTATGTCTAGGCATAATAATTATTTTTTTTATGATACGTTTTAATTTGATACGCATTTTTTTGGTAACATTTAAATATTTTACGCGACGAATAATTTTAAACATTTTACGTAAAATGTTTAAAATTATTCGTCGCGTAAAATATTTAAATGTTACAAAAAAAAATGCGTATCAAATTAAAACGTATCATAAAAAAAATAATTATTATGCCTAGACATAATAATAATTCGCTATTTTTTCATTAAATTTATATACAGGGTGTCCCAGAACTCGCGCCACAGAGAAAAAGGGGGCGTGCCGATAGCAATGGAGATGCCAAATTTAAAAATAAAAAATTTCTAGGTAATAGTGTAATCGAATGAGAGCAAAAAAGCGGCAGCCAATACCGAGAGCTCTCGCCTAGGTTAAACGTAAGAGTTGTCAAAAGCTTTCAAAAATGAGGTTATTAATCTATGACTTATACTTCAGAACGCCAATGTTTTAAAATAACGATTAGGAAAGGGCTGGGAAAAAACTCGCGTTGTCTCCCTGGCGTTGCGCCCACACTAAATAAATAAATAATTATCATTTCAGTATAATCATCTAAGGAAAACATTATTTATAATAACTTAATTTATAACCTAATATAATATTAATGACAGGAGTTTGACAGCAGTGTCACAATGAATTGGATTCCAGTGGACCAAATATTTTACATATTTTTTGTTATCAACAATGCAACCTAAGTATCCTAGCAATTTAAAGAATTCCCTATGGCCATCTATTGGGATTGGCTATCGTTTTTTATTCTTATCTCGCTTATCCTTTGCGTTAGACAATTTTAATTTTCAAATATGTGTTTCACGTTACTTTCGGCACGTTCCGGTTTTCTATGTGGCGCGAGTTCTGGGACACCCTGTATATAATTGTAAGTAATAATTATTATGTCAGAAATAATTAAAATTATAAAAAATTATATAAGTATTCCATAATTTAAAAAAAACTACTTCAATTTTCTTTTACATTTAAAACATCTACGATTAAAAAGTGGAATGGCGTGCCATAAAATATGGAATACCTACCAGCATTTATCTAAAACAAACAGTTGAAGACAGCGCCGGATTTTGGGGGGTCTTAGGGGTTTACAGGAAAATTTTGCCTTTTTTTTTACTACAACCAAAAGAGCTTTTTCCGGTTTTGTGTAATAATAACTAAAATAACTGTATTAATCAATTTTAATAAAAAAACATATTTTTCTACTCCCACCTTAAAAACGCCCATCCCATTATTGTACATGTTTCCAAGTGCTAATAACCAATTTTATGTGTTCGGATAAAATAGAAAAAATCGCTTGGTTTTGTTACCATTTAAACATAAATGTTTAATTAAATTATTAACACGAGATATGAACAATTTTTACTTTTTCTTAAAGAATAGAATATTGCGCAAATTTTTAGCTATCTCCAAGGCTGATTGACTCATTCATTTAAAAGATATGATCGAAAAGGTCAAAAATCTAATCTAACGAAAACCTTATTTTCGTCATCTTCAACGTCAAAAATCAATGCAGAGGAAACAAACTGTTTATTTCATATAAAAAAATTGAATATAGAATTTTATTATGAAAATTAAAAACATAATTTACATTAGTAGGTATAATAATAATTTGGCATAATTAATTGATGGTTACTTGTTTATTTTGGGGGTTATTGGTTTTTGTTTTTGTTTTAACAGTGACAATTTTTAGTAGTATAATACTTTTTTTTATTTGGAGACTTTCAATGGGGTAGGTTTGAACCCCCACCACTTGTGCACAGGCTTGGTGATGGCTAAATGTATGATTAGTTCTGATTATAAATTTTAAAATCATTTCAATAATTAAATCCTTTTAATTGTATTTATGCCATAATTGTTAAAATTATGTACTACCTACCTAGCTATTTAATTATTAAAAAGATTTTCTTTTTTGTTAAGAAAAAAATATATGGTATTCCATATTTGGCCAATTTCCTCTAATAATAATATTTATTTAGCATTTAATTAATTTTAAGCAGCATGTCTTAATTATATCCAACAAAAAGATACAGCTACATTTATTTTTTTCGTTTTGTTGTGTTTTCTGCTTATCAGCCAGAAATTATGATATATTTTTAATTTTAAATAAATTTAGGAAATAAGAATTTGTTTGTTTCTTTATAAATTAATTGTATAATTACTAATAGTATAGTACTGTACTATTACTTAAGTAATTACTTGAGTAATTACTATACAAATAATAATAAATATATCACTTAAAATGTTAATGATTTAAAAGTAAATATGTAGGTGTCAGCTGTTTGGGAAAAAATAAAAAAAATTATTTTTTCAAGAAATATCCCTTTACATTTCCGTTCCTTTATTACTTATTTGGGTACTTACCTAAGTAGGTACACTAAATATTTTTGCAATTTTTAATTATAAAATAGTACCAAAGTAATTAATAAAAAAACCTTAAAGGCATAGGTAGGTACCCAAAAGGGCTAATCAGCTGTTTATATCTTAAAAATAAAACCTTAATGTTCAACAGGTTTCTACAAATTCTGCAAATATTACTCTGAACGCATAAAAACAGGAACTGCTTCTTGCGATAATATCCATAAATCTATCCATAAAAAAACGATTTTATACTTACTTGCCCTCCAATAATTGTTAGGGCGATTGTCCGCATTCCTAACCTCCTTTCATTTTTAGAACACCAGATTTTCTGTTTTTGATTCAACAAAATCACTTGAATCGTTTTGTTTGCACATCACTTTCGCCCACGATTACACATGCCATTTAATTCATGCCACAAAAATGTTAATAAGCCCCGTAAAACAAGAAATTTTGAAGTAAATTGTTTCAATGGTAACACAGTGGCACAAGTTCTTCACGTTTGCGTATGTTCAAATTGTGCGAGCGCGTATCACAGAATCAAATCGAATATTATTATAAAGCCTTAAAATACCTAAAACCGCAATATAATGTTATTTTTTTAAGTTATTAGCAAAAATGTTAAATAAAAATAAACATTCACTTAACACTGGAATTTCAGTATCTACGGAAAACAATTTTGACTCCTATCAACGTCATTTAGCTATTTTTCTGGTGTCTAAAGTGCCTTAAACTTTAAGGCTTAAAGAATGCAACCACATTTGACTAAAATAACCTCTTTAAAATTTTAATATATTTTATAATATCAATGAAATACTCTATATTTGTTAATATATAATAAATATAATTAATTGTTATTAAGAAATAAGCTTTCACCACAATTTAAATTCTTGTGGATTTTACATGTTTCGTTACTTTAGGCATAGGAATGTTGTTCTGAAAAATTAAAATATTCAAAACAAACGGAATAAAAAAATATCATTATGAAAAAATGGATTTAAAAACTCTACTTAAAAATAAGATTTCCAAACAAAAACCTGGTAAGTTGTAATTTAGTCAAGTAAAGAAAGTTGTTTAATTAATGCTATTGTTATTTTTTTAGTAAATAAAGAAGAAAGCATTAAAAACGAAGATGAACAATTTAATAACATACTGAAAGAATGGGGGAAAGAAACTCGAGAAAAAACAAGCATACCAAAATTCTTCAACAAACTTCCAAAAGAAAATGAACCTCTTAGACAAAAACTGAGAGAAGAAAGCCATACAAACCTACTGAAAAGAAAATCAGCAAAACTTTTGGAAGATAATGAACTCAGAGAGTTGTGGGTGCTTTTGCAGAAAAAGCAGAGCTTTCCTGATGAGCAGCTAATGACTTATGCAGATTTTCAAAAGGTAACCTCTTTACTAGGTGAGAAAATCAAGCCATACTTTACACCTTGTGTTTTTGCACGATTGCAACAAGGTGACCCCCAGGGGAGAGTATCTATAATGTCGCTATTTAATTATGTTATGAAGAAATTTTGGTTGCAACAGACTAGAGTAGGATTGTCAATGTACGATGTTTCTGGACAAGGTTATTTAAGTCCATCTGACTTAGAGAACTATATTTCTGAGTTTTTGCCAACGTTGGTTCAGTTGGAGGGTTTGGAAAAGTCGTTTCATAGTTTTTATTTGTGTACAGCTGTGAGAAAGTTCTTTTTCTTTTTGGACGTCTTAAGGGCTGGTAGGATAAGAATTTTGGATATTTTGGCTTGTTCTTTTTTGGATGAGTTGTTAGAGTTAAGAGTTGAGGATTTAAGCAAGGAAATTCAAGAGCAGAATTGGTTTAGTGCTCCCTCAACTCTAAGGGTATATGGGCATTATTTAAACTTGGATAGGGACCATAATGGTATGCTGAGTAAATCTGAACTTGCTGGTTATGGTAGTGGAACTCTAACACAGCCTTTTCTTGATAGAGTATTCCAAACTTGCCTTACCTACGGAGGAGAAATGGATTATAAGACTTATTTGGATCTTGTGTTAGCTTTAGAAAACAGATCAGAACCACAAGCCCTAGCATTCCTATTTAGGATCTTAGACATAAAAGAGTGCGGATATTTGGACGCATTTACCTTAAATTACTTCTTCAGAGCCATCCAAGACCAAATGGAAGCCCACGGGGCTGACCCAGTGTCATTTGAAGATGTTAAAGATGAACTCTTTGATATGGTCAAACCAAAAGACCCTCAAAAAATTACTTTGGCTGATCTACAGGCCAGTGGACAAGGAGAAACTTTTGTCAGTATTTTAATTGAGTTCCATGGGTTCTGGAACCATGAGAACAGAGAGGCTGTCTCTTCTGAACCATCACAGGATTAATTTTAGTAATTTATTCATATTTATTTTTTTAATAAAATACTTTTCTTACACTTTCCTTAGTTTTTTTTACCTTCTTTTTTATGAAAAATATTTTTTAGCATGGTATAAATGTATTATTATTAAGTAGTTTTTATCTTAATATCTATACCAATTTTAATGCACTGATTCTAATATCTTTATCTATATTCCAAATTTTAAGTATTATCTTTTAATTTCTTGGGTAGCTCCACTTTGACATTTAATTTGAAAACAAATAAATGAGGTTATCTATCTGTCAGTTTAACGCTAATTTCGTCTTATTTTCAGAAAATAATACAATATATTTATTTTTTGTGTATAAAGGTGTTAATTTAGAACACAAAATATACATATATTAAATTATTTTCAAAAAATAGGACGAAATTTACGTTAAACTGACAGATATATAACCTCAATTATTTGTATTGAAATGTCACTTTTGGGTGTTGTCCACATTGTGTGAAGCATAGTACCGTTGATTAAGACTCTTCACTTAATACGTACAGAGATCCAAACATTGCCTTCCAAAACCATTTAAAATCCATATACCTATAACTCTAATTATAGGTATATGTTAAAATCATAGATTGAGTTAAAAATCCGACGCAACTTGGCAACAGCGCGTCGTTGGTTTCACAACTAATTTCACGTGTATTTACCCCTCCTCTTAAATATCTGCTCCGTGATTCTCGCAGAACATAAACATTTCGTTGGGGACCGCGGTCGAAAAGTGTGTAAAAGGATGTCCGAGTCAACTGAAAATCACTGCACCAATCAGAAAATCAAACAACTAAAGACGAACTTGTCGTTTTGGTCCCCATTGAACAACAGTTTCGCGGTTCCGGATAAACCTTCGAAATGCACGTGGCATAAAAAAGTATGCCCCACGGCTAGTCCGCATAGAACGCAAGAATGGTGAGTGAAAATTTGTTGGGAATACGATTATTTGTTGATGGTTGTGTTTTTGTTTTTTTAGGAAACGCACCTCTAAACTGTTACCGAATGTTTTGAGTACAATTGGAAATACTCCTTTGATTAAGTTGAACAAAATTCCAAAGGATTGTGGGGTTGTCTGTGATATTTGTAAGTATTTTATTTTTAATATAGGTATACCAAAGAGTATTATAATTTAACTATTGAGAACACATTGTCAACAAATTTTAATTTTAAATAAACAGTTTTGCATTTCAAATGATCCACTTAAAATCTAATAGGTCATGACAATTATTAGAGGTACCTACCTATATGTAATTTACATAATGTAAACAGACATATTTTTTGCAAACAAGATAATTGTTTTTGTTAGGTAAGTTACTTTCATAATATATTATATGAAGGGGCAAGTAGATGGAATATTTTTAATAATAAATGGCAAAAAATATAGGTAAAAATTTATTCTTGAAATCACAATATTGTTTACCCTTTATTTAAATGTTATTTAACCCCTTCATCCTCTTGCCCCTAGGGGCAAGCTGCATATCATGATGAAATTGGATTTTGTAATAATTAAAATATTTAAAAATTACTGTTTACACAACTAGAGCAACTATCTTTTATTATTTCAAGTGTTATCTTTATTTTGTAATTTAAGTGAATCAATCAAATCAAATCTTTATTGCGTTCATGAAACTAAGTTTGTGGAACATGTCAAGGGTACAAAAAATATATAGTCCTATGTAAGATAACATAAAGATACACAATTAGATAGTCCTATGCAAAATATCATCACCATACACTGTTAAATAGCATACAGAATAATTACGCTATTACTATCACTCAACTGCAATCCAGTGTAATAGAACTTTACAAGTAAAGATCTTTCTATTGTTTTTCTACAAAGATATACCTACTTTTTTATGCTTTTTGTTTTTTTGGTGTACATGAAACTTTATTGCACTTCTTGTGGTCCACAAGTCGTGAAGTAATAATAATATTTTGTTATTAAGGCTATGTGCAGTGTGACCCATTTGTTTGCAACTCACCCCTGTAAAATCTTTATTTATTTAACAGGATTTGTTTTAAAGTGTGGGTCTATATTTCTAAAGCAAAAAACACAATATTTTTACAAAATACAAGGCCTACTATGTCAGTTTTTAAGAGAAAATTTTTAAGAATTCATATTAGCGATTTATTTTTCTACACTTTCATATTTGTTCTGGAGTAATGGCTGTGCAGACTTGTACCCTAGCACATAGTTCTTGTGCAGTAGAGGTGGCAAAAAGCTAATTATAGAGAATTATTTGAATTTTTTATTTTTTGTTTCATTGTTGTTTTAAGTTTCTATTGCGTTTTTTATTTGTTACTATTATAAAAACTATAGTTTTATTTTATTTCATTTTTATGGATAACTTGACATAATAAATGTTTGTTAATATTGTTTATTTTTAATTTGGCTACAAAATCGTTCCTACTTAACAATTTTTAATAAAATTTAGTTAGCGTTGTTTTGAAATACATTTTATCAGTTTATCAATCGGTTAAAGTCGCACAATAAATAAAGATTTTACAGGGGTGAGTCGCAAACAAATGGGACACACTGTATAGAATACATAAGTATACTTAAGTAGGTATAATTATATTACAAAATATATATATTTATTGAAGCAAGGTAAACTTGAAATTTATCATATTTTTTCTTCAATTAAAACGGTTTACTTATTTAGATGTCATGGCATAATAAAAATGTAGCAATGTAAATTAATACTATTAATTTACCTAACAGTATATTGTGCAACTAGTGGAAGAAAGACGAGATTCCTCGAGCGTGAGTGGAACTCTTTTGACTAATAAGCGCACACAATATTTTATTCAACTACTACAAGAGATTTAAAGCCAATTGACATCTGACAGCTACCAAGTAGTAAAAACCTCACTTTTTTAATTTCAACTTAAAGCGAACTTCAGAGAAGTAAAATTTTATCCACCGCTGTTAAGAAATAAAATCGAGTTGAAATTTTCAACGTAAAAAACTGTTATAATTTAATGACTTATTATTATACAAATCAATTGATTTACCTATTTTATTTGGATGACGTATTTTTCTGATAAAATTTGTTTTAAATGAAGTGCATAAACAATTTTTTTATTCAAAGATATAATTTAAACTTATTTCTGATATGTTATTAAATTAATAACAATAATTTTTAATTACACAATATCGTCGATTCTTGTGATCTCATAAATATTTTCATGGCCATAACAATTGATCAATAATACCTATTTTTTTATTAAAATACATTAGATATCTTTTATGCGATTTAAAATTATTAATATGATGTTTGTAATATTGTAAAATAGCTATTTCTTTAAAAAATGCAAAAAAAATGTTTGCTTATCGGTTTTTAAAGAATTTTGTATAGCATAAAGTCTAGGCAGTGAAATTACCTGTTAATAAAAATAAAATCATTCGTTTTTAGCACGATTTAGAATATAATTAAAAATGTGTAATTTACATTGTTAGCAAATGTTAAAGGAATTTCGGTGATTTTAAAAAATTATAAATTCGAATCGTTATCGTTATGTTTGTAAAATTTGGTTATTATCAACTTTGTAAGCGTCAATAAAATTGTTAGTTACAGAAAAAGTTTTAAAACTTTTGTAGACCAGTGCAGAAGCCTTTAAAAATGGTAAAAAGAGAAAAAAAAATAACAGTAGGATGAAACCCATTGGAAAAGGAGGGGAATATAATAAAAATTAAAGGAAAAATAAATTACGGGCGATCTGAGTTCGGGAAGTGGGAGGGGGGGGTTTAAGGGTAAAAAATGGTTTATCTCGATTTCCGGCAAAACTACAAGTCCTATGGAAAAAAGTTAAATGTCAAAGTTGTAGGTTTAAAAAGATCTACAACTTTTGTATTTACAATTTTTTCACATAACCTCAAAATTTATGTGAAAAATTCAAAAAACCAAGTTTTTGGTTTTTTATTTTTATCTTTTTCAAAAAAAAAATTTTTTCCACGAAATTTGGTGAAAACTTACCTTTTTATGTCCCAAATACACTGTAATTTATTTGATTTGAAATATTTATTATTTCGCCTTATTTTGACTTAATATCAAAAAACACCCTAATTCTCGCGTCAAAATATCAGCTTTTTTCAAAAAGTCGGTGTGCTTTTTGTTCGATAAACTCTCTACTTTCTGTTGGTGTAAAAAAAATACATTACTATGGTAAATTTTCTCAGAAAATACAAAAAATATTATAATGAATAACGTAATCAGAATGAAGTATCTAAATTGAATAGTATGATTTACATGTATTTTTATATTTTATGAGATTTTCTGACATAAATGTTATTAGAATTTAATAAATAAACTTTTTAACTAAAAAAAAATGCAACAATCACATTTTTTTGATGAAATTGTACATAATGATTAAAATAAATTTTCGAATTCGAGTTTTTTTCGTTATTCATTATAATATTTTTTGCATTTTCTGAGAACATTTACCATAGTAATGTATATTTTTTTACACTATCAGAACCACCGACTTTTTGAAAAAAGCTGATATTTTGACGCGAGAATTTTCGATTGAAAATTAGGGTGCTTTTTTGATATTAAGTCAAAATAAGGCGAAATAATAAATATTTCAAATCAAATAAATTACAGTGTATTTGGGATATAAAAAGGTAAGTTTTCACCATATTTCGTGGAAAAATTTTTTTTTTTGAAAAAGATAAAAATAAAAAACCAAAAACTTGGTTTTTTGAATTTTTCACATAAATTTTGAGGTTATGTAAAAAAATTGTAATTACAAAAGTTGTAGATCCTTTTATTACCTACAACTTTGCCATTTAACTTTTTTCCATAGGACTTGTAGTTTTGCCGGAAATCGAGATAAACCATTTTTTACCCTTAAACCCCCCCCTCCCACTTCCCGAACTCAGATCGCCCGTAATTTATTTTTCCTTTAATTTTTATTATATTCTTCTCCTTTTCCAATGGGTTTCATCCTACTGTTATTTTTTTTGGTTTTAAAAATTATCGACCCTGGTCTATTGTTAAATTCACGGATTATAAATTAGCCCAACTTTTGAAAACTACGTCATTGATCAGTCAGTAAAATCTTTAAAGAAGAAATTATTTCCCTATAATGCATTTTCTGATGACGAAACGTGGAAAGGTCAATTTAAAGATGCTGTCCGACTCAGAATTTTCTCAGGATTTTAAATATGTAAAAATATATGGGTGAACGGAGCAAATATGCCGAAACTCTTAAATAAAATATACTACTGAAAGTAGTTAGCATTTAAATAACACTACAATAGACAGTTTATGTCTATCAGTAGACCGTACTTAACCAAAAAAATAAAACATTATTTATTTTATTAATTTGAATTTGCTTAAACGCTTTAAAGTCAACTCCATGGACTGTCACCACCTAGCGTAGGGACAACAAATCATCCATATACTATTAGACTAGATGCAATTGTGAAATGATTATTTCATATTGCATTTTCTTTAACTTAGAATGTATAAAAAAACACAACCAAAAGCAAACTTATTGATATTTTAACCCAAAATGTCGAATAAAGCATGAGACACCATTTTACAGCTGAGTTCTTTGCAGTCTTTTTCGATATTTCGTATTTTAGTAATGTCGTCGTTTGAGTGATTTAGTGTTGATTTGTGTAAGCAAGGCAAAGGGGGTATAATTTTTAATAAAAATTTATAAAGAACATTTATTTGCGAAAAAACGGGTAAGTATTTGTATTAAAGATCAACTCCATGTCTTTAATAACAAACGGATGTAAATACAATTGAAATTAAAACTTTCTCCAGGTGAAATAACCAAATATGCTTTGCTTAAATTACACTTAACTAAAGAAACATTATGTACCATTTTCTAAAGTTTGTGACTTTAACTATAAAAACATCAACTCCATGGACATCAACTCCATGGAGTTAAAAGCTTTTAGCATGCTGTATATAGTTATAATAATAATTTTATTAGAGAATTTTTTTAAAGAAAAATTAAATTTAATTTATTATAATTTAACTATATATTATTAATTACACTGTGATACAAAATTAAGGTTTGCGAAAGGGAATGGAATAAAACCAAAAGCAAATGAAAGTTAATACTTTCCACAAGAAAACCCTATCAGGGTTTTTTTATATCACGTCTCAGACACCCTATAGGAAAAACATAAGTAAAACTATGTTAATTATTCAAAATAATTTTGTCAATTTGATCGAGGAATCCATTTGTGATGTTAATTTACCAAAGACCCTCAGAAGAGGACGCTATCAAAAAATTGTTACTAATTTTTACTATTTTTGAAGGTAAGAAATCCATTTTTGTCATCCGTTTGTTGTAAAATATACCCTAGGTGATATTCGAAAGCAATTTTTAATATTTTGGATTTATTAGTATAGAAAACTTGTTTTTTTAAGAAAAAATAGCATTTTTACTTCTTAAACTAAACATTATTAAATTCGCTATTTTATTTTTATTTAAAAACTATCACTGCTGTAACCGGCAGTAACACGAGTTTAAGTACCAGAAGTTCCAGCTGTTCATCCAAAAATTGATAAAAATGCAAAATATAATTAATATAATCAAAAATACCATGTTTTAGTGTAAAAATAAAAAAAATACCTGAATTATACCACAACATTGGAACACCAAATTTCATTGACTTCTTTTTCTTTTGTGATCATTTAATTAAATTGTTATTACAAGTTCTGCAAACTTTTCAACATATTCAATTATATGTATACCGTAATATTGTAGGTACAATTTTTTACATTTTTATATTTTGGAACTAAGTTTTGTTTTATATTATATTGTCCTTTAAATAAAAAAAATAATTTAATTAAATATATTAATTAAGAAAAACGTTTTATGTTGCTGTCACTGATTTACTATATAGTACATAATATTATGTGTTTTTAAGTAAACAAATCAATTTTACCTTTAAACAACCTCGTTTTTGCTACAAAAACTGCAATTTTTTGTAGTAATAATATTTTTTCACGCCGAAATACTTTTTTTTGTTTTTATCAAAACAGGAAAATGGCATATTCGCCCTTTTGCAAAAATACCATCGATATATTACAATATATTACCACAAAAAAATGTAGTTTTTGTATACAAGTATTGTGTTTTGATTATAGCATTAAAGAGAATATTTTTTTTATAAAAATGCCCAATTTTCTAGTAAAAATGCTCTTTACTTGGAATGGATTCCTCGACTATATTGCCAGAATAATTTAAAAAAATTAAAATTGTTTTACTTATTTTTTTCCTATTATAGGATGTCCAAAAATCTACCAACTTTAAATGCGTATAATAAAAAACTGAGACGTGATCTAAAAAAAACCTAATAGGGTTTTTTTGTAGAAGCTATTACCTTTCATTTGCTTTTGGTTTCATCCCATTCCCTTTTGCACTGTTGCACTGTGTTTTCGTTAATAATGCCTTAACTTATATGAGCTAAGAGTTTAGGGCAATAATAAGAAAGTAAACAACTCCATGGACATACCTAGGTATATGCATATACATATAGAGATGAAATGGATAGTTCTTTAGCCAGACACCGGATCCCTAATATCCGGCAAGAATCGAAGCCGGATAGCCGGATATCCGGTGACCGGATATCCGGCAGTTGAAAGATCGAATTTTGTTTCCTTTATTTGCATTTTTTAAGAATAATATTTTTCTATTTAAATAAAAGTAGGCACTGTTTTCCCGCACGTAAATCTTCGTCGACTAAGTTGCTTGGACTGTGCATTCCAAAACGATTGTGAACAATATGGATTAGAAAATTTTTATGTTAAAAATCATTTGCAAACATTTGCTAAAAGATGGTTCTTTTCTGACATCTATTCAGATTCAGATTCAGAAGATGATTTAAAGTTATCTTATCTAATTCACAAATAAACAGAACAGGCAGTACAAGGTTAGATTTATGTTGTTTTTATGTTATTGTGTTAACTCCATGGTTCAAAACGTTAACTCCATGGACTCATTTATTTTTTGTTAAATAATAGAAAAGTATTAAGTTTAATTTATAGCCGCGTTTTATTAATCTTTGCTTTTTATTTTTTTACCACACCAATTTATCCCCGTTTTGGATATTCACCCATATAGGGCGTTCCATTTAAAAATCGAAAGTTGATATCATTTCCGGCGAAACCGGAATTCAAAAAAATTCATTTTGTCCTCTTATAAGTGTCATTTTACATACATCCTAATTAACCATGCTAAATTTCATGTGTCTATCTTAATAAATAAAAAAGTTACAGGGGTGCGCCTATTCTCAGATACACCCGGTATACTTGTTATAAAACCTATAGGCTATAATATACTATTTATTATAAAATTTAAAACAGACTTCCAAGCAAAATGTTTGAATGCTTATTTTGGCAAAAAGTCATCGATATAATAAACGGAAATACTCGTATATATTACTCGTGAATTCCACGAGTATTTTTTATGAGTACATTGAGTTTAGTTTGTAAGTACGAGTAATAAGTATTTCAAATGAAAAAGTACTCGTACTCTTTTACTCGTAATTGAAATACGAGTAAAAGTACTCAATAAATTTAACTTTGTTTAAATAATAGTGTTTCTGTTGCAATTCAGATGTAAAATGCGAGTTCTTCAACCCCGGCGGTTCGGTGAAAGACCGCATCGGCTACCGCATGGTGGAGGACGCTGAGAAGCAGGGCATCCTGAAACCGGGCGCGACCATCATCGAGCCGTCTTCGGGCAACACCGGCATCGGCATCGCGCTAGCGGCGGCCGTCAAAGGCTACCGCTGCCTGATCGTGATGTCGGAGAAGATGTCGAACGAGAAGGTTTCCGTGTTGAACGCGTTGGGCGCCGAGATCGTTCGCACGCCGGTCACGGCCGACTCGGACTCGCCCGATGGCATGTTTGGGGTCACGCATCGCTTGAAGAACGAGATTGCCAATTCCGTTATTCTTGATCAGGTAAGAATTCAAAATTATGTATTTTCTATGCATGTAGAGATGTAAAAAACGGTTTTTTAAGGATATGAAAAAACTAGAAAAAAAAAGGTTTTTTTGTTTTTTTTAAATTCGCTGCAATAAAGCATATTTTGTGAATAAATAACATCAATCTTAAAAAATTTAGTAATTTTTCATTATTAAAAATTTTGACCAAGTCTAAAAAATCAGAATTCTTATTATTTGGTAGTTTCCATCAATTTACCTGTTAGAAATTAAAGTGATAAAGTTGAATACAATTTTATTTTTATTATTATTTTTAAAAATTTTAATATTTACTTTTAAAACGAATTATTTTGTTGTTTAAAACACTTTGAAACAATTTTTATACGGGAATAAAGTTGTGGTATAGTTGTTATTAATTATTATGTTATTTACATCTAGCAATACGAATTTTCATTTAACCACCTTTCTGCCATATTTCTTTTAATCAGATTATTTTTTTAGATCATAAATTCAATGCTATTTGTATCTGACAGAATAATAATTCCATATTTTTATTTTTTGGAATAAATATTATGTACCTTGAATTTTCTGACTGAAAAATTCGATGAATTTTGGACTGCACTGTTGCCTAATTTATTTACGAGCTCATGTACCTCCGACGTTAAGTGATTTCGCTTGGTGGCAGTAGTACGTAAAACAACCGCACTATGCACTAGCGCCAAATTAAAATTCTGTTTACGAGTGATAACCCTCTTGCGCTTACAGATTTAAATCTTTTCCAATTTTTATTCCAAAATAAATATTATACTTTAACTTAATTTTAAATTAATAAATAAAATGGTATTATTTAGATATAAACACACTTTTTGAATAGAAAAAAATATTCATACAATAAAAACTGAGGCTTAAAAATATAGATCACACCAGAACGATGTAAATATATATGGAAATTTATCTGATACACCAAAAAATATATTTGTAGATTTTAATTTATAATTAAATTTATTTTAGTAATTTTTATGAACGTTTATATTTTCTAGGCAATTTTTAATTTCGGTAATTTTTGTTTTGAGTTAATTTTTTGATGTCATTAAAAAGTAAAACGGCGTGCCATATTCCACATAGGAAACCAATAGCAATGTAAAACTTCTACACTAATAGAACAAATTAAACGATAAAAAAAGATTCCAATTTTTTTGCGATTTTTCGGATAGCTGTATGGTCGTATTGGAGCCGTAAAAAAGCAATTTGAAGCTTGAAGTTTCTAGTTTTAAAATTTTTAGATGAAAAACGTGCAACGCTCAATCCTAACAAATACCGTAATAAAAAAAATCGAAATTTTTTTGGCTTTCTTTTTTTGTCCACGGAATGTTCTGACTTAACCAGCAATGAATAATTGTTCTACAAGAATTTGCTATTGTTTTATTGAAAAAAAAAAATTCCATACTCTACATGAATTTGAAAAATCAAGAAAAAAAGTGCTTTTGGTAGCTTTTTGAAAAATGAAGCGCTGAATCAAAAATATTATAGGTAGTAACTTTTTTTAGGACCAAATCAAAACAAGCACGGCCCTTATTGGTCAATTCGGTGGTGGTGGCGCGTGCATACCGCAAGACAAGACTGTATTTACATTTACTAAATGTCATTTAGTGGCTACTTTTAGTCCATGAACTGGACTGGAAACATAAAAAATTAGGCAAATGGGACTAATCTTGAAAAAAAAAACAAAAATATGAAAAAAAAACATTTGAAAAAAAAACAATAAAATGGACCGTTTTTTTTAACTCGCATCTCTGGTCACGCGCTATCCACGCGCCGCCACCACATAATAAGAAATCAAATTTTTTAGTCTAAGTCACAATCCACACAACAAGGTCTGTTCGATATCGTACTAAAAATACTAAAAATCACTGCAACACTGCACATCATTTAATGGCGGCAATTTTTGTTGTTTACAATTCTTGTGCTGGGTTTGTACAGATTAATAGGGCAATTCCATGATCGATGCTTACTTTTTAGTAAAATTCAATTATCGAAAATTTAAAAAAAAAACTTAATAATCGTTTAAAATTGAGTTAAAGTTTATGAAATATTAGATAAATATTTCCAATTTTACCTAGTAACTTAAAAATGTTACGAAAAACTGCAGGAATCCGTTCCCGCGTCAAACTACATAAAAAGCATTGTTTATCTCTGGTCGCTATGGAGAAACAAAGCAAGTGCTTGCAAACTTGGTGCACGTCAAAAAATGTTGTGCTGTCAAACTTTTAAAGAGTGAATTATTTTTGTGCAAAAAGTAAGTAGAACTTGGTTAAAAATTGCTTATTTATATTGCAAAATTTTGTCCCGCGAGAAAGCACAATTCAATATTTTTTTAGTTTTTAACTAGACCGTAACAAAAACTCTAGATAAAAACATAAGATTTCTTAACCTTTGATTTGCTCGTTATAATAGCACGATAGATAAATATTAATACGCCTAAAATATATTTTTAATATATTTTCTTTATTTGTCCCGCGAGTAATCTAATGGTCTAGAAATATTTAATTTTTATTTTTAACACTTACAAAAGCGTTTTCAAAAAAAAATTGAGATTTTAATAAAAATGCTAGTATATTAGTAGCATCAAATTATTTGTAGTCTAATTAAGTATTTAGGTAATTTTTTATAATATATTTTTTTTAATTTTTTAAAAATACTTTGCAAACTACTAAAGGTTACGGAGCGGTTTAGTTGTGTTTTTTTGAGTTGCAAAAAAGAAAGAAATTATTGGAAATTATCCATTTTTAGGATGCCGAAAATACAAAATGATAAGAGGAAAATGAAAGTGAAAGAGTATGTTAAAAAGTATAGAGAGAAAATAAATGCAAATGAAAACCTTAAGTCGATATACCGTAAACGACATGTTGAATGTTGCAAAAAATACCGAACCAAAATGAAACAAAAGATTTTGTCCTCGACAGATTTGTTAGAGTTGAAAAGAAAACAGGAACGAGAAAGAAAAAGAAAATACCGTGCAAAAAAATATGCTCAAAGGTTGGATAAAAAAGAGAATAGTGCCTATAAGACCCCTCAAACTATTGGGAAAGATTTGAAAAAAATCAAAAATGTCCTTCCAGAACACAAAGAGAAGAAAATAGAGATCATGAAAAGGGTTTTGAAAACGATTGATAAGAATTTAACCATAAGTTTCGATATTGGTCAAAATAATCCAGAGTTTTTTAAGTCTGTCACAACAAATAATATGTATAACCAGCTGAATACGGAAACAATAAGAAAAGTTGAGATTTTTTTTTGTAGAGAAGATATAAGCAGGGTTTCGCCAAATGTTAAGGATAAAATTAAAATAAAATCTGAAAATGGAACAGAGTACGCACAAAAAAGACATATGATGTATACAGTTTCAGAAGCGTTTAGCATTTTTAAAGAAGAAAATCCGGAGGAAAAGATAAAAATTAGTAAATTTTATGAACTAAGACCTAAATTTGTCATGCTTATGTCAGATATGCCTCATGACGTATGTGTCTGCAGGTATCATGCCAATGTCTTTTATTTAATTGATATATTGCACAAACATGTAAAGTTCCCAAAAACACACAGAGAGCTTCTTCAAGAAATCGTTTGCTACTTAGAAAGTGAAGATTGTATGATGGGGATTTGTCAGAATTGTAAAGACATTGACTTAAAATATTCAATTCTACCTCTGAAATATGACGAGTCTCTGGAATTAATTTTTAAACAGTGGGCAACTATCAACGGAAAAGTAGAAATAATAAGTCTTGAAAAGTCCATTGAAATGATTATTTCCACCTTAGAAAATCAACTGCCTTTTTTCAAAAAACACACATTTATCAAAAACAGCCAACAAAAGTATTTTGATTTGAAAAGAAGCACCGTTGGCGAAAAAGAAATCATATTGCAAATGGACTTTGCGGAAAACTTTTCAATTACGGCACAAGATGAAATTCAAAGTGCGCATTGGTCGCATAGCCAAGTAACAATCTATACTGCCGTTGTTTGGGGTCCAAACAAAATACTTTCTTTTGCTATCGTTTCCAACTATCTTTCACATGATAGATACGCCGTCAATGTTTTTTTAAAGAAAATCATAGCATTTCTAAAACTGAAAGCATTAAGTTTTGAAGAAATATGCGTGTTTAGCGACGGATGCGCTGCGCAGTTCAAAAATCGTTATACGATGTTTTCATTGTGCTTCTTACCAGCAGAAATGAATTTAAGAGCAATGGAATGGAATTTTTTCGCGTCATCACACGGAAAGGGTGCTGTGGATGGTATAGGGGCCACAGTAAAGAGAAAGGTATTTATAAAAGTTTATAATTGCATATAACTATTAGTTTGAACTTTTAGCTTCAGCAATCTGTTCATTCAAAACTATGTTTTCAAGGAATAAAATTGTAACAACACTTCATATTTTAGGTCTGGATGGAAATAAAAAGTCGAAAGTCTTTAATTACTAATGCGAAAGACTTTTACCAATGTGCTCAAAAACTGGATAAGATAAACGTCATTTATGTAGAAACAGAAGAGATTGAAGCAGCAAAAAAAACTTTAGATGATAAGTGGAACTTGGTAAAAGCAATTCCCAACATAACAAGCTGCCACAACTTTCGATTTTTGGATAATTATCATGTAGGAGTTAAAATGTATTTAATTCAGACGAATCAAGAGTTGTTTTGTGTTTGTTTTTCTATGTAATTCCTTAGTGTTAATTGTTTATTTAAATCACTTGTAATTATTTCGTCTCCGCTTTTGTTTAATTTTGTTCGTGTTCCTCACCAGCATCGGTAGACAGCTGTTTCGATCTATTGGATCTCATCAGTACCGAGTTGCTGTTTGGTGTGGAACACGAACAAAATTTTAATTGCCTTCCCTTTTATAGGAAATGCAATCATTCAAAGCGGTGAGACGAAAGTAATTTGGCGCCATCTACCGTCCTTCGACGTGGTCTTCTATATGTCTTGTCATTTTCTGTACTTGACATATCGTCACCTTAATATAACAAGGTTGTATGTTAAAAAACCGAAAAATTTTAGTTTATGCTTCTACAAGGTTTTTTGTAATCCACCCTTGACATACAACTTGAAAATAACTCTATATATATGTAAACATAGAATATACATTCTATAGAATTATTTTTAAGTGGTATGTGAAGCGTAGGCCACGTATAATCCTGTAGAAACATAGACTTAAATTTTTCGTTTTTTTTAACATACAACCTTGTTATATTAGGGTGACGATATAGCGTGCTTTACGCCATCTATGACCTAAAAGATGACTTTAGCCTTCGCCGGCTAGGTAATATGTTTAAAAATTAAAAATTAATATTTACGATTAACCTCGTTAGGTAATTGATTCACTTGTAATTATTTCGTCTCCGCTTTTGTTTAATTTTGTTCGTGTTCCTCACCAGCATCGGTAGACAGCTGTTTCGATCTATTGGATCCCATCAGTACCGAGTTGCTGTTTGGTGTGGAACACGAACAAAATTTTAATTGCCTTCCCTTTTATAGGAAATGCAATCATTCAAAGCGGTGAGACGAAAGTAATTTGGCGCCATCTTCAGTTTATTTAAATAGCTGAAATAAATATTTGTTTACTGAAATCGCATTGTCCCGCGAGTAATGTCCCGCGAGTAATCACTATTGGTTATATATACAGAATTTCAAGCATTTTGGCATCTTAGTTATGGCCTTATAAATTTCAACTAAGAGTAGGTAAGTTTATAGTAATATTAATTTTTTTAAATATCTATAAAATTTAGAGAAAAAAGATAATTAAAACTTGCATATATTTTTTAAAATATTTGATGTCCCGCGAGTAAGCATAGATTTTTCAAAAACTTTATTTATTAGGTTTTGCCTTTTTTAAAAAGAGCAAGTACTAATAGCAGAGAAACCATTGCCATAGTAGAATATCAATAAATCACATGAGACCTACTATGCCTATGGTAAAAATTGATATTTTAAAAATTGATGTTTTTCTAATTGTCCCGCGAGTCATCATGGAATTGCCCAATAATCGTTTTAAACGTTGTGTTTCTTACAGAGAGACTTGCAAGCCTTAAAAGAGACCTCAAAGTGGTAAGAACAATCATTTTACTCCTCTTTTGTAAAAAATAAACAGGGCTGTCAAATGTCAATTTAAAGGTTAATTTGGCCGCCGTTAGATTCTGTGCAGTGTTGCAGTGATTTTTAGTATGCGCGAAACGATATAGAATGTGTGAATTGTGATTTATGCCACTGTGCCAATTTTTCCCACTATTTTAATAATTTATCCTACTGTACGAATTTGTTCTCGCATATTTAAATTTGTGCCACTGCAAATTTTTTCCACTAGGTTTTAATTTTAAACTACTGTGCGAATGTGTTTATGCATGTTATGTCAGCTTTCAATTATCCAATCACTTTAATAATGACACCCATAGATAACAAAGCCCATTAAAATACTTAAAACCTATCTATGTACAGCAAAATAAATTACATAACCTCTTCGAACATGAGTTCTCCTGGTACTTAAAACCGTTTAAAACCTATTTTCGATATTTATCCCGCGGAAAAATAAATAATGTAATAAATAACCTTTTGCAATGAAACTTTTAACCGTTTAAAATAAATTTTCGATGTGTACCGTTACCTCTGCGTCTTCATGCTCTTCTGATACTTACAGACGTTTAAAAGCGTGTAATATTTTCCCTGATACGGTGTAAGCTTTTACTCTCACGCGACAGAAGACATATAACTTTATAAATTAAAAATCTGCTTCTTGATAAAGTAACCATTACAAAAATATAAGTTTAATTTTTCTATATTGCGTCAAATTTCAAAATTTATTTAAAAAAAAGTATAATTTTTTGAAAAGAAATATTAAAAATTTTAAATGCTATAAAATCTGTATAATTTGGATGTTTTAAATTAAATTTGAAATTTGTCGATAAACTATGGTAATTAATAAATTGCACCATTTAAATTAATATTATATTTATTGGGGGCGCCATGGGGCCGGTACGGCCGAGCAAAAAATTATCTTTTTTTCGCAAACTTCAATTTAAATTCTGCTTGCGCAGAACTTGTTTATTTAATGTATCTAATAATTAAGATATCGGTAGACCCAAAATCCACCAGCCGCAACTGATTGACATAGATTATTAAATAAAAAAAATATTTTGTTCGGGAAAACTTCTATTTTGTATATTTATTTTACGTAATTAAAATGCATAATCTGATAAAGAAGATTTATAAACTGTTGTTGATTGATATAGGGTTTCTATAAAAATATTATCAATACACGTGGCGAAATATTTGTTTATTCTTGTTTGTTTAAGTATGTTTGGTTTAGGATTATACTCAAGCAATAATTTTTTTGCTTGCGATTGTTTGCAGTTTCCAATAAAATCTATATTAAAGTCACCGCTTATAATATGAGTGTTATCTTTGTTAAAACTATTAACTAAATAATTTTTTAATTTATTAATGTAGACTAGGTACCTACAAATCAAAGTTTGCGCCTGGTGATCTATATATAATATATTAGGGTGCGATTTGTACATAATTAGATGCTCTTGAAAGTACTTGCAACAATTTTTATACAATCTATTTTTTCACCTGGATAAGTCACCAAAGTCATATTTTTTATAAAAAAAACAGTATTTAATGCCATTAACACAAAACGATTAAAATTCCAGGTAAAAAGTAAAAAGAGTTTTATAGAAAATTTAATTTCCTATAAAAAAGATTATATGCATTTATATAATTAAATGCATAGTTTAAAAGATTTCTTAAGATTTATTAAATACCTTATATCTTTTAAACTATGCATTTTATTGCATTAATCCATATGACTTTTTTGTAGAAAATTGAATTTTTTATAAAAGTTTTTTTTACTTTTAACCTATAACTTTAACCGTTTTGCCGTAAAACAACATAGGACTAATCGAGGAGGTGCATTCCAAAACTCGGCTTATCCATATTAGCTGATTTTGAACCAAATGTCAAAAACCTTATCGTGAGTACTAACGCATATCAGGCCTACAAAATACTTTAAACAAAATAAATAGGCATAAGTTTAAAATTTATATACCTTGATTAATTAAATAATTAAATAATTAAAAATAATTTAAAATTACAAACGTATAAACCAGTTCTGACATGATAAGACAAGTTTTGGAGCGATAGTCAATTTATAAATGAATTTTAAATGGAATAAGGTGAGTTTTAGAATATTATGACCTTTGTGGGGTATAGGGGCTACATGTTAAATCTACAGACACCACTAACTTATTTTTATTAAAAAGTGGATAAGCCGAGTTTTGGAATGGACCTCCTCAATTTATCAATACTTGACAGTAGAATAATAATAATAATAATAGATATTTATTGATTATCACATCATACATAACAATTAGACAGTAGAATTTATTAAATTCTTTATATCTTTTAAATTATGCATTTTATTGCATTAATCCATAAGACCTTTTTTGTAAAAAATTAAATTTTCTATAAATGTTTTTTTAAACTCTTGACCTGTAACTTTAACCTTTTTGTCTTTAAACAACATAGGAATAATAAGTTTATCAATATTTGACACTAAATTTTATTAAATGCTCTTTATCTTTTAAATTATACTTTTTTGCATTTGCAAAGGACCTTTTTTACAGGACATTTAATTTCCTATAAAAATCTTAACTTTTTACCTATAAACAAAGATTAAGTAAGTATATACCGGGTTTATCTGAGAATAGGCGCACCCCTGTAACTTTTTTATTTATAAAGATGGACACATGAAATTTTGCATGGTTAATTAGGATATAAAATGCCACTTATAAAAGTACAAAATTAATGTTTTGAACTTCCGGTTTCGCCGGAAATAATACCAACTTTCGATTTTTAAATGGAATGCCCTATAAATTTTTACATATTTGGAATTCTGAGGAAATTCTGAGTCAGACAGCATCCTCAAATAGACCTTTTGACGTTTCGTCATCAGAAAATGTATCATCATAAAGACCAATCTAGAGTGCTTTAAACTATCTTATTTTCTTCTAATGGATCCACACAATGCCTGAAAAATAGAACTTGCCTTAAAAAGTTGTTATTCAGCTATTCCGAGCAGTCTAAACTTGTCAAAATTCGTTTTTCTCAAATAGTTCAAAGCACTCTAGATTAATCTTTATGATAATGCATTTTCTGATGACGAAAGGTCGAAAGATCAATTTGAGGATGCTCTAAGACTCAAAATTTACTCAGGATTCTAAATATGTAAAAATATATAAGGCGTTCCATTTAAAAATCGAAAGTTGATATCATTTCCGGCGAAACCGGAAGTTCAAAAAATTTATTTTTTACTCTTACATATCCTAATTAACCATGCTAAATTTCATGTGTCTATCTTTATAAATAAAAAAGTTACAGGGGTGCGCCTATTCTCAGATACACCCGGTATTTAATATTTGCTATAACTTTAAACGTTTTGCTGTAAAAAATTTACAGTAATATGCAAAAATACTCTTTTTTATTAAAAATAGGACTGTAAATTGTAGTATAGTAAAATGTCGCCAGGCTTTTATAGGAAATTGAAAAAATCTCTTTAATTTCCTGTAATTTCAATGGGGAAACAAAATAAAAGTACTTAGGAGTAAGATTAAGGGCATTTTCTTCTCGATATGTCTTTTCGGCTAAAGTGGGTAACAATCGCCAATTTTTAACGATTCAATAACTTCACGTTTATGATGCTATGTCGGACAGAGTAAGTCTACTTTATTAAGATGGGAAAAGGCTTTCAGTTGTCCGGTTTAATTGTAAAGACCCTGTATTTTGAAATTCACGACGCATAGTTTTGTATAACGTCATTATTTTATTACAGTATTCAAACCCAGGAAATTCCTTGGCTCACTATGACACAACTGCTGAAGAAATTTTGGATCAATGTGATGGAAATGTTGATATGATTGTGAGTCAATTCAAACAACTACTTTAAATGCATTATTAAAGTATTTAAAAAAGTATTACATTGACATTTTGTAAATTTAGGTAATTGGAACTGGAACTGGGGGCACCATCTCAGGAATTGGCAGAAAAATTAAAGAAAAATCGCCAAACACTGTAATTGTTGGAGCCGATCCGGAAGGATCAATTCTGGCCTTGCCAGCAAAATTAAACGAAACCGATGTTGGATTTTATGAAGTTGAAGGTAAATAACTCAATTTTTCATTTGCCGGAATATTCGTATTCCAAATAAAAACACCAAATGGGGTGCGCTGCTTGATTTTTTATTTTAATTGGCTAATTGGTGTTTAAAGAAGAAGAATGTAAAAAATATATTCAAGATCCTTATGGTTTATATCGTAAGTGAAATTCTTTTACAATTTAAACCAAGTTAGTCTTGTTCTATTATTTTGATTCCTTTAGTAAGGCCAGGGCCGGATTTAGGACGGGGCCACGGCCCCAGGGCCCCCACCATTTAGGGGCCCCCACCAATGCAATATGTAGCTTTTTAATGAAACGAATATGAAAAAAATTAGCGAAAAAACAAAAAATTGGGTCGGTTATACCGCGCGAATTCTGTAATTTTTAATTAATTTTTCGTAGATCTAACTCTAATTTTTCGCGGATTTTTTATCGCTTATCCGTTTGCAAATCAGGATGTAAACTATCACACTCAAAGTTTTGGCGCGCGAACACGTTTTTATGTAGGTAGTCTATAGTCATAAGTTATGACTCAAAACAATTGCTCCTTTAGTGCTTTTCGTAACGTTTTTGTAAATACAGGCAAACAGGCAATTACTTATAATCTAATATTAAAGTTAGTTTTTGTCCCAGATTTTTATTGGTACATTGGAGTGTTGTGGAATATTTTCCGGTGTTTTCGAAATAATGTTTCGTGCTTTTCTTTGGACAAAACATTGTTTTATTATTATTGATTTTGTATGAAAAACAGACAAATAATATGACTTTTGATGCACTTTTTTTCAGTTTGCGGTAAGTATTAAAAATACAAACAAAACATAGATCAATTTATATTTTACTTGAGTAAAATATAATATATATGTATAAGGTTATGTTCGTATTATTCAAAATATATAAAATATAAAGTAGGTATAATATACCTATATATATTATAAAAACACTTTCATTCACAATTCTATTCTACTATCTACGTTTTTATAGTTTTGCATACGAATTAATAATTTCTCAGACTTGGGTAAAATGTATATGGTTATGTTCGTATTATTCAAAATATACAGGGTGATTCAGACTTGTGGTGACAAAAGCTCAGGGGAAATTCCTCTCATCAAAATATGAAAAAAAGTTCCTATAAACACGTGTCCGAAAATGCTTCATTATCGAGATACATGGTTTTTCGTTTAAAAAAAATTAGTTTTTTATTTATAGCTTAAAAACGCTTTGGCCGATTTTATGAAAAATTTATATGGTTTATTAAATAATAAATGATTCAAGGATAATAAAAAATCACGTAAAGTTCCTCTAGCTTAAAAATTTACCATGAGTTTTAAAGTGTCAATTTTTTTAGAAATATTGAGGGCCCCCACCAAATGTCGGCCCCAGGGCCTCAAAACTCTTAATCCGGCCCTGAGTAAGGCACTGAAAAGTTAAAAGTTATATGTATGTATTTTAAATGTTAGTGTTGGAAAAAAATTTACACAATCTGTAAATACTTCTATAAAATTTAGTTTTTAGGTAACTGGTTAAAATAAAACATGTTATAATAAAGGGGTTTATTTAGAATATTTTTTGGTTTTTGCTTATTTTTAACAATTTATAACTTCTCAGAACTTGAATATTTTTTATGAGAAAGAGGTACAAAAATTATGATATGTTCTCATTTATTACACTTGCAAACTTGCAAACTTTTTGAAATCACAATTTAAATACGCACAAATAATATTTATGAAATATTTTTGACAGTTCTGACATTTCTCTAGCAAACATGAATTGACTAAGTCAAAGCCATCTAAATTTTAAATTATAAATAAAACTAACAATATGGCTTCTTAACTAAAATTATTATATCTTTTACATGGATAAAAATAACAAAACAAGACTAACTAGACTGAAAAGATGAAGGTGGGGACTGCATTTCATGAAAGTTTCAGATTTTTATTTTTTCCCCAACATAATGATTTCTGAGGGCAAAATTGGCTAATTTTGAAAATTATCAAGTTTCAATAATTTGTTTAATAAAGAAAATGATAGTCTAGAAACTTATTGTATAAGTACTTGATACCTGAAAAAAGCAACTTTCTAGATTCAGCAGAATAGGCATAGGAGCCAGACAAAAATCACAAAAATTGGCAAATTATTACAAATCTTTAGTGGTTTACCATTCTTTTATGAGATGAACTAATTAGATAATAATAATTAATATTGAAAACATACTTACTAGGCAGTAAAATAAAATTACAATCATTTCAATAATTGCCACAGAAAAAAGTTTTAGCATCCTATAAGAGAGTAAAAAAATGACACAATTTCAGAATTCTAAAGGGTGCCGATTAAAAATAAAGCAACTAAAAATTAAAACGGCAACGGTTTTTCAAATATGATACCTAAAAGATCATTCTCAAATATTTTCATTAAAATAAAAAATCATGCAGCGCACTTTTAAATTCATTTTTGGTGTTTTCATTTGGATTGACTCTTAGGTGTTGGTTATGATTTCCTTCCGACCGTGTTGGACCGATCCGTGGTCGACAAGTGGGTGAAAACAAACGACAAAGACTCGCTGCCGATGGCGAGAAGGCTGATTCGCGACGAAGGTCTGCTCTGCGGGTCGAGCAGCGGTGCCAACTTGTCGGCCGCCATTATTGCCGCCAAAGATCTCAAACCTGGCCAGCGCGTCGTTGTCATTCTTCCCGACAGCATCAGGAATTACATCACCAAGTTTATTTCCGATCAGTGGATGGAGGCCAGGGACTTCCAGCCTTGCGTCAACACCAAAAATCATTGGTAAGAAAATTGAAATTATTTGTATTCTGTTTTTTTTTTTAACTACAGGTAGGTTATTTTTTTTTAATTAATTTATTTTAGGTGGTGGGATGTTCCAGTTACTACAATTCCTTTGGAAAAACTACAAACAGCAACACCCAGTATGACTTGTGAACGTGTATTGAATGTTATGAAAAAATTAGGTGTTGATCAAGTACCACTTGTGGATAACAATAGGTAAACAAAAAAAATATTACAGTTATTAATTTTAAAAAAATATTGAAAACACACCTAAACCCTCAGTAAGGAAAATTTACGTTCTTACTTTCCATAGAAAGTAAAGTAAAAATATTCATTACTAATGTAATGTTATAAATTGGTTTAACGGCGTTTTTATAAATGTATTTCCACCCAAAAGATGTCTAATAGACACATTTCCTGAAAATATTATTAATAAAAAAAAACTATTTTTATCGGAAATCGGCAGTAAAATAGTCAACAATCGGCAGAGTATTGTATGCAACCCATTATACAGTTTAAGATATGTCTATTGCTCCTTAGCAGCAACTAAATAATATTTAAAAAAGAGCACCGTCGCGGAGGTCGATTGGACCCTTTCATAAAATGTTGTTTAATGAAAATAAAAAGTTAATTTTAATAATTAGATTAAAAAATCGCCGCGGCGCACATACGGACGAATCACCAAATTACGGCGCCAAAAATATTAAAACGGATTTTTGGGATTATGATAATAAAAACTGCTTTTAAGGACTTGATTTAATCTTTATCTTAAAAAAAATGCAAAGTTTTGTTATTTTCTTGATTATTTTGTGTAATTAAAAGAAAATAATTAAGGGTGTAAGTAGGTGTTAAAAAAATAGGTAGACAATTTTTATGTAGGATAAAAAGGTTTTTATTAGCGCTAAATAAAATTATATTTAAAACTTTAATTTACTATACTGAGTGTTATTTTTTACCATAACCATTAATTTTCTTAAAAATGACTTTACAAAAAAAAATTCTCAAAATAATAATAGGTTTAAAGAGGATATCAAAAATACTAATTAGACAAAAACCCTTAATCAAAATATTTATTTAAAATTTAATATACAATAGGTCGTAAAATATTAAACATAATAAATTGAACATATTAGCATTCACCATCTTAATTAACAACAATTACTTTCAGGTAATGCAGATTAAGAAAAGATTAAGATGATCTAATATTTTATAATTGGTTCATTACATATTAACAAAGTATAATGTTTTTTTGTATGGCTAGCATTTTTAACACGTTCACTGTGACTTACTTGATAAAAAAAATCTCTAAAACCTATGGCTGGACTCGGCTGGAACTAAAATTTACATGCTCATATTGGTAATAAGATACGCTATATGGTAGCCAAAAATGTAGGCGGAACTCTGCGAAACTTTTTTTAAAACTCTATCTAAAGTTATACTTTTAATTTTTTTTTCGTAAAAATTCTGTTTCATAAAACATATATTCTTACTTTTCCATGTATAATTTGTTTAATAACAATAATTACATATAAGTATATAAGTATAAGTATATGCCATAAGCTTCCAAACACAACTAAAAAAACTTTTGATTTTACATTTAGAGTCATAGGACAAGCATTCTAATTCTGTCAACTTTTACGCGCGAGTATACTTCATAGTAGTGCGAATAAAAGGTCAACTTTGGGGTGGTGCTGAGTCTTTTGTATACAATATATACAGGGTGATTCAAAACTCGAGGCGAAAAATTAAGAAATGTATACAGTTTTATATTCTTGATAAAAAATGTAAAATAAAATTTTTGGAGATATGGCTTTGTTTCCGAAATATTAGACTTTAAAGTTTCTGTATGCAACTAATTTAATTTCATAAATTACAGTAAGCTTAGAAATAAGTGAGTTTACTGTCACCTGGTGACAGTCAACAAAAATTGTTTACAAATTTAAAAGTTGCTTTGTTGGATTAGTTGTTTTGTTAATCATGCAGTTTTCTAACGAAGAATATGCAGATATTATTTTTGTGTACGGTTTTTGTGATGACAACGCATTAAAAGCTTGTCGGGAGTATAACAAAAGATTCCCTAATAAACGACAACCATCTCGCCGGGTGTTTTCCGATGCTTATCAAAGGCTACGAGAGTTTGGAATTGGTAATTCCCGTACTGGTGCTGGTGGTGCTACCCGAAATAATTATTATGATGCTGTGAGGGAAGAAGAAGTGATAGATTGTGTGCTTGATAATCCAGAAATTAGTACCAGACGCATTGCTGCCCGTCTTAATGTATCCCAAAGTTTTGCTTGGAGAACCTTAAAAACCGAAGTTTTACATCCATTTCATAAACAAAAAGTACATAATTTGCACCCAGGAGATAACATGCAACGACTCGCCTTTTGTCAATGGCTTCTTCAGCAGCATGAACAAAATGAAAATTTCTTCAGAGAGACGCTTTGGTCGGACGAAGCTACTTTTACTCGGGATGGCATAAATACCTGCCGTAATGAACATGTATGGTCTTTAGAAAATCCTCACGCTTTTAAAAGAAGAAATTTTCAACAAAGGTTCTCTATTAATGTATGGGGCGGAGTCTTTAACGGACAATTACTTCCGATTCAAGTCCTTCCTAATCGTTTAGATGCCTATAGGCATATATGCGTACTTGCAATTTTTAGAAAACGATCTCACAAATTTGCTGGAAGATTTTCCTGTGGATTTGGTATACAATCGTATGTGGTATCAGCACGACGGAGCACCACCGCATGTTGGACGAAATGTTGTCGCCTGGTTAAACCAAACTTTTAATGGGAGATGGATTGGTCGGCGTGGTCAGGTGCTATGGCCTGCGAGATCACCTGACTTGAACCCTTTGGACTATTTTGTATGGGGCCATTTAAAACAACTGGTTTACGCAGTGGAAATTAATAACCAAGAACAATTAATGGAACAAATTATTAATGCAGTCGAAAGCACTCAAAATAGACAAAACATGCAATTAGTATACGATTCCCTTATTTTGCGTTGCCAAGCCTGTATTCGCGCTAATGGTGGTATTTTTGAACATTTGATTTAATTATTTTTTATTTTTTATATTATGTAATAAAGTTAAAAATTAATCACATGCAAATACTTTGAAGTCTAATATCTCGGAAACAAAGCCATATCTCCAAAAATTTTATTTTACATTTTTTATCAAGAATATAAAACTGTATACATTCCTTAATTTTTCGCCTCGAGTTTTGAATCACCCTGTATATAAAAAAAATACGTTTTATTGTGGACTGGTCTATTTACAACGTGTTAATGATGTTTCTGACTAATTTTTTTAAAGTTCATTTTTCTATTTTTGGCGCGCTAATGTGGACGTTCGTCCTTATGTGCGGCGGGCATATATATTATAACCACAGACCTGTAGGTCTGTGATTATAACCGTCGCAACAAACAGTATACGTAGACACATTTAATTTGATCATCAAATGACATTTGATTTAATCATCAATATCAATAATTATTATTAGTATTATTAAATGTGATTTCGGATAAAATTTAATATGCACCTCGTCATTAAAGTAATTTTTTATCACTCACGTGGTTATTTGCCTCGGCTTTCGCTTCGGCAAATAATTTCCACATTTGTGATAAAAAATACAACTTTACTTCCTTGATACATAAATAACTATTATATGGTTTTTCAGTCAAATAAAATATATTGATTTAAAGTAAATAATATTAACTAAATACCGAATAAAATATATGAAAAAAGTGAGAAAAATTTAATTTTAGTTTTTAGGTTAAATGTTTAGGTTTTCAAATAAAATACGCCGTGACTAGGTGCACGTTAGAGTGCCCGCAATTTATTTTTTACGGGCACGCTAGTGACGTAATAGATAAAAAACGTCATCACTGCCGTGCCGCTTAATTTAAAATTGGCTGCACAACAATAATATAATAATAAATTGTACCTGTATACATGTTAAGGGCACGTTAGTTACGTAATAAAACCAAACCAACCCAAACTCAACAACACAACCCAACCGACCCCGCCCCATTGGCCCCCCCCCCGCCCCATTGAGCAAAAAACCCAACTAAAATGGGCAAATTTATGTTACGATAAAAATAAAACACTTTTTAACAAAGGAACAACAAATTTATGAAATAAAAAAGTAAAAAAAAATTCGACAACTTCTGAGAATCGAACCCGGGACCTCTCGCATGCAGAGCAAACGCCCTACCATCTACGCTATCTAGCTTGACAACAAAAATTATATGTTCGGGTAACAAAACCGGATTATTATTATGACGTCACTAGCGTGCCCGTAAAAAATAAATTGCGGGCACTCTAACGTGCACCTAGTCACTTTGAATAAAATATCTTGTTTTAAAGTCATTTATAAGTCAAATGTTTTCAATGAAATAAAATATCCTGTTTTATAGCAAATATAAATAATGAAATGAAAAGTTTCAAGTTACAACATTAACATTGCAAGAAAAATATAAACAACATATTTTTTTATTTATTTATTACAAAATTGTATTTACAAATATTTGGAATTTAGGTTAAGTTCAAAAATAAAAACCCTAAATTGGCCACCATAGAGCATACATTGAATAAAACAAACTAAACTTGTGAAAAATATTATATTATGGTATGGTAAGCTGGCTTTTGGGATGATTCAATCCCAGGCCATTCAATTATCAGCGGCATGATGTAGTTTGAGTTTCTGTTATGCACTGTCCTTGAAGATCATTTTGCTTCCTTGTCTCAACACATTTCCTGCACAATGCAAAAAAAGATTTAATTTTGATTAGTTTTGTTTTTCAAATTTTATTTTCCCACCTCTTTGCCAATCTGAGTGGTGAAAACAGATGCGCAGAACATACCTTGTTAGGATTTTTTGTAGCAATTATATTTATATAAGTAAATAAATTTTTAAGTTAATTAATATTTTTTTATTCCATTTTGGTTTAAGACATAAAAATCTATTTCTATCTTTTAGCACCAAGTATCCTGTACTTCTATGGATATTTTTTAGAGATACTTCTTAGAGAAAAGTTGTGCAATTATAAGCCCACTAAAATAAAATATATAAATTTAAAAAAACAGCGCTTCTCAAAATATTTGAAAAAACTAAAAACTTTTCAAATTCAACGATCGTTATAGGGAATTTAAAAGAAGTTTTACATGTATTTACATTTTATCCAATTCCTTTGCTACTTTGAGTTACCATCACAATCTTTTTTATAATTGACACCATAACTTATGTACATAGTTTGATACATTGTGGGATTCCTTGATTTTTTTCTATCTAACCATGGTAACTTAAAATCTAGTAGGCGAAAAAAATTACAAATGAGATGAAAATGTAGATTAGTTACATGTAAAACTTACTTTTTCTTTCAAAATTACCAGGAATAACGAAGACAACGATTTATGTATGTATTTATATATTATTGAAAATAAATCTTTCTGTTTTTAAAATGGCCAGATTTACTTATGCTTTCAATAATTTTGTGTGTCCTGAAAATGGCGTATTTATTGCTTTTTTTGGAAAAAAACAGCGGTTTCTTTTTTTCTTCAGATATTTTTTTCTGAAACGTTAGTTTCCTTAATATAGATTCACTATTCTATATTATTGCTAACGCATTCATATTAAAGCGTATTCGTAAGAAAAGGGTATTCCCCGGTAATAGTTGCGGCAGTTGACGGATAAAGATGTTGTAGTTTGCTTTGTTTTAAATTAATCTCGTGGAAGAAAACATTGTTTTGCTAGGAACATAAGCACAAAAACCTGCAGGTATTTTCCGAAAGTTAACCGTACTAAAAACTAAAACTGTGCAGCTAAGCTGTTGAATGACGACTTCTAATAGAATCTTCCATTTTTCTTGATTCTTTAAGACATTCTTGTTCGTGTCATAAATTGTTTTGTTTCTTTTTTTCATAAAAAACAAAAACGTCTTCATGCCACAGGGATATAAAAAAGTACAAAACAATTTTTCTGACTAGTACTTCTTAATTAAGTTTTTAAGCATTTAAGTTTTAAAAAATTGACAACGCTGTTTTTTTTCTTAGCTTAAATATTAAAAATTTGTTTTGAAAAAAAAAACAAAATAAACTATGCATCTGCAGTGACCTCGAGTTAACATGGTTGAAAGATGTATTTTCTGACAGTCTAAAAATTGAAATCTTCATAACTTTTTTACTATTAACAAATTTTATAAATAAACTTATAAAACTGTTTTAGAATATTTTTTCTATACTTTTATATAATTAAATAGCCTCAAAACATTAAATTTACAAACAGAATCAATGTTTAATTCCTAATAAATAATTCCAACGCATCTAGCGTGCTTTAGAGAATGCCGTGCTCTGATTGGTTTATAGCTTTCTATAAAGATCATTTTCTTTAGAAAATAAAGTCGCAAATTTTAAGAAACAGCCCCAAAGTGTAAATACATTAAAATACTTTTAATCTATAGAAAATTATTAAAACTTATTTTTTAGCATTGTCATTGGAATGATAACTTTACAAAACTTGATGAACGGCCTTATTTCTGGCAGAGTCCAGTCAAATCAAAGTATAGAAAGTATTGTGATGAGGATTTACCCCAAAGTTTATACAACTGCCAATTTAGGCGTTATTTCCAGAGTTTTGGAGAAAGAATCGTATGTTATGATTCTTGAAAAACAAGGTACCTAAATAATCTTATTTTTGTGGTTATTTTTTTTTACACAAATTTTTGTTTTAGCTAATGGTGATAAACCTGTGGGAATTGTTACTGCCATTGATTTACTAAAATTTATTTCTGAATCTAAACCTGCAAATTAAAAAAAATTGCATTTTCCATATTAGTACATAATCTAATTAGAAATAATTTTTTAACAAGTTTAATTTCATATTTATTTAAAATGTTTTAAATTCTTGTTCTGTTGTAATTAAAATTATAGATTTAAATCATTTATAATAAATGTTATTTTGTGATAAAAAATTCTTTGTTAAAGACTCCAATGAACATTTATTACTGTTTGGATTTTAAAATTATAACATACAAATACTAATAAATAACGTTATTTTTACAACTTGTTTTATTTCAAAACCTAACGTTTGTCCAAAATGTAGATTTGGCAACGTTTTTACTCGAAATGTAGGTGGCGCCAACATCGTACTTTGCTTATAATAATTATTTAACACTACATCTACGTATCTTTGATTTTGACAGTTAACATAACCTCAATTTTATAAATTAATAATTTTTACCGAAAATGCATAAAAATAAAGGTATATATAGACTAAATAATATAGTAGTACTAGATTAAGCCTCAATTTCACTAAATAAACATTCATTACGTAGGTTCCAAATATCGTAACAAAAGTAAACCCGCCGTTGGGGATAAGGCCCGTGAAACTTTAGAAAATATTGACGATAACAACCCCGTTATACAATTATTCAAAGGATACGCTGCCGAATTGGATGATAAACACGATAGATACGAACGAATTGTTAAATTGAGCAGAGACTGCACCATTGAGAGCAAAAGAATAATATTTTTACTACATAATGTCAACACTGATATGTAAGAATTTTTATTGTTTTTAACAGTGCAGGTGCAGCTATATATAACTTCTTAATGTTAACTAAAGCTACATGTAACAAAAATATAAATTTATATTATATTGCTGGATCTATCAATAGGTATGGTTTTTAGTAAAGTTTAAATATTTTAGTGAAAGTAAGAGAGTTACAGTATTAAACGAAGCACAAGAAAGACTAAATGCTTTGATCAACACCCATTTCAAAAGTATTGCATTAGAACTTAAAGGTCATGATTCTTATTTGTACACGAGAGCTTATACAAGTGGTGTCCAAGAATTTATAGAAGCTTACACTTTCTACCAGTTCATATTAAGTGAAAACATTGGGGACTGGAAAAGTTTCGATGCTTTGTTTAAGTATAGTGATGAAGAAAATGGCGAGTTTTCTTTGTTGTTTACACAGAATGACTACATTTTGGGTAAAAATATCAAAGTGTTTAATTCTTTAAATTTTATTAGTACACGTTTTATAGGACTGGGGGATTTAACAGGGGAGTTGATGAGGAGATGTATTAACACTCTTGGAGTAGGGAATACCAGTGAATGTTTTAAGCTTTGTAACTATGTTAAGGCTATAAACACCGGGTTTATAGGTAATTTAAATAAATATGACTTAAAAATAAAGCAAATTTAATTATATTTTTTTAGGGCTCATTGCTCCAGGAAACAAAGAACTCGGTAGGAAAGCCTACACCCTAAGACAAAGTTTGTCAAAGATGGAGTTGGTGTGTTATAACATTCAAATAAGAGGTCAGGAGATTCCAAAACACATGTTGATGAGTGTTATTGAATCATCCGATGTTAAGGATGATGATGATGAAGGATATTATTAAGGAGACTTTCTTCACCCTTAAGAGTGATTTTTTTTATAATGCAAGATTTTGTATCCTTGGAATATGGTTAATTTAATATTTTTTCATAAAAAATATTGTTTAATAATAAAAGTTCGTTTTTTAAAAAGTATTACTATTTTTTGTTATAAATTTACTAAAGTATTGGGTTTTAATATTATTAACTATTGTAATTAGCGGGTTTGCATTTACAAAAAGTCGTGTAGCATATCCTGACACATTTTGTAACAAGAACTTTTAAATTCAGAGCAATGTTGCCATATGTAATATAATTGCGGTATTTAGGGAAATTCGATAAGCAACTCTTTACACAGTGCAATACAAAATTTTAAAACAATATTAATTGTTTTTTTCTAAAAGTAACTGAAGTAACTAAATATCAAAACTCTCTCTGGGTTTGTAAAAGTTGAGTTTTAGATACTAATTGTTAAAATGAAGTAGTTGCTGTTTTTCATCCTGATTCTTTAAAAAAAGGTTTTTATTTTTAAATTACTTTATTTTTATAAACAATTGATGTAGTCAAATTTGGCTTTTACATATTTAATTTATAAAAATTAGTACTGTTTTTTTCATTAGTTTGGTAATTTAAATAAAAATATTTTTATTTTTACTCTTTTGTATAAAACTTAAGAATTCTATAGATTTTTTTAACCAAATTTTGGGATTTTTTTAAGTGTTAGCAGCAATGCATAAAACCGTGAAATAATAATAATAACAACAGGTAATGAAAAACAACAATGTTCTATTTCAAAAGTTTATAAAATTTACATTTTTTAAAATTATTTTTCTTGAAAAAAATAATAAAAATGGCTTAATTGAGTTAATTAAAAAATATATTGACGTTTAAAAAGCAAGTAGGCGATTTAAAATTATGAAAAGGCAATATTTTGAGCATAGAACTCAAAAATTTACATTAAAATAATTAATTTTAATACCTACCCAGCAAGGTAGGATATTCCACGATAATCAGAAATTCTTATCCCTACCGTCACCCAACAATTATAAACAAACCACATTTAACTTACCATAATAAATACTTTAAAGTAATTTATTATCCATTACATTAATTAATATATTTTCGTTAAATATTATACTAAAACATTTATAAATTTACAAAAAAAATACAAAGCAATGTGTTGTAATAAAGACCTGTATAAGTCATACACAAACATTTTATTTAAAAAATGTTTATTGGGTAATAAATGGAATCCATAATATTTAAATAAATAAAAATATCCTTAAATTAAATAGAAAATATTAAAAATTAAAATATATATTTACAAATACGTTCACTTGATTGTTTTCTATAACAAAGAAAACCAGTTTTTCTTTGCCTTTATGAATATATTTTATTCTTAATTGCTCCCATTTTGACCTTATCAATTAAACCTTTCTACTAAATTCTTTGGCGGTATTTTGTCTGTAATAAAAGTTCTAAAAATTGTAAAATTAAAAATGCACCTACTTACTCCTTTAAATTTAACAACCATTAGATATTATTATTATTTTTTAATGTGGTATAACGCACTATTAAAACTATGGCTTTAACCAAAGTATAAATAAAGGTTCATGTAAGTTTTATATACATTTGGCACTTCAATGGGTTTTAGTCCCATTAAATTAAGTTAATTAATTAATTAATTGATTAATACTAAAAATTGCCATATATGCATATAAGATAAAGGACCCATGGGTAGCCTTTTATAAAAATTAATATTTTTATTAAAACATTCCTGTAATGGGCCATTACATAATCAGACTTATGTGTTTGCTGGGTATTGGTACAGAATGACTTAAATGTATTTTATATGTATTACTTATTAGAAATTTAATTTGTTTAGTTTTCTGCCGTGCTTAATGAAAACGCCGTAACCAACAATTTTGCGATTTTTGTTTTACGGCATTTTCTACTAGAACAATTCATCCTGCGTCTATCCCCGGTAATAAAAAAACCGTATATATATAGATACGGTTTTTTGAGTACCGGGGATAGACGCAGGATGAATTGTTCTAGTAGAAAATGCCGTAAAACAAAAAACTCAAAATTGTTGGTTACGGCGTTTTCATTAAGCACGGCAGTTTTCCTTATATGCAAATATTTTATTTCTTATTTGTAAAGACGTTGGTAACTCATTTAAAAACTTCGGGGAACAAATTCTACCTGGTGCTAAATAAGTCATTGATACCGAAAGTCTGAAGCATTATTTTTCATTTGTATTTTTTTTCGTCGGGATCTGTTACAGTGGGTTTCGGCTTACCAAAGCACGACCGACCGCGTAATTAGCCAGAACTAGACACACATGTGTCCTATGGAGGCTGCGCCAGCTTGATGAATGGGAAAATGTCTCGCTATTATAGTCTTCTGGGTATTTTTCAGAAGCAGACTGTTTTAATGAAAATAAAATTTAGATAGAAGGATACATGGTTCACCCTGTATACGGGGACCAACCGTCTGGGCTCGGGTTGAAAATTAATTTAAAAATATACAACATGGTACAAGTACATTTAGAAGAGTAAAAAAGTAAGAAAAAACCTCTTTTGAAAAAAAAATATAAAACATACAGACTTTTTCTCACTTTTTTAGGATTTGTTCTATTATTTTTAAAAACGTGGTACTTAGGTGCTCAGGTTAAAAATTAATTTACAAATCTGAATACCTTCAGGATAGTAAAAAAGTAAGAAAAAACCTCGTTTGAATTTTTTTTTAAATTATGAGTTTTTCCCACTTTTTTAGATATGATGATTTTTTTATTAAAAGTGGTCGAGGCTCAGGTTAAAAATTAATTTAAAAAGTAGTATAGGTACTAGTATACTACTTTTTATACCTAGCTAGGTATACCTTCAGGATAATTTTTTTATTGACGTTATAATATATTAGCACATTTTTTTTTCAAATAATAAATATTAAATAAAATAAATTTTGTTGATTTTTTGGAAGGGCGAGGAGGGCATGTTGTGTCCTGGTTTTCATTTTAGAAAGTTGGTCACCTTAACCCTGTATCGTCTAGATATGATGGAGAAATATATTTTTTTTAATGGGAGCTAATTGTCCTAATCTCATAAATCTCATAAATCCTATTTTATTTATTAATATTCATAAATGGGTCGTTTTCAAAAAACACCCGCCTTCCGCTGTCCGTAAGTGTGAATTCCAATAACTTTGTTAAAAATTGATTTAACAACCAAGTGAAAGCCTAACAAGCCCTTAGTAAACTCTTTCAGAAAATGTTTGTTTAGTTATTTCAGAATAATTTTTTTTTAATTTTGAAACTTGTGAAAAACACATTTTTGCATGTCCCATTAGCGTTTTATAAAACTTACATACATGTTTTTTTTTAATATTGAGGGGCATTCCACGTTACTCGGTAATTTTTGTCCCGCCCGTCACAATTAAAAATTGTGAGTAAAAACCACAAGTTATAAAATTAATATTTTATAATAATATTTTTATTGTGCTTATAACTTATTAAAAGCATAATAAAACAATATTTTTAAATAAATTTTATAACGTGTAGTTTTTACTCACAATTTTTAGTTGTGACGGGCGGGACAAAAATCCCCGAGTAACGTGGAATGACCCTTGAATAACCAGAACTTTGTGTTGCTTTAATAATTATAGCAATCCATAACATCCTTAGTTAATACAGTAAACAATTTATATAAAAATAATTAATTTTAATCTACTTTTTTTAAATTTTTTTCATGTCCCAGACATTTTTTCCGTTGCGTTACGTCCGTCGCGTTACCGATGGAATATTGAAAAAAGACATATATATGGCAACTTTTTTGACACTCACGTGATCAACAAATGATGTTCGGAAGTACACATTACCCAGCGAATGTAATAATTGTTTACTCAAAAAGTTACTCAAAAAAATAATAAAAGTAAGGTAAGAAAAAATACTATTTTTCATGTTTATGTTTATTTTAGGGCACTAAAGCTCATTGAGAGTAATTAATGACTGTAATGTCTTATTATTATTTTTTAAATATGGTTTCACAAAACTTTGTCCACTGCGTTACCGAGTCCATTACGCTACCTTATGGTAACGCAATAGAATTTTTCGACATCAAAGTGGATATTTACCGTCGCTTTTATTAAATGTAGTTTATAAACCAATTTAAAATTATTTATGATTACAACTCATGATATAGATTACATCCAAGGGAAAATTCCACGCAATATACAAGTACTAAAAGACACCAGCTTATAGTCAAAGAAAAAGGGTGTCTATAATTTAGAAATCTAAGTTGATATTCTGCAAGTGAGCACCACTACAAGAGATTTTGTTTATGCATTACTCTAAAATCGTACCACCCTATATAGTTTCTTTTTTACGTTATCTGATTAAGTCCTTTGTGTACCCCAGTCCGTTGTGATAACAATGTCTATTTCGTTACTTTTTTAGTTTTTTTTTTTAAAATCCTTAAAATGATTTTACTATCACTTGGTAATATGTACCTGTTTATAAATTAGAGTTTAACTCACTAATACAGTGACTAAAAGAAAATATTAATGGTATTGTTTTTTTAACAAAGAATCGGAATGGTGTCTTTTAAAAAGTAACTTAACTAACATAAATATTTAAAAAAGGCATACAATTTTTAATAAAAAATAAAATTGGAGTCAAAAGTTTGTGAACTAAGTACATTTTATTTCAAATTATTTTTATAACAACTTTTTTTATTGAATTAAATTTTGGATTTCAAATAATAAATGGTAACACAGTGGAGACATATAAAGCCAGCTAAACACATTTTTCTAAAAAAAACGTAAAAAAAAATTAAAAAGTGCACTGCCTGTCTTAAATGTAAGTAAACAAAACTCTAAACATTTATAAAAATCCAACTAAAAATCAATTTAGGCAAACAAAAAAATTTGATCTTCATTTTCCTGAAAGCGGGTGTTTCTTGAAAATGACCCAATTAGTTATAATTATTTTATTAAAAGTGGTCGGGGCTCAGGTTAAAAATTAATTTAAAAAGTAATACCTTCAGGATAATTTTTTTATTGACGTTATTAGCACTTCTTTTTTTCAAATAATAAACATTAAATAAAATAAATTTTGTTTATTTTGGAGATGGAGAAATATACATATTTTTTTAATTGTC